GTTATCCACTTGGTAGCTCGGGCGCTTCTCTTCGGCGAGAATCCTGATGGCTTTGAGGAGGGGAATCAGGAGTCCATGGTTGAAATCATCGAACAGCAGAAGCAGTGGCGGGCGCTAGGGCCTATCGGGAAGCTTCACAATGTAGTTGTTTGGATCCGGTCCTCTGCAGAGAGACAAAGAGAGTTTCAAAACCGCCAGCGGGCCAGTTATATTACTACGGGCGATCCTGATGCAGCCACGAAGCCTGTATACAACCTGATTCCTGCAAACGACACCCGGTGGAATTCAAACCTTGCCGAGATGCAGCGCGCAGTCGAGCTTCAAAACGTGATTGACGAAATAATAGCACCAGAAGTCTACAAATGGAACTCGCACCGCTCTGCGCAGAAGCCATCGATAGCCGAAGACTATCTAACTGCCGACGACTGGCCTGTTATTGCGATCTACTTGGATATTCTGAAGCCTCTCGAAAAGGCCACCTTAAAGCTGCAAGGTAGACCAAGCCGCAATCCAGATACCGGTATCTGGCATGTACTACCTACGATGGAGTGGCTACTCCATAGGTTCGAAAGCTTCAAGGAAGAGTATCAGTCCCATCCGGATCCTCATTTCCGACGCGGCATTACCCAAGCCTGGGCTAAGCTTGATAAATACTATCTGCTTACTGAGAAGTCACCTATCTACGTCGCTGCAGTAGTCTTGAACCCGAAGTGGAAGTGGAAGTACTTTGAGAAGCAATGGGCTGATCATAAGGACTGGATTCAGGACGCTAAGAAAGCAGTCAGAGAGCTTTTGACTGTTGACTATAGGAACCAGCCACTACCGGATGAACTCGAACTCTGCGAGCCCCAGCAACGCGATATGATCTTAAAATCGGATCTGGACGATTTCATCAATTCTGTCATGGGCCCATATTCCCAGCCACGGATCAGCCTGACGACTACGAATCATACATATCACAAGGTGTTACACCTGAGGACCAGGCTTGCAACACCCCCATGGCATACTGGTTAGAGAAACGGCGCGTTTGGCCTCGGCTTGCGAAGATGGCGCTAGACATACTATCTATTCCACCGATGAGTGATGAACCAGAGCGCATCTTTAGCCTTAGCGGTCTTCTAACAGTGGCCAATCGGGGAAGGCTTAAGACGGATGTCATCGGTGCGTCTATCTGTCTGGCAAACTGGCAGAGATTAGGTATAGTTCCTGATAGCTTTTCGGTGAGCACCTCGTTTAGTCAATCACATTTCGCCAAGACCAGACACTGAAATGTGATTGGTTTGCTTGCATTGCATACCCCTGTCCGTATATCTTGGCAATATGTTGTCAATCAACACAGAGTTGCTTCAATTCAACTCAACTCAACTTGTCTCTTCGCGATTACATAAGCAACTCAATTCAACTAGGACCGAAATTGAATTGAATTGATTGATTAGCAAGCCTGTCGGCCGTCGGCATTTCGACTCGTTAAGAAGAGCAGAGTTGCCAACAAGCAAGTCAATCAATCAATTTGCTTGATAACGGACCTCTCTCTGGTATGTGCACAGTGTCACGGACCTCTATATGGTCCGTTATCAAGCAAATTGATTGGTTGACTTGCTTGTTGGCAACTCTGGAGAAGAGCGACAGGGCCATGCCACAGAGCCATGCCAAAGACGTTGTGAACGCATGGCAATTGTGCCGGTCATTTTATGTTGTGCACCACTTTTCAATTCTCTATTTCCATACGATATAAGATGGAGCTGTTTGGTTCCTTCTCGAAAGATCCTAGTCATTGCAACGGATGTAGAGGTGTCAGATGAAGTAAGCGATACTGCATCGTGGACGGTATCACCTATGTATCACCTAGGTATCACCGATGTATCAGGTTTATGTTCAAAAAGGAGAGAGAACAGACCAACGAAAAACAACAATGATCAAGAGATAATCCATCATCGCAATCATCAACTTCTCCTGAGCTCATTTTTGTAAGAGGCTGAAGCCTTGGTTAGTAGTACTTGGCCTGTGGCCTTCGTTATAGCTGGTTGGGATAGGCTGCAACCCTCGGAGCGTTGTCGGGGCTTCATCGGCGCCCCACGGACCCTTAGAAGTTTCTCGAACCTAGCACTACGTGATACATAGACTCAGCGCAAGCGTAGTGTAGCTTCTCTATCGAATTCATTACTGTTATACCTTGCACTTATGGTCAACCCATCGCACCCTTACACGCTAACGGCTGCTTAACCTGTTATCCAAAAAACGATTTGCCCATGTATGATTTCGTGGGTTCTACGGACATGTTATCTTCTATCTTCACATTGAGCCAAGCGGCTTATAATTGCCCTAGATCATATCTTGGAAAACGGCCTTCCTCGGCGGACTTTTGTCCAACACCTCTCCTATCTTGTCTTATGCAGCCAGACTTGTCGTCAATACTAGCCCTATCAATCCATATATCAATCCATATCAATATCAGTGTTCTAATCCATATCAATACATACCTTACCAATTCAATATATATCAATCCATACTCACGAAATCACGTGAAGCGCGAAACCGCGTTTTTTTACGCGTTTTCCCCACAAATCTCTTCTGTCTCATACTCTATGCAACCACCACGACCGCTTTGATAGCTAATATGGCTCCCTTTACTGACCGGGGCGGTCTCAATCGGTCAATGCGAACTACATCTCCCTCCCCGCTGTCTACGCTATCCATGACACCTACTCACGTAGTCGAAATAACAAGGTGGCGAAAATCACAATTTTGGTATCAATCAATCAATTCAATATCAAGACTATCAAACTAATCAATTCCCATGTCAATACACCCCTTATCAATCAATACAGTATTGACGACAAGTCTGTATGCAGCCTCTATCGGCTTGACTCAACCAGGATTTCTTGGATCAATCTTTGCCGGAGAATGGCTCTGGCTGAACGAATAGTCTCTCTGTCAGGTTGTTTGAATGAGGCGCAATTTTCTGACGATCAGCATCGACATCTGTGCCAAAGATAAAGGCCCGGTGCGGTCGAGACCTGCCAGAATACAGGAAATGCTCTTCAAGGTACTTGCCTTGATAGATGCGCCGACCAGAGCCGAAGATAAACGGATCGCACTTCGAGTCGTCAAAGTGGGACATAGTTTCAAAAGCTATCTGTCCGTCAATAGATCGAGCAGGATGGGAGCGACACGAAAACAGGTGATGTCTGAGATCCATCTTGAGTTAACATTCCGTGGGGACAGATGACTGTGTTGAGAATGTAGCAATGCCTCCCCACTTTCAGTCACGATTGGTTTCGAACAAAAGCCTCTGCGGTGGAGCTGTATTCCAGCTTCCTCCTTGTGGCCAACCATAATAGTCACAGAGATTCAAACGCGCCAACAATCCGTGTTTCAACGGATATGGATGCGTGTTTGCACAGATCTTGTGGCGTGCTCTCGCAATCCACTACAAGGACTTGTCTGCTGACGACTCCTGCTAGGCGATCTTACAGTACGTCGGGTTTCTGTGTGGTGTTCTATTTATGGCTCACCGGTATCTTTGTAGATCACTTGAGGACTATACCTAGCGGCCCGCTACGGGTCGAACGCTATGGCGCGTCGCCCGGCTGGATTCCCTGGCGAGTAGCATCCGTGTTTCATTGGTGCAGGCTAATTACGTTTATCAAAGTAGCTAAGCAATGCAGGTACCAGGAGTCAGAGTGCGCGGCTTCTCGGTTCTCCCATGCACGTATCCGCTGCCTTGGCGCAAGGAGATATTGATGGTCTACCGGGATGTAAGGGGCGTTGATGGGAAAGCGAAGCTACCCATTGAAAACAAGGACCAGAACGTATCGTGAGGAGCCTAGCGTAGTGTGACTTAGAGCAGTGTGCACTGCTACCCCTGTATTACTCCACCATCGCTACAGGTAAGAAGCCGACTGTGTTGTCTTTTTAGACATCCTTGCGACTCCCAGTAAGCGGAAAACGTTTGGTTGTGAGAGCGGTGTCTGATTTACTGCAGAAATGAGGCCTGTATCTACACTGGGAAGGTAGAGTACCAATCTCGATCCAGCCTACTTGCAAGCCACAAGTGCCTTGGCTTGTCATCAGCCAAGCGAGACCCTGGCCAGTATCAGGCTGCCATCATATGTGGCACGGCGCGTTGCAAGGTGTCGCGACGGAACGAAATGACGTTAATCTGTCAGTCTACGGCGGTATGATGTACGCTAGCCAAGCCGAGAAAGTCATAGCACCGTAGGAAAGGTGGGTGGTCGATTAGTCGTGGCTGGGAAGTGGCATGATGGATTCAGATCGGCTGTCCTTCTTCCGGCCGCGTCAATAGCACGGGCGATGTTATTTCGAAGACATGCCTATTTGAACGACAAGGCTGATGGTGGTGCAACAATTTCGGCGCCCCTCGATACATCCATCGACTATGAAATGGTTCATAGCCCTCGATATACTGGTGTAGATACAGGGCAGCTTTCTTCAATCCATGTGAAGGCCTTTAATTACTCGCTTCCCTTGGCACAAGGCAATGAGATTGTAAGCTTTTCGTAACAAGAAACACACGGTAGAACGAATCTGAAATGGGATTACAAACTGTTTGGTACGCTAACCTGTGTATCTACGCTGTTGCCTACTGAACTTCGCCACAGTAACTCTTGTCGTAAGCGGAGACTCAAATGTGATAGGGGGAAACCCCTGTGTGGGCCGTGCGCTAAATCGTCGAGAACATGCATTTTCAGATCTGACTTCCACGAACACAAGAAGATCTTTGACGATAATGCAATCTGGATGAATATCCCCAAGCATGGTGAGACATTTTCGAGGTTCTCGTATAACCCACGTAGCTCGGCTAATACGTTCCAGTAAAATTCATCAACACCACAAACCCGTACCTTGACCTCGATACACATGAGATCGACACCACGTTGGAAGCTTCAATAGATTCATCGGGACCATTCGAGACTCGCTCTCTGCCTTCACGGCGCACACGCAGCGACTTCGATTCAGTTACCAGCAAACCATCGACCATGGGGCCCGAGATGACTCCCGCCAGCGTTCCTTTCTGCTACACTCCTGACCCAGAAGCGTTACCACCACTCATGCAATCACCTCCAGCCTCAGTTGTAGGAACTCCCCTCTCATCTCCTCTATCGTTATGCAGCTCACGACACTCACCGTCCGGATCGGACGCTGGTATGTCTACTCAGGACGATCACGAGATTGCTTTCCTCCTACGACGGTTCTCAGAAGGTCCTAGCTACTGGATGGACCTGTTCGATCTCGGTACTTACTTCGCATCCTACGTTCCGGTGCAGGCGCGCGAAAGCTCACTACTCAGATACGCAGCTGTTGCCTGTGCTGCTAAGTCCCTTGCACGTGTTCAAGGCCGTAAGCTTGCCATGGGAGGCAGTGTGACGCGTCAAGCTCAGATGGAACAGTGCCCGGAAGCATCGTTGGTCGACTGGAAGCACAGAGCAACGATATACTACGACAAAGCTGTATCACTGCTGCTACACGCTCTCCAAATGGATGTCGCCTCCTCTTCCGATGAATCGGAATGCGAACTAAGGTATTCCAAGACGGCCTCCGATGGACCAGCACCCAAACGACGACGGACTTCAAGCGACACTTCGTTCGTATCGAACACCGATGAACTGTTGGCAGTCTTGGCCATTCTCTGTATCTACGGGTTCTTAGACACGTCTGTTTCGGATTGGGTGAAGCATCTCGCTGGTGCAAAGTCTCTCCTTATAGTTTCACAAGAGCATGCTATCCCATTGCAACGATCAACGCCTACATCATCTGTGCCATCCGAAAGCTTCAGCTTTACCTCAAAAGCTCAACGAGCAACCTTCTGGAATATTGCCAGACAAGATATGCTCGCAGCCTTCATCAACAAGACAAACACAAGGCTGGATACCGAGGACCTCTCGTTGTGGAGAGAAGCTGGCGTCAAGATCGATGATCAAGGCTACATCATGCCCAGTAACACGACAACATGCGGATCCTCTGGAGATAACGACATGGTGATGAGGGACGACCTCATCTGCAATGCCATTGTCTGGCTCATGGCTAAGCTGGTCAACTTCATGGCTGCATGCGATGAAGTTTTCCCCAGAGCCGGTATGATATGGGCCGGCGTTCCTCAGCAAACTCTCCTCTACCGCTGGTTCAGTCTACGAAAGCAGTTCCAAGTCTGGCACGATGGTCTCCCGGTCACATTCAAACCTTCTGCCAGGGTACCTTCGCAAGCATCCGGGCCGATGTCCGCCAACGATAACGCGTCCATATTTACTAAGGTCTTTTTCTCCGTTCCGATGTGCGCCTCCACCATGCAAACGTACCACATGTCTCAAATTCTCTTGTTCATAAACAAGCCACACGAGTCCACCCAAGGGCGCAGCACTGTTGTCGCCCGCATGAACTCTTATCAGTCCATTCTGGACGCCTGCCAAAAGCACAGCCGCGAAATTGTTGGCATTTCGCTCGCTCGGTCTGACGAGGCGGTCCGGATCCACTCTGTGCAACCCCTGTTCACTGCTGGACAGTGCCTCCGTGACGCTCGGGAGCGCCAAGTCGTGTTACATCTTCTACGAGACATTGAGTCCGATATTGGTTGGGCCACGGACTACCGAGTGTGCCAACTCCTTGAGCAGTGGTAAGAAGAGGAATTAGAGGGCATATTACCACAAGGTGCCCTACTTGGAGGCTTCGACAGCCGCACAAACTTTGCCACTCAGTAAGTCCACCTGTCTGCTGTCAGCCTTAGCTATGAGTGTAGGAGCTAACGACGCATATTGACAGGCCTTTCCAAGCACATCGCCAATGATCAGACGGTCTTTCGCATTGCGGCAGCACGGGCAGCAGTTCCAGACGTGTACAAAATGGGAGATTGTCACCACGTTATTGGTTCGAGTCCTCTCTTACACTAGCTACTTCTAACCTCGCCCCCATTCTGCTACCCATTGACGCACGTTGCGCTTTTGTGTCTCTCACCCCTCACTTCAGCCAACTTCAAACAGCCTCATTAGTGCAATTGTCGATCGCATGGCACATTGAAGATGCTCACGCTACACCACACTCTTTCCACTTGGTACTTACTATGTCAAGAATGTCGACAGTGGACTGGCTCGATAGATCTCTTGGAGAAGCAGAGTAACGAAATCCCGTTCCTGTCCCCATGCATGTCAAATTACACTTTGTCGCGACAAGAGAGCTACTACTTTCACAACACAGCAAGTGGTCATAGATGAATACAGGTAATGGAAATGCCGGACGGCGTCTGTACCGGGTCATGATGTGGGTCATGACACGGGATATCGTACGATGGTGTAAGTAGATTGTGTGTATTCTTCTTATTCATCACCGAGAGGTCTGTGATCTAAGCTTATATACATAGAGTAGTGGGCTGATTGGCCGCTGAATAGTCCACGCGACCATGCAAGGTACCCTGGGCTTACACACCTCCCTCAGGTTCGAACGTATGTAGAAGCTGATGTGATCATAGGCCACCCCCTACCCTGTTCAGGTAGAGCTGCTTGTTTGAGTGCGGTGGGTAGCCGCTTGATTGGAGCAGTTCCAGGTGGGGATCGTCCGCCGTCGCGGTGTTGGTTGATCTCGCTGATGAGCGTCCTCAAAAGCATATGAGATCTAATTGCCTCTCGCTCTGTATGGAGGTTGGTGGTATCCCTGACAAACATGAAAGTAAAGAGCGTAAGGAGTACAGCCTCATTAAACCTGTAAAAACCGTGTAGGAAAAACCAGGAAGAGTACTGTACATTGTAGAGCTCATAATTTAGGAAATGTGTTGAAATGCAAAAGTGATACCCAATTTTCGTGTCTCTGACGAGGCAACAGTTTAGTTAGACCATCTGCTGGCTGGCTTTTGGTCTGTATGTATGAAAGATTGATGTTGTGTGCTTGTGCTTCCTGGCGAAGCCAGTGATGATGTATATCGACGTGTCGCAGTGAGGTCTTGAGGCGTGGCGTAGCCGTAGTGACTAAACGAATTGTCTGCTGGTTGTCACAGAACAGTATTTGCTCATTGCCTGGATCGAATTCGATGTCCTTGAAGAGCCTCCACCACCAGAGAAGCTCAGTGCCTGCTGATGATGCAGCAACCAGCTCAGCTTCAGTGGTAGACTTGGTAACACATCGTTGAAGTGTCGCTTTCCAGTCAATAGGGCCGCCAAACAGGAAGAATATATAGCCTTGAGAGCTTTTCCGTGTGGCCTTGTGGTCTGCGTATGAGGCGTCGGTTGCACCAAAGAAGTCTGGCTCATCGTGATGGACGATGTGAGCGATGTCGGTGGATATGGAAGCATCGTAGTAGAGCGCTTGATCCTTTGTTGCGTATAGATAGGCAAGCGTCTGGTAAGCAGCGTTAATGTGAAGCTGACCTGGATTGACTAGAAATTCTGCCAATTTTGAGTGAGCTTTAGAAACATCAGGTCGAGTAGCAGTGGCAACATAGCCAATTGATCCAACTAGTTGTGCGTATCTGAGTTTGTTGGAATCGCTCTTTGGTTCGTCAGAAGGAAGCAGTTCGTCAAGTGGAAGCGGAGTGGCTGGAGGTCGATTGAATGACTTTGGTGATGGATACTTAGCACTGAGCTTGTCAAGGTATGCTGCTTGTGATAGCCACATTGTTCCAGTTGACCTGCAGCGATGCGTCTGTATACCGCAGAAGGTGGCTAGCTCCCCAAGCGACCGAATCTCGTAGCGTCGCAGCAGCTTGCGTTTAAAGTCGTTAAGAGCAGCTGTGTGAGCTGGTCTAGCGAGGATGACAATGTCGTCAACGTAGAAGAATACTATCAGTTTGTCGTTCTTCCATAGGCATGGTGCATCTTTGACTTCTTGCAATCCAAGCTCTTTAAGAGTCTTTGTGAGTTCTTTGTACCATAGGAGTGGCGAGGTTTTCAAGCCATACAGCGCACGGTGCAGTTTCCAGAGATGGTCAGGGTCAGAGAAGCCTTCTGGTGGATGGCAGTATACTGGTACAGCAAGCTGAGCATTCGTGAAGGCGTTTACTGCATCGTACTGTCGAACCTCCATGTTGAAGTAGGCTGCAATGGCCATCAGAGCTCGAAATATCCGGATAGCTAGTGTGGCAGCGTACGTATCCTCAGCCGTGGTTTGAAGATCGCCTCGTACGCAGATTCGAGCCTTGTACTTGGTGAGATATCCTTCACTGTCAAGCTTGTATTTGAATACCCAGAGCAGTGGCAGGACCTCGTGGTCTTGAGCGTTGAAGTCCTTCCAGTTGATGATCCTGTAGGTACCTTTGCGCTTGACGTCAGATATTTCGCGGTGCATAGCTGCTATGAAGCCTTGCTTGTGTTGGGCTGGTAGCTTCATCACATCCTGGTAGAATCGAGGTTCAGGGGGAAGATCTGTGTGATGAAATCGCGTTTTAGAAGCTGTAGTGGATGCCGCCACAAAGGCAGACCAATATTTGTTGACGAAGAAGCTGCTGCTTTTGCGAGAAGGCTTTCGAGCTCGTGTTGATCCTTCAGGAAGGATATGCGTTTCGCGTAGGTTGCTATCGATTAGCTCGCGGTTTCGTGCAGCGTTTGAATCATTCGTGTCAACTGCGTTGTCTCGCTTCCGCTTCCTTGATGTTTGAGTAGAAGGTTGGAGGTCTAGTGTAGGGCTGCGACTAAGAGTAGCTGATGAGGCTTGATTAGGTGAATCAGCACCTAAATTAGGAGAGACTGTAGTGTCTGGTGTTGGCAAAAGAGGATCGCTGTTGAACGGATCGTGAGGCTTCGAGTGATTGTCCAGAGGCGACCTGAATACCGTTTGGTCGAGTTCTGGTGCAGTACTATACTCTTCTTCTGAAGAGTCTTCCAGATCTTGTATAGGTGGCATTTGAAGTGTGTAAGTGGTTGTCTCAAGCTCCTCGCCTTGCAGGATTGGATCAGATTCGTCCTGGTGCTGATAGAAGAGGTCTTCCTTGAATGTCACATCTCGTATCCGAATAACCTTTCCTTGATGTGCTCTGCTCCTTGCATTTGGTAGCCAAACTCGGTAGATGTTTGAGGAGTCGTATCCCAAACCCGATATCCAATAAGTGCGCGTGGAGATAGTTTGTCACCTCGTGGTATCTGTGGGCGGAGTGCGTATGCGCGGCAGCCGTATACTCGCAGGTGAGCAATTGAAGGCTGTTTCGAGTAGGCCATTTCAAACGGAGTCTTCCAACCAATTGTTCGTGTAGGTGTGCGATTAAGTAGATAGGCTGCAGCAACGTATATCTCAGGAGCGAGCGGTAGAGGCAGATTTGATGTAACGCTCATAGATCGGCTTCGTATGATCAGGCTCTTGCCTGAGCGTTCAGCAGATCCATTCTGCTCCTCAGTATGCGGTGCTCTGATCTGGAGTCTGATTCCTTCTTGATTGCAGTATGCTCGTGCTGAGTTGTCTGTAAGTCCATAGCCTTTCTCATCGTCAGCGATGATAAATGTGACCGTGGTATTGAATTCGCGCTTGATAGATCGATCAAGGCGAGTAAGGACTTTGAGCAGCGTTGCCTTGTCGCGTTTTGCGATTGTATACACGAAGTTGAGCTTTGTGCATAGGTCAAATCCATGGAAAACGTATCGATGTCCGTTGTAGCCAGTGACGTCAAGCTGGATGAGGTCGATGGCTACTGTTTCGAAAGGACGAGATGCGCCAACCTCGTGTCCGATACGATGTGAGATAATCTGGTGTGCCTTGTTCTGCAAGCATTCTTCGCAGTTGATCGTAGCTGGAGCAGAACCTGTAGGTGGCAGTATGCCTCTGACGTGGCTTGATAGCTGGTCGATAGCATCACTGCCTGCGTGTCCTAGCAAGACATGAAGCTGTGGTTTTGTGAGCAATCGAGGCTTGAGTGGCAAGGCTGAGTACTGAGGCCTGCGCTGATTGGTTGCAAAGGCTGAATGCTGTGTGGGTAGTGCTGTAGGCTGAGAGCGATGCACGACTAGCCAGTGACCTCCCAATTGAGTAAGCTTTGCGACTTCTTTCTGGGGTGTTCCTGCGCGGTACAGAACGTTTCGACCAGAGTCAAAGTGGACATCTGATGACGTGAGACGTGAGAGAGAGACCAGGCTGGTGAAGAAAGATGGGATTAGCGCTACTCGTTTCAACGTTGTTGTCTTGATGCCAATTGGTGTTAACAGAGGTATTGTGACTTCTCCCCATGCTTCAATCAACATTTCTGAACCCCCTGCTAGGACAATGTCGTCGTCAGCTGCTGGGGCCTTCCACTGGAATTCAGCAGGGTTGTTGCAGATGTGGACATCAGTGGCAGGATCCAGCGTCCATGAGTGGAGGAGCGGATAGTGTCGGAATGTTAGCTGATTGTTGAATGCGGACGAAAAGACTGCATATGCGTTGTGTATGGATCGGTCTGTAGGCTGATCGCCGGCGTCGATATCGATCGAATCAGGTTCGACTCGCTTATCAGCTTCCTTGCTTTTATGCTTCTTGTGGCGCCGATTCTTTTCCCGAATCTTGTTCAGTAAGCCTCTTGTGTCTGATTTCTCAAATGTCGTAATCTTCTTGGCTTTTTCCGGGTCTTCAACAAATCCTCGTGTTCTGAGAGCTGTGTCAATGTATGGACACTGACCCCAAAAGTGATTGTCTCCACATAGACAGGGCTTTGATAGTGTCTTATTACCTCTTGATCTCTTCTTCTTGTATAGAGATTCTTGGCTATTCAAAGTAGCTCCAAATACACCTCCATGAATGTTTGTCTTCCTTGAGTGTGTCGTTCGATGATAGCGTAGGAAGTTTGCGAGGATAGTAGACAGCTGCGACTGGTTTAGTATAGGCACGTTGCGATTTAAATTCCATGTCTCTTCAGCTTTGAAGATGTTAAATAAGACACTTGCAGCGTATGCAGCATCAACTTGCTTCACAGCTCGTACGAGATCCTTGTGTGCTCGGAAGCCATGTACTTCAGGTAGATCAAGTTGCTTCGCACGGTTGTAGGCTGTGATGAACTCACTGCACTAGTCTTCGATATTCGATCGTCGAGCGTGTAGGACTTTGGCTGCTTCGTACGCCTTTTGAACGCGATATTCTTGATCAGCAGTCGTTGGAGAGTAGAGTTCTTGAAGCGTCTTTATCTGCTCATAGATCGTTGGCTTGTCTTTGATGTGATAGAGTAGATCCTGCTGAATTGTCTTAGTAATGTGTGCTTCAACTTGTCCTAACTTATCTTTCAAGCGTCTGTATTCTTTGATGTCCTTGTAGTAGTTGCTGAGATCCTGATTGTACTGCATGAGAGCCTGTTGAGTAGGCTGAGTTGGTGGAGATCCATCAGCATTGACAGTAGGTGCTGGTCGAACAGGCCTCTCAGGCTTATGGAGTGGAAGATGGATCTGGTCAGGATCAATATACTCCCATACGTCTCCTGCTTCAGCAATTCGCTTGACAACAAAGATCCAGAGTTCCCAGTTGCTTTGGCCTTGGAGGACAATGTCTGAGGTAACAGTGTTATTCGACATGCTGGTGGTGACGCTTGTAGTAAGGTAAGACAGTAGGGTAGATAGGTAGGACGGTTCAATAATAGAGAGAGCGGATTAGGCCGGGCTCATAACTGTAAGTAGATGGTGTGTATTCTGCGTATTCATCACCGAGAGGTCTGTGATCTAAGCTTATATACATAGAGTAGTGGGCTGATTGGCCGCTGAATAGTCCACGCGACCATGCAAGGTACCCTGGGCTTACAGCCTCCGAATCCACCCTTTGCGTCCACCTCAGCAACCGTAGCTGCGGAAGAATCCTCACTGCCAAACATGCAACCACCAAAGCAGCCGCAGACTCGAAGCTCACTTCTGACCTCGGCATCGACCGTGGCTATCCCATCCTCATCACGAGCTGCCTCTGAGGCACCATCTACCAACCCAGCGGCGCCAACTGCCGGTCTGAAGACCAGGCGTGGGATAATCGCCAGCGGTGCTCCCGCTGAACACCTTGCCAGCGCTTTCACAAACTCTAAGGTGTCCTGGCTGGCCAACTGGTATTCCGCCCCACCCCACCAGCTGGCGCCCGGCATGACCTTCGTTCCTCAAAATTACGGCAAGAAATCTGACGAGAATGGTGACTGGACCAAAAATGCCCAACAAGCCGTCAAAGCGGGAGACAAGTACATGCTCAGCTTCGGTGAGCCCGGCACACCCAACGCTCAACTCCACATGGACCCGAAAGAGGCTGTTGACCTCTGGATGGCTAAGATGGAACCGTTTGCCAAGCAAGGCGTCTCCATCGGCGCCCCTGGCACCCTTCAGAACACCCAGGATTTTGAATGGTTGTCCCAATTCCTCAGCCTGTGCAACGAGTGCAGCATTGGTTTCCTCGCGATGCACTGGTATGATAAGGCTGAGCTCAAGAACGTTCAAGGTCTCAAGGACACCCTGAACAAAGCCGCCGCCATCGCTCAGGGCAGGTCTATCTGGCTCGCCAACTTCCAGGCCGATGGCACGCCGGAGGCGCAGCAGGAGTTCCTTGGGGAAGTTATCCCTTGGTTGGATGCCCAGGAGAACATTCAGGCGTACGCATATGTCCCTACCGATTCTTCGACCCCGGGCGCCAGCTATGGCATGGTCGATGACCAAGGCAATCTGAACGCCTTGGGCCAGTTGTACGCTACTTTGTAAATTGGTGGTCGTAAGACTTGGAAAATAGAGGTAGGAGGACTGAGGGGCAGAAAACCAACTTATTAAGAGGAAACATTATGTTTTTATTATTTCCTTTTTGTTCCTTTTTGTTCATTTTTTGTTTGTTTTTGTTGCACAACAATTTGTACCATTTTGATTGTGTTTCATTATGCGAGTAAGCCTAACAAGATAAAATGTCGCAGTACAGTGAGGTTGTGTATAAACAGACTGATATAGTAGTCCTTCAAACGGTTACAGTAACACAATAGCTTCACAGTCAGCCTTCCCTGTCCTCAAGCTATTTAAACACGCAGCCTAGTTCAATTCAACTTCAGTAAACCTCATTTTTCATTACCTGATACTACTGTATCCAGAACCGTCACATAAAACCGCTCTTGAGACTCGAACAATTCCTCAGTATCGGCCATACGACCGCAACCGTCATCGTCACTAGAAGCCTGCTATCTATTGAAAGAGACTGACACCTCTACCTGGTTCACCCAATGTTACAAGCAAGTGGCCGGCAGATTGCTTCTCGGGCTATCCAGCACAACGCGACAACTACCCTCACACGTGCTGCAGGAATGTAAAGAGTCTCTGGAGGGACGCTTAAGAGATGGTGCAGCAGGACTAGCTTACAACGCCATAAAACACATCGGCACTACGAAATCATCGGCCACTCAAGGTACGACGACTTATGATGGTACTGACTGATAGATATGCCGGTGCCTGTGACTGCGCAGCTGCAACGCACTTGACTGGCATCTGCCGCCTTTCACCTAAGGCGTTTATTCCTCCGTGATGTTCGCAAGCCGGGTGCTTGACTGCAATGCGGAAGATGCAGTTCCACGCAACATACATGCTGTTGACAGAGGTATGTAGTGTCTAAGTGCAGGGTAGATCTGACAGACTCGCTGATCCTATATCGGCGACTCTACAGAAACTGAAATGGAAGGATTAGCTTGCCATTATCGCCTTTGGCTCTATATCTCTTATGATCACGCTTTATGCAACAACTCTGGTCACTTTCCTTCTAGCAAAGCCGAAATAGTTAGGCTAGGACAGTCCTTATGCGACATACGCCAAGACGGTGGCAGACGCCATCTGACCAGGTAAGTCTTACCTGCCCACCTCGACCATGTCTTTAGGTTCGAGTTCGTCAGCCCAACAGCAGGAGTATTAAACAACGCATCACGGGCACATGCGTGAGCATTAACTAGTGTAAGCGCTGGTGCAGTCAGCCTCCCCCTTAGCAGACAAGCAAGAGCCTTGCCCACCATGGTAATGAATTTTGGCTCCGCGTGCTGATCCGCATATGATGATGTAAGAGATACGGCGAATGATTCATTAGTGTGTCGGTGTCATCAAACGAGTCACCGACTCCACCATCAAATCGGCAGCAGGACAGCACCGAGCACCGAGCACCGAGCACCGAGCACCGAGCACCGACCATAATGCCCACAAGTGGAGCTAAGAAAAGTTGCTACACTGGTACGTGTCAGGTTGATGCTCATCGTACCCAGAAAAGAACCATGACCATATAGCCGCTTTCTATTGGCATTTTCCGCCAACTCAGAAGTGAACATCTGGATCGTTCAAATTAACGGTTATGTTGGAGAGAAGAACTCCACCTTTTCCCGTTGATAGCTGGGTTCTGGAGATGAGCATGAGCGCTCCACTGTGAAACTCTTAGGCCTTGTTGGGCGTATTGAAGACACTCAATTTCTTTCATAGCCTGGCAATTCAAGTCGTTGGGCGCAAACGCTCTTTAGCACAGCAGTCTCAACACCAGAGTTGTCAACAATCAATCAGATCGGCATGATTGGCTCCTATCTAGGTATAATACTTTCCTAATCGAGGCAATGCTAACCTAGGTAGGAACCAATCATGCCGATCTGATTGATTGTTGACAACTCTGGCAATACAGCCAACACGATTGGATCGCAGCATCTTATGCGCAGAGCAGCTGGCCAGATTACAAGCCACAGGAGCTGTAATGAAGTTCACATTGGCACAAAGGGACGATTTCATTTAGAAAGCGTATTGCATACGCTAGTTGGCTTCAGGATATTACGCCAGCATTTAGTGGCCAGTCCATATGACTTATGTGAGAGATAAAGGCCGACGTAGGAATGGAATACGGTCGAGTACTTGATCTAACGAGTCTTGCTGGTTGATGGCATCAGTCAAGAGACCAGTGAGCGATACAACCCGTCGAATGTCTTCAATGTATCATCAGTCAATAATCTGGACCGAGCGAGCGACGCGAAGATCTGCCAAGAGAATTGGCTAGAGGTGACATTATCCCGATGAGCTCGCACGGAGGAAACGTCTGGATGAGAATGAAACATGGCTTTGTAGGTCTCTCCCCTGAATACGTGGTCTACAACGAGGCGGGACAGCCGAAGCAATGCAGGGAGTGTTATTGTGGGACAGAACAGCAGAGTCCGCAGGACGCAACGAGAAGATGTGCCGGACACATTGTGACGTAGTGCACAAGCGTGCGCACCAGAACACAAACACATCGCATAATGATCTTTCGAACAAGAATTTTCGAAAGTACATCCTTTTAGGCAAGGCCAACATAGACTAGATGCAGAATTATGATGTTTGGTTGGCATGCACATCTACCTGATCCGCCGGCTCGCCCACGGAAGACCATGGCGGGCCTAGACGCGACAAATCGGCAAACCCATACTGGCACCATCGGTGCCAGCCAAACGTCCCGCCAACAACTCAGGGCACGGTTGGGGTCAGGGGTGAGCACAAGTATTGGTGTGTGCATATCACATGTTAAACACTAGCTCCGGGAAAAGCGGCTTCAGCGGGCCTACAGCAACTCTTTTGACAGCTACTCGTTGCAGAACCCAATGAGCTGACCGGACTATCTCCCCTGCAATGTTACATGATGCCGTAGTGCGGGCAATTTCGCTAACGTACGAGAGTACTAGCTATTCTGGTGTTTTCGCTGGATGTACGGCGCCTGTGAACAAGCTACGTTAGAGTGACCATCACAATCAAACAATAAGCCCCTCACTCTTCTCATACCACACGTACGTAAAGTCACTAGGATGTCTCACGGAAGCATGCGTTCGACTGATTAACCACCAAGAGCTCATGTGAGCCAATACAGCACGACATTCAACTTGCGATCACAAGTAAAAAGGTAACTTCTACAACCTCGTCCATATCTCTAACCCCCCAAACATGACTGACGATGGAACCACTGCTTATGCCTCACCTCAAGCTCCTCGTTCCGTCAGACATCAAACCCAGATAAAACTGCTCGGATTGATAAGACGGCCGTTTCGAGGGAGAAAGAGATCAAGCCAATCCGTTGTGTTCGTTAGAGACGTAGACGACGGTCAAAGAGTAGATGACAACAAGCAGCAGAACCTACTTCTACTGCAAGGCCAAGGACAGAAGGATAGCTTCCAAAGATCTTGTGAGTAATCCACTTTTGACATTACAAAATCGGTGGCTAATAAGACCCTGCAGTCAAAATCCTTAAACACAGTACCTCCAGCCCTTCCGGCTTCCACCATCTTACGCATATCGATCAGAATCACTCTACCGCTCCAGAAGAAGACTCAGGGCAGGACTCCATCGCTGGTTTGTCAACGGCATACACCTCGCAGGCTATCACTTGCAACGTAGTTGGCACAAAGACTAGTCAACTTCGTCTAAATGGCTCTTCGTCTGACGAGGTGGTAAACGAAGGGACTGGGAGATTGAAGACAATTCCTAGTTCGATTCCACTCCCGCTCGATGTGGAGTCGCACTTTGAATGTCAAACCCCAGACTGTATCATGCAGAGAGCGAATATCAGACAACCCCTTCATTTCACCAGATCTGTAGAGAGTTTCTCTCAGCCAGCCATCCACACGCGACTGTATTCTTGTTCGAATTTCGGTGCAGATCCGCCTCGAGAATGGTCGCTTGTGTCCGTCACGCCTTCACGGGGCAGAGATCCACCAAGCTCATCCTATTTTAATCGCACAGCGGTTCTATGCCACGTGTCCCTGCCGGGTTCCGTAGCAACTGCGAAGCAACTGTCTGGGATCCGCGACTGCGCAAATAATATTGGACATGCTCTTACAACCCTAGATTCTGCCACTTGCGCCGTAACGCAGTCATTCAGCTTCCACTTCGAGGGTACGATCGAGAATCAGGAAAGGATCGTAGGCCTGGAAGCCGCACCGCAACCGGTCCTGCGAGCAACAAGCCCTGCGAGGCTATCTGTTACTTGCAACGAGAGAGCCTCCGTTACACGACGTATACCACAGATGCCGGATGTTGTGAACTCATCAAACCAAACCTGTAAACACCCTGCTCGAAGGTCATCCTCCATAAGACGCAAGTCAGGACCACAGCCAGCAATTGCAGGATCTTGGGAAGACGAAGTCGATTACATCTATGAGAATTCTTTGGAAGCCACCTGCGAGTTTGACTGGAGCCGTGCCTTCACCGATAAGAATTTGTGACCGCTAGTGATAGGAGTGGGTCGGGGTATAAGATAGTGACAGCGACTTAGGATAGAACAGATGTAATGCTCTAGAGTGTAAGGTACTACAGGTAGTGATAAGTTCCAAAGTAGATGAGTGTGCGCGCTAGCCTGGGCGAGCCTCAGCAGGCGAAGCCGAGGCTTGCAACGGGCTTCCGAGGTATACCAGACACAGCCGGCAGTTTGAGATCGATCGGTTCAGTGACTGGTTCGCGCCATCTCCAGAGCTCGCACGGCAGTATCGCATTCCACCACTACCTATGCAATGGAAGCATGGATTGGTACTTACTGTCAATCAATTAAGTCGTCCATCTCAATGATACGCCGCAGCACCATGACCTTCAGAGATGGAAACACGCCTTCCATAAGTTACTAGCTCTCCACGAAGACATTCATGGCCTTTTGTATCAGCCTCACCGTCCTCCTCAACAACCTCATTTCCTCTGCTGCCAGAATGCTTTGGTGTTGCGGTGGCGGCGCGTTGAGATTACGCGCTAAGCTGAATTCAGTAAAGATTCTCCACGTTACGCCCGTTGACCTATCCGCGACCTAGCCATTGAAGCTCGGTCCCACGATATCCCCGCATTAACCTTAGAGACTGAAGCCGCTAGGCATGCCGCCAAACGGAGCTATATCGGACTGAAGCACACCCTGTGCTAAGGTTGTATTTACGCTTCTCATCCGTCACCCACGCCTGCCAAGCTGTGTTGGCTTTGATGGACGTTCGTACTTCCCCGAATATGCGAAACTCATGGCCTTGTGATGGCTGCGCTCTCCGAAAGGTGAGGTGCGATGGCATGCAGCCCTGCAGGGAGTGTCGCACGCGTGCGCTGAACTGCACATTTTTTCGTGTTCCAAAGAAGAGGGGGCCTAAGGGGCTTCGGCCATCGACGGCGCGAAAGATTGTGCGAGATATCGACGAACTCAAAGGGAAAGAAATGATTCGGCTCGGGGGGAAACCGATAAGATCTCATGTGGACCAGTGGGCCAACGCCAACACAACCAATGCTGCTTACTACGACAAATCATTAGCCGGACTCGATGACACAGGCGGCGATGTTGGGAATGGGATGCACTCACCAGACTTCTCGTGCGGGATCGCCTACAAGTACCAAAATCTCCCGTTCAAGAGCTACTGCCGATACATCGAAGTCTTCCGGCGGCGCCTCTACGTTGTCTGGCCGGTTGTTGACTGTGACGCTCTTATCGCTCGGTTAAGGGGTCGAGATGATGATTACGAAACCCACGCTCTTGCTGCGGCTTTGTGCTCTGCAGTGATCGCTCAGCTACGGCTTCCAGAGCACACCGCATCAGTTGACGGTGTTTCGTCCCACCACTTTGCACAGGATGCAAAGCACTTTCGAACCCTGTTTGACTATCGGGAGACGTATTCCATGTTTTCTCTATTGACATCGTTCTTTCTTCACATCTACTACGCCAACACGGAAATGCTGCGTACTGCAGGACTGCTACTGAGGGAATGCATTACGTACGCGCAGGGGCTAGCACTCGACCAGAGCTCAACTTATAGCTCACTCAAAGCAATAGAGCGAGCTTCAAGTCTCCGGGTGTTCTGGCTGCTCTTTGTTTCTGAAAGGTGGGATACGCCGGTGGAGTCTCGCCTGATATGCGTTGACCATGGATATAGGACGTTCTGTGCCGAGAACGGATTGGCACCGATACTTGTTGCAATCGAAGAGTTGCCCCTTCAAGAGAAGGAGAGCAATGAATCTAGCAGACCGATTCTAGCATTCGTATGCTTGATAAAGCTTTTCATACACCTCGAACACGACTTCATGACCACCCCGTCACCAACTATGCCGCTCCAATCTGAAGAATTGGGGAAACATAAGCTCTCTCTGTATCAGTCCAACCTCAACTTCTGCACGGAAGCCGAGTCTTTTGACGAGGCTCAACGAGTCGACCTTTTTGTCACACGGCAATGGATCCGGATCCTGCTTTGGGAGTATACCATCAGGCGCTTCTCCATGTCCTGTAGATTAGAAGATCAGGCATTCTCCTTGTTGTTGCCAATCACTATTGCGCATGAGATGCTGAGCCTCTTCCACGCCGTATCCGAGAGCTCCATTCAGCTGCACGGTTATGGGATGGTATGAAAACTCTTTCAAACCTGGGATCAAGCACCGCTAATCAAGGAGCAGGAATTGAAGGTCTTCCGAACGGCAGACTCTCTCCTGGACACTCTGGCTTGCATACCCCTAGCAAGGTGCAGCAACGCAATGGTTGTAGGGCCCAGAGACATTTTGCATTCCTTAGAACGGGTGTTGTCTACAATTGGAGGACCTAACTCTTCGTTTTTAGCACGCACGCGGCAGCGCATGGCGGTCATGGAGCTTCCAGTCAGCTCTTCGTCTTGGCTCGCTCTCCCCACGACACCAGATGATGGGGATGCGGGGTCTGACAGAGGGCAATGGGACGCGAGAGACTTTGCCCAGGGCGATGACGCCTATATTGCAGGGTGACATAGGTCATGCTGAATAGAATAGACCACCAGTTATGGGGAACCTAATGAAGAAAGGCTACCACTAGTAGCATCTAGCCACTGTGCAGATTGTTGATCCACTGCTAGGTTACATGATGTTTGTTGTCTTTGACGGATGAGGAAGTTGCCCCGCACTTGTGGTGTGCTGGTGTCGATGCTAAGAGGTTGACGAATCGCAGGACCCAGCACAGGATAAAATTTTCGCTTTAATTCTGGAACCTCGAATCTGCTAACCTGGTAAAGCGAAGTGAGGGGCCCCGCATTCTGAGTCAAGCGGGTCTGTACATGGCGAACGGAGATTAATAGCGTAAGGGGGACTGTCACCCGAGCAGGGAATTGATTGTTCGCTCGAGTGTTAGCGGGAATTTTCGAAAGAAAGCGGTATAGAGGCATGCCTTGGCAGGAGTTGTGACGTTTCATCATGGCAGAGGGGAGGATGGTCGTCGGACTTACAGAGGGGAAGGGCATGGGTTCTTTCCATCCATTCTCTACAAGGCCTACTACCGGCGGTAATGGAAAGAGGCAAACGCAGATATAAAGCGGAGTGAAAAGCACCATCTCTCGAGTATCCAAGGTCACGCTACTGCTTCTGCAACAGCACACACGCATCAAAGTGTGGTTGCCAGCTGTTGCCAGCAACGACGTCGTCACTCATCTAGTATTCTCCTTTTGTCCCAAGCAAGCCCACTACACCTCAAACCAAAGATGGTCTTCTCGATCAAGACTTTGGTCGCGTTAATTGCCGGGCAAGCCTAGTTGGGCCAGCTCGCGGCTGCCAAATCTGTGTACTGTCACTACATGGTCAGAACAAATCGCCATTCTACCTTTGTGATTCAAGACTAACGTACAAGTAAGGTTCAACCTGTCACGCCAGGTAGCGGTCACGCCGAACTGGACATCGACCAGGCAAGGAGTCTTGGAATTGAGGCCTTCGCGTTGAACGTTGGCCAGCCTGACGCAGACTGGGCTAGGAGCACGATCGGGCAACTTTTTGCCCATGCCAGCAGATCGGACTTCAAGCTCTTCTTCAGCCTTGACTTCTATCAGAACGGGGATATCAACGCTTACAACGGCATTCTGACCGACTTTCTGGGCCATCCTGCCTACCTCAGAGCCGGCCCTTATAACCATCCTGTTGTTAGTACGTTCAGCGTCGGGCAATATGGGCCAGAGCAATTCCGGGACTGGAAGGTAAATAGCTGGGGCAACTCGATCTACTTTATTCCGAATGCCGATCGGTCGGTCGGCTACAACAACCCCCCATCATGGTTTGAAGCGTGGAATCAGGCCGTTGAGGGTGTCTTCGGGTGGGAGAGCGCCTGGCCCGAGTCGGGAACTTCTCCCGCAAATGTCAGCGATGCGGTTGATATTGCCGTGCAGAATGCTGCTCACAGGAACGGAAAGACTTACATGGCTCGTGAGTAACCCCGGGGGCTTCTTCCCAGCTCCCCTTGTGCCGTGCTCAAACCTCAATAGCGCTGTCTTCTCTGCAATACAAGGACTGCTGCGGTGCCAATTACTACCGGATCGGTGAGGCCAACCTCCCAGAGAAGATGATGCAGCTCCTCAACCTTAACCCCGACTTTGTGGAGATCTTGACGTGGGTGAGTAGCGCCGCTAGCCCATCTTTCAGCTGTTATCATCAGCCTCATCCTGACATAGTACTTTAGAATGACGCCGGCGAAAGTCACTATATCGGCAACAATTGGCCTGAAGGTCTGACGCCGGAGATGCTCGCGTATTCCAACAACGAAGAATGGTCGCACCGTGCCTGGCAGCCTCTTATCGCATCATGGATTGCGGCCTACAAGTCTAACAAAGATTCTGGGGGCATGACTCCGCCTGCCGGCTCCCAGGCTATTGGAGCCATGTGGTACCGCACCATTCCAACAAATGCGCCTTGCGCAGGCGGCCGCAAGCCCGACAACTGGCAGTCCGCTCTCGACGCTGTCAACTACGCCGTTGTCGTCGCGCCTGATAGTGCTGGCATTGTAATTCGCGTGATTAGCGCCGGCCAGGTGATCAGTGAAAAGCGTGCTGCTGCAGGTTTGAACTATGGCTCCGTTCCAGGTATGAGGCTTGGCTCTCAAAGAATCGAGCTGGTTAACGGTGATTCTGTGGTTCAGGTAGCGGCCGGTTCAAAGGACGTGGTTGCGGATGACTCTGCGTGTAACTTTAACTATCAGGTCGTCGAACTTAAATGACCATTCCAAATAACTAGGTGAGGCTGAAAGGGGGAATCTAGATAGGCGAGCACGCAATTGTTGCGCTGTTACGCTGCCTCATACCAAAGCTGTCAAGTAGGACGAATGAACTTGTCAAGGTTTATACATTTTCTCCTTCTCGTGTGGCATTTACGCAAAAACCAACTTCCTTCCCTCCACGTCAGATTCCCTGGTTATGTCACGCACCTATAGAAGAGGTGTTTAGCCCTTGACAATTTCTATTTCTCCACAAGCTGAGGGGGGAAATAGCGAATAGTCACCCACTAAAGAACGTTGAAGGCTAGCACGACTGGTTTTTCTTTGCGCAAAGGGGCTTCTGACCCAACTTACATTAGCTCGAACAGTATGACTATGGTACTTTGACTTCATCCCGCATCTCAACCATAACTTCGCCAGATACGAGATCAGAGGCCAAAGTCCTTGGCGTACAAAAAGATCTCAGTTATATCTTACAGAAGATTCAGTAAGTCTGTTATATTGGTCGGCTGATCGGCCAAGCAGTTAGTTCTCAGATATTATGGCGCTACCGCAAGGTTGAGAACGTAAGCATTGACGTGGAAAGATGAATGTGAACATCTGCGACCAAAAGCGATATCAGAACACTTTTACTGTCGGAGTATAATTCTCCAACCTCGCTCCCTAACCTGGGCATACTAGCAACTGTGCTGCCTTGTCGTCAAGTATCAGCCAAAAGCAGCTACATCGCTGGGTCAAGCAACCTTTGTCTAATCTAGGGCTTCTAGGCTGCCCCACTTTGACCGCGGCCGAGCGTGATAATTCCATGATCTTCCAGACCTTGTGCTTAAGCCTCCTCCTCAATCTAACAATCCAGAGTCAATACTTGTACCCTTTTGGGTTTAACTGGACGCTGTAAGGTCTATGTAAGAGGATCTTAAGATTTAACGACAGTTCCACTAGGCCGACAAGATAGACTCCTTTCCCCCCTCAATTTCGCTATTCGATATGTTTTAGTGGCATTTAACCCCTCCGTGGGTCAACCGCTTTTGAAGGGCAGGATTGGAGCGAAAAATTCTAGCTTCGCACTGAGTTCCTTAGCGACTCGACTGATGTCGAGATCTGCATACAACAAATGCGGGGCAGCTACTACGCACCGTCGTGTACGGCAGACATTAGGTAAATTGGCATTAAATGGAGAAATACATTTCGCGCAGAGTCCATTAGCTGACAAGACTTTCGTTATCAGGGTTCCTACTGCCTGGAAGTTCATCTTATGCGAGATGACTCACATTACGATTTATACTAGAATTAGGTCGATTTAGACAAGAGTACTGGGGGTGTTGATGACGAAACGATTGCACCTGATTGCCCACTTTCAGTAGTCTAGGGGCGAACACGCTCCCGCTCTGCTCCTGGCCGACTGCGACGATGACTTTGCTCACTTGCATCAACAGGTCCGATTTCGGCTCTGGGGAGCAAAACAAAGAATAGTACTTAGATGATTTGGTAGTTAGAGTTTCATAGTTCTTGTGCTGACTATTATTCATCTCCACCACGATCTGTATGCAGACTATATCGCCCAGTGCTGCCATGTACATGCATACAAAAGGATAATGAGTAATCCACCGAACCGCTGGACCAATTGAGGACTAAGGACGATGTCAACATTGTTTTTCACGCCATATATTCCGAATCTCTTTCTTCCTTTCCTCTCTTTTCATCCCCGTCCTCTCTTTTCATCCCCGTCCTCTCTTACATTATCATCCCTTCCATTGTCTTCCCTTCCCTTTTCTAATTTTGCCGCGCCCAGACTTGCTATCAGTCAGTTCGATCGACAGACTGAAAACCTAATAAAGCTAGTTTCCGGTCGGGATTTCCTGTTCAGATTTTCAGTCTGTCGATCGAACTGACTGATAGTAAGTCTGGCCGCGCCATCAGTCCCCAGCGCTGAGCCCTGCTTCGCCCGTCCTTGTGAATAACTTCCTGGTCCTTTCGCTCCATTCGGTATATGGAATCTTCGGTCCACGCGCATGATACCATAGATATACACCGTTAGAATCTCGACACCGAAGTTCACTATGTAGAACGCCGCTTTATGGAAATACATTGGAAGAGGTTGGGCTCGAAGGACGGAGTGGAGCCAGGAAGTGCCGCAGCGGTATGAGGCGCCAAAGCAGATGAGCGTAGTGCCGGTTAAGAGGACGGCGACTTTGGTGCGAAGCTGGCCGTGGCCAAACGTATCCTGTGGTTGCTCTCGGGGGACGGCGAATGTGATGGCTAGGATTGGGATGGGTAGGAAGGAGACGATAGTTAGAAAAGTGGCGCTGTAGAGCTGGAGATCGCGGTCGATTGTTCGAGTTCTTGGGCGAAGGGTGTAGACCGATTGAACGGTAGCGATGATGACGATGGCGAGGGTGAGAGCAATGAGAATGTATAGGAGGATTAAAACGATGGATGGAATACGGTGCCAACCGAAGTTTGGATGTAGCGAGCGCACTACTCGCTGTGTCCAGAGCAGGTTGACGATGAAGATTATAAGAACACCAGCTGCGACGAAGATCTGAGCGGCGATGGCGAGTTGGATGTCAGCTGGTAGCGAGACTGAAGCTATTCGCAGGATGCAAGTTACTGTTCGGGCCATACAGAAGCCTGTCGTCCATGTATCAGTGTATCTCCCTCTTTAAATAGGTAGTCCTGCTCCAATTCGCAACATGGGGAAATTTACCAAACAGGAAAGCGGAGAACAGAAACTTGTGTCCTCGTCGTCTATTCAACTGGAATATCGTCATGTGTATGGCGGCACCGCCAATGAATAGAGCGAGAAAGACGGACGTTATGGGTACGTCGATATGTTTTTCTGACGCGCCCCCGAGGGACCATGCCTGGGATATGTATGGTGGACCTTGGGTCATCTATCTAAGGTCAGGGAAGACTGCGCACAAGGTTGGCGGATACGTACTTTGGAGGTAGGTCTTCCGCCTTGTGTTGCTAGATTGCGGTCTATTTAGGGAGGTTATGTGATTCTATTCCTGTAATGTGGCTCTTGCTAATAGAAGACTGAGTGCGTGTTAACGTCAGTGGTGTCCAGAGGTTATGTAGGGCACGGTCGCACTAGATCTCCCAGTGTAGCCCTGCATTTCGATTCTATTGTGGCTACAGGGACGCAAGGAAGCGGCTGTAGTATGATACCAGTCCCGCTCTTCGCACGAACACACGATGTGACTCCCTTCGCTTGACCACGGTGGTGCCGTAGAGACCGACTGAGATACCACGCAAGCTCCAGACCCTTGGCAGGTCGGAGGATCGGCAACCTGCTCATGAGGCCGAAGAGCGAGGTGGCAATGGCACGTGTCTACCTGCAGAGGGAAAAACTACGAGGATGAGATAATCATACTACTGTCAAGTCACTGATTCTCCTAGAGGACAAGAAATGGTGGCGTCCAGGGGTGAACAGTGTCAAAAAGCGGATAGTCGGCGGCCGAAAGGTCCGTGGACCGAGACGTCCGCGGCCTAAAGTTCGTTCAACTACCCAATTGGGTGCCACTTTCGAATTCTGCGTTATTAATTACTTTGATGCCTAGTGAACTGGTGGCTAGGCCGGGTTAAAGTTGCCCCTTTTCTACATGTTACCTTAATAATGCATCCATCATAACTATGGCTGCAGTCCCTTTCGCGATCGACGTCGAAAGTGGAGCCTATGCATCGAGCGAACGCAGAGACTTCGAAGCGGTCTTCGCACGACAAGCGTTGATGTTAGTGAGACGTCGTTTAGGCACTCAAGCGCTGAAAGACCTTCCCCAAGAAGAAATCGCCGCTGCCGATGAATATTGGAAAAAGATGTCTGCTGAATCGGATGGGAAGTTTCGCCCATCCCGCGTCGCAGTCTCCAAACGAGGACTCACTACCAAAGACTTCTTTACCTGCTTCATTCCGAACGGCTACATGGTTACCGAGGAGAAGATTGCTGCTCATCCAGAGCACCGGGTCGTTCAAGGCAAGCCAGGACCCCGGGAAATATATGTGCTGGAAACGGTGGGAGACAAGGTGTCGCAGTTTACGATGGTTGATGATGGAAATGCTGCAGGGTTTGTCACCAACGACCCAAATTATCCTACAAAAATGACTGGCAGGTTGATTATGGAAGGAGGGATCCAGATCGGCGAGGTGTACCATCAGTTCAAGGACCATGAAGATGGAAAAGGGTTCGATGCAGATCTGGCGATCTATTTTCCGGCTGCGTGCGACGACGATCTTATTGACTGCCATCGTCAGCATCTGCTCGTGGAGTTCAGCAACTGGTTTGAGGACGCATACAAGCGGGCTGCTAGGAGAACTTAGTAGTGTAGTGGCTAGCAAAAGACGCTCGATTCGTCGAGGTCGTTGGTCGCATCAGGTTCTATGTAAGCCTAGGACCACATCACATGACTGCTCAGCAGGCATGACTAATGCGTCTGACTACTTAAGAGCTCAGATCACACACTTGTCCATACACAGAACAATACACTCATACATGAGACCCAATACTAGTGCCACCCCATGCTTACATTCTACGTGGGAGAACTTTGGGTTTATCGATGTGGTTGACTAGCAAAATTCGGTGCCACAACGCTAGTCAGTGATCAGTATGGATGAAAGTTGGCTTCATACGTGGATTCCATCCAATTTCATCTCATCCATGGATTTCCATGGAATTGTCCACCTTGCCAAGGTTATTTATACTTTGTCAACGTTATCTTTTGGTTCAAACAACGCATTTAGCGCTGATTCTGATCTAGTTAGTTCTATCAGAACGTGGAGCTACTCAATCGTGTTTGAGAGTGACTATTTACACTTTCCTGGGAGGAGTGGCCCTCTCTCGAAGTTACCCACCTCGAGGCTGACTGTGGAGAGATTCCTCAAATGTCGTAGTTGAACGCCTATTGCCGTCTTCGTATCATTGCGAGCCTCTCAATACCTGGTGATGGTTACCTGTCACACGGTTGGGTGCGGGTATTGTAGACAGAAAAGTTAGAAGAGAGTGTATGTGTTTTATTGTTTGTAGCATCCTAGCTCAGCTTATATGGAGGTCATCGCACGGCGTTATTAGTAATAAGGTTCATGTTCCCGAAAGCGCTTGGCCTGCGACATTACCTATCTCCACAAGCTTACGGTTACCCCAGTTCGCGAAGCAGATGGCCGCTTTACGGTTTCTGATCTTACCTAGAGTCTGCCTTGATATGTCAATCCGCCTCATTGACTGGACGAGGAACGATATCGGTCTTGCGTAACGCAAGTAGGTACTTGATGTCAGCCAATACCAGACTGTGGATACTGGATGCTCTTCGGGGTTAATTGCATTAATCCAGCTTGATTGTATACTACCGGGGACAGTCTCATAGATGAGGCTTGGCGGCAGGTATGATCCATCAGCCCACACAGCAACTATGAGGGTAATCCAATCATGATTGCCATCCTGAATAGCTGCTCTCACTGCCTTAGTCTTCCACAACTGTCGGCTGAAGATCCTCTTCATCTTTGACAGCACATCGACCATGAAGCCCTTCTCATCCACATTGTATATGTGACAAGGTTCAATGCCATACTCGTTGATCTTCTGCTGTAGAAGGTCGAAGTAGAGCATGTACTTTGCTTCTGGATCAGCCTTGTGGCGGTTGCTGTCCATAGCAGTGGCCCATTGTGATATGAGACTGATCTTGTTGCGCTTGAGAAAGCGGGTAACCCAGCTCTCGGAGACTGATGTTTAAGCTATAGCTGCTGCTGAATTTTGCATCATACACCTTGTAGGAGGTACGCCTCGCTTTGTAAGTAATTCTATATATCGTACAAGCTCCCGCTTCTGTTATGGGTTTAGCTTGTGATGGTTGGGTCCTACTGTTGCGGGGGACGTTGTAACAGCCTGGTGCCTCTGCAACAGTGTAGAACGCTCAGCACCATGTTTATCAGCCATCTTCTTGTCATTCGAACGCTTTCTAGGCTTCAGCAATCCTATTTCTTTAATGGCGAGCGCAAAGCCCCAAATAATTGAGTCTCCAACTTCACAGGCAGCGTATGGGAATGGGATGAGCATACCCAAGAATACTGCCTCCACCTTCGCTGCTCCGAGCAGCCCGACACCAACTGGGACATCGTGGAGACCCGCCAAGCCATATGCAAGTCCGCAAACAGCACAATGATCTCCTTGTGCACGGGCAGTACAATGACTTGGACGTTGAGAATCAGGATTTCTTCGTCTTTAGCAAGATGTGGCAAGGGGGAGAAGGCCGTGTGCGTTCGCAATTTTACGGATAAGAGGAAGGGGTTGGATTTTCCAGAAATGGTGAAGGGGTAGAAGATGGGGTTCCTGGTTAGTAGTGTGGACGGGTGTGTCGAAAGGGAGTTGGCGGCTTTTGAGGGGAGGATTTACTGAATTGCGTAGATACCTTGGAGTAAAGTGGGAGGCCATGCCTCCTTCAACGAGTTGCTTACGCATTGACTAGGGTCACGAACGTTATCGCCGCTTGCAGTCAGAAAAGCCTGAAGTAATGTGTTGAACCTGACTTTACTGCGTTTCTATTTTTCCAAGCTATGGGTTACCGAGAGTAGCGACCTACATCGACAAACGGCGCGGGATGTTGTTCCAAGTAGCCAACTGCCCACTCCGCGCCTCCGGTCTCGGCGCCTCCTCATGTTGCGTTTGCCCCAACCTGTCCGCCACATACATGACTATCGTGGTTGAACCACATTAAGAATCGCTCTAGACCATACCATATTAGTATCGTCAAAACCATACCACGTTAATTATGGTGTTGAACCGCGTTAAAAACCGCGTTAAAAAACCGCGTTAAGTACATAAGCATTAATTTGAACGTGTTGGCGTGGTTACTTGCTTTAATACCAATCTATTCCACCCGCTCCCTCATCCACAACACCAAGGAGAGTTTCCTGAAGCTCTGGATCGATCGGTAGACCCACTCCACTGTCCCGAACGGGCTTAATGTGCCTCTGTCGTATCCAGTTGCCGATACACTCGATCATCTCGATAGTTCTTAGCTAGAGGTGAGGAGAAGAAGTAGATGTTGGTTGAGTTGCTAGCTATCTGAATGTAGGGCTTTATATACACAGTGATTTCTAAACAGACTATTCTAGAATGGCCTAGAATGGCTGACACTGATAGCCGTTAAATACATCAAATCTACAGAATTGATAACTAATCGGTAGTGACTACTGCCTGTAGAATGATAGCCTGCCTGTAATACGATAAAGGGGCGTTTCCCGGTTCGTTGTTGCCTGTCGGCATCAAGAGCTGTATCTCTGCATCCAACATGTAGTACCTGCCAAGCCATTAATGCGTTTTGCGGTTGAACCACATTAAGCTAATGGACTAACCTGGTTTAAACTCAACACCATCAAACCGCGGTTAGATATAAACCAGGTTTAGAACCACGTTAAGGTGGTCATGTATGGTCCGCCATGGCCTCAAGGCCCGCAGCCATCTTCGATAGTGTGACCTGGTACCAAGGGTCATTCACGCCGTCGGGCTGTGCAGATCGAGTGGCAAACTGGGCGAGCTAGCATTGCTGAGTGCCTCAGGAAACATGGTCTGGAGGCGCTCTAGTTTCTCTAGCAAGATGCCGCGACGCGTCTGATCCAGATGTGGGATTCGCAGGACAAAGTCGAGGATGAAGAGGAAGTCGTCGATTCGTAGGGCTGTTTCATCGAGTGTTGCTGCAGATACGTGGATCAGTACGTCGGCAATGGTGTCTGTAATCTCGAAGAGCTTTTGAGTGATGCTGGTGCCGTGGACTTCGATGTCTTGGCGTGACATGCTGGATACCTGTTGCCGGAGCGTCTGTGATAAACGTACAGGGAAAAGAAGCGACAGGCATTCTTCCGATGAGCGAGAAGACAGTAGTGTTCGACTCATGGCTAAACGCCAGACCAACGTGCGCAGCCATTCGCGTGTTATCGATAGATCGGCACGTTGCATCATGGACAGCATGGACAGTTCCCGGGCATCGGCTTCCGGGTCACCGTCGAGCTCGCGCGATTTGGCCTCGACCCAGGTGCTGGTGACGCTGCCTCCTTGCGAATCAAGCCAGCTGTTGAGAAACTCCCTATCCAACAGCCGAAAGAGTTTGATGGTTTGGTTAAAGCCTTCGTGAACTTGTATCGAAAGCGTAGGATCGTCTTCAGGTAAGGTGTAGAGCGGGGGTAGAATGGCTTGACGATAGTGCAAGATGGCTAGAAAACGCTCGTGTATGTATGCTTGCCAGTATAGCCGCTGTCTTCGAGACCGCTCTGGAGGCGATATCTGAGCCGCATTTTCCGGGTTGTCTATTCTTAGGAGTTGGATGATCGAAATCGCATCCCTCATGTAGTAGAACGCGGCGTCGCTGCCTTGCAGACTGATTAGGTAGTTGTGTATGAACATGGACTGCACGGCCCGCATCACTGAGAAGTGGAAATGTGTGTGAGCCGGTCTCATGTTTTCCATCGAATAGTCCATGAGGCTCTCAATGGTCTGAACGACTTCGTCTGTTCTGCGATCGCCATAGCGTGTGAGATTGAGTGTGCAACCGCCAAAAGTGTACACAAATGAGCGAACATCTTGGTTGGTGTCCATAATCTCGATGTACTTTCTGAGCTCATATTGGGTAATGACCGGATGGGCAGGGTAAACTCTATCGACGTAATCTGGTATGAGGTCGAGAAAGAATGTCTTGCTGTACTGCGACGTGAATGAAGGTACGGGAGATGCTGCCCTGGGTTAGCCGCAGCATTCCACGTTTTAGCTGGAATCTTCAAAGAGACATACTAGATTCGGCTCCGGTGCGTTCAACCGTCGGTGAAATAGGACTATACGACGCCTGAAAGCCGACTTGTCCTGGACGGGCAGGTAATATCGGTGGTGACATCGTTGGCGGGTTGGACGTTTGCTTCCTGAATTCCGCAATGATGTGACCTCTCTTGCCCTGTGACCTTTGCTTGCTAGACGGCGAGTAGATGCACCGGAGACCCAGATGCGCACATTGCTGGCAGCGCGTCTGCCCGTTGCAACGCACTTTCCTTCTTTTGCACGCGTTGCATGCTTTGGAGACTCTTTTTTTTGAAGGCTGGTCCATAGTAGCGGGTCATGTTGCGTGCATAATGCTTTTGTACGAGCCTCGGTGTCGGAAGGGTCAGAAGATCCGGGGGCCGAACGAAGGAATGCGGAGACGCGCTAATGTCGGAGCTCCATCCCTGACTGGTTTGCCTGCATGATGGGGTCAGTGCGGCTGAAGATGCAGGTGAGAGTGGTATGGAAGTCAGAGCGGAGAGAATCAATACGCGTACCTGAATCGTGACGGATGATCTCATACGCATAGCAACGTGCGTTGTGCCGGTATGCTTAGTTAGCTAGGTGTCAGTCCGCTTGAATTAACGATGAGAGCGGCGAAGAACCATTATCCTTGAAGCACTTAAAGACGTGCAAGGTCCCGCCACTAGAGGCTTAACAGCTAATAGATTACCTTATCCTGCCGTACACTGCCGTGGAAGCAATGGAAGCTTCTCAAGGCACAGCACAAGGTTAAATTTCTCGCTTCAACTATGTCCTTCCCGCGAATCACTTAGCCACCGATTCAGGAAAATTTACCAATGGATGGCTCACAGAAACGAAACTAATCCTAGGCAAGGTTTCTATAGTGGTTAATGATCGCACGAGCCGCATGGCTTACCGCACATGCAGCTTGGCGATGTGACGGTGCGTGGTGCTAACGGACGGGTAGCTGGGGAAGCTATGCCCTGGCCACTGGCCGCCGTCCACAAAGAAATGAAGCTGGCTATGCTGCCCTTGCGCTGACCATTGTGGTGTGCGAGCGCATTGAAGTCCTCCTGCATCCTACACTCAGTAGCGTTAATATTGTTGTGTACTTGTACCTCTCTCAAACCCTCGTTCCCCAACCGGGCCTGCCGACGTCATGCTGTGGTTTGTACAAGCATTTTTGGTGGTCGGCCTCGCGCAGGCACAGACGCCGCAGGTATGTCCAGACATTCTTTAGCTGCACATTACAACACCACTATTGCTACGAGATGTTTATATACCAAGCTGCAGAGGTGCTGCCGGATCTGGCGCATTTCGTTGTTGCGCTCTTTCCATTCCTTCGCGCAGTACAATTCAGGCTCCCAGCCTTGTTTACGAGGTCAAGTTGACCATAAACAAGTATCCTAACACCACAACCCCAGGCGCAAACAACACAGTTAGCAGTCCCTTGGATTTTGCTACAAGGCCGCCATTCTATCCAAGTCCGTACGTACAATCTCCATGTTCTGCAGAGCCCTTAGCCTTGGATGCCGAAGTTTGACATTTCGTGGGGAAGGACTACCATCACTACTCTTCATATCTATATGGGGAAGACGCGACTTATTTGAAGTTTCGTAGCCGCCTCCAAATCGCCTTTCGTCCTATGTTGCAAGCAACCTGTGCCCCGATACTGACTTCAGAACAACTGGAGCGACGGTGCCGGCGACTGGGTTCAGGCGTATGCGCAAGCAAAGGCGTTCATCAGCCAGTTGATCTTTCACGAGAAGGTCAAACTCACCACCGGCACAGGATGGCAGAGTGGATTCTGCGTCGGCGAAGCGGGCGCCATCCCGCGTCTCGGCTTCATGCGCTCTGCATGCAGGACAGCCCTCTGGGTCTCCGTTTTGCGGACTACGTCTCAGCTTTCGCAGCAGGCGGCACTGTCGCCGCATCTCAACAACGCGATAATATAATATATAGATGTTTATAGAGTGGATTAAGTACAATCTTAGGTATCCTTCTTACATGTACGTAAGTTATGCTCAGTCTCTTTGCACCTGCTGCAGCGCGCTACAGCCCGGCAGCTAAGGCCTAATTGCTCTCCTTCTTGACGCTCTTCACGAGCAATCTGCTGGTCAGCCTCTCGCTGAGCGAGTGTATCCTCTCCAGACCCCTTTGTCAAGACTCCACGCTTCTGGAGTCGCTTTTTCTTGCGCTGCTTACGCGCTGACGCTGCTTCGTTGGCTCTCTCAAGGCTGGTGATCCGATCGCGCATCAGCTCAGCTGAGAGCATCATCACCTCAGCGCCCTTCTTGAGCTGGTTAATCGCCTCAATGATCGAAGCTGGTGATGAGCTCTTGTGCCGTCGCACGCGATCACGTATCGACGTTGATTGAGCCTCAAGCTCACGTACGTTGCTCCCAGAGAGCCTCTAGTAGAGCAGCTGGAGTAGGCGTACGCAGCTGCACGTCGAGCTTTGATAGGACAACGTCTGGCTGGAGAGGAACAAGGCCTGCGCCTCGAAAAGCTGAGCAGATATTGGCTGACGTGAACGATTGATCGAAGGCTGCCTTAAACGCTGGCAGAAACTCGAGCTTCGTGATGTAGTTGATGTGGTGGCGGATCAGAGCCTCAATCTCGCGGCTGTATGCGCGCTTCAAAGGCGAGAAGCAGCCAACGTCAAGAGGCCATAGCAGGTGAGATGAGTGATGTGGCATACAGAGCGTGTAGATATTGTTCTCCTTGCAGAGCTCTTGAAATTTAAGCGACTGGTGGCTCTCGTGGCCATCAAGGATAAGCAGCCGACGTGCTCCAACTACCTTGCCCTCTGTATGCTCAATGAAGTGCTTTAGCCACTCAGCTCCTATCTCGTTGGTTGTCTAGCCGTTGTCTCTAACTGCGATCGCCCAGTCGCGTGGGATATCCTCCTCGTACCAGGCAGACAGGTGATACTGGCCAGTGAAGATGAGGAATGGTGGGACTGGCCAGCCAGCAGCGTTAATCGCAGCGATCAACGTCACCCACTCACGATTGCCAGGCTGAACAGCTTTTGGCCTGCCTCTCCTCTCTGACCCTGTCACGACGAGCTGAGTCGTGATCTTGCCCATCATGAAGCCAGCCTCGTCAAAGTTATAGACGTCCTCGTCGCAGATTCCGTACTTGGCCTTCGTTTGCTCTACAAGCTCGAACCAGCTTTGGATTAACACTGGATCCTCACATAGAGCTCTCGGTCTATCTTACGCTCGATTAAAACCTGTCGTGAGACTGTCTGTACGCTTGACAAAGTTGGCTGGCCACTTCTGCCCAACCTGGCCAGCGCCGCGCGCAGCCAGCAGCTTATCAGCTATATCACGTACAACTGCGTACGTGGGCGCAAAGCCACGTTGATCTAAGTCAAGTATATGGCCGACAATCACCTCCTCATCTAGCTGGGTAAGCTTCTTCGAGCTGGGCTGGCAATCGCGTTGGGCAGGTACACGAGCGCGTCGGTGGCGGAGCGTTGTTTCGGCTAGGTTGTAGATTGTAGCAGCAGGGCGATTGCGTTGGATCTGTCCAACGTTAATAGAGGAAATACCAAGCTAGATATCTGCTTCATTTGATGATAATTGAGTAACGTTACGTGGAGCCATTGTACGTTGAGATGAGAGAGGTGCGCAAACTTGGTGGGTTGCGCCGCTCGATTGCCACATACGTTATCAAAGTATCAAATCGCGAAGATGGCTTGCACTCACGCTCTACTGGATTTTTTTATCTGGCTTCGGGAAAAGTCGGAAAGTTTTCCACCATGCCGTTTTCACTTAAACTTGTGGATTGAACTATAGCGAATGTTCTGGTGCCCTTGGCTGTCATTCGATCCATACGTTGTACTGTGTGGCTTAGATATAAGCGATTCTCTGGAGCACGATTAACCTCGAATTCGTTGACCCTGCCGCCAATTATCGCCTAACTAAACCAGATAGTTGTCTAGAGGCCGAAAGAGCTTGATTCCAGTAGGAAGTTTCTCCCTATGACCTAAAAGTATTGACAGTATAAGGAAGTAGTTGGTGGATTGATAGGGTCTATCGAAGTGAGTGAATATTTACATTCCTGTTACATAAGCTGTGATGGAAAAAAAATCTCAAGGTGGGATCGATAGCTGACAGGCACGAAAACTCCATCTTCCGCCGTCATCTGACATCTTTTTTAAATGTCATTCATTCCGCTCGTACCTAAACAGAAAAGTATCCAATAGTCTCTGGGTACACGTTCTCGTTATCGATGTACCTGGCAATGCTCTGGCCATTCCTTGTAATCATGTTCTGCACGCCAATTGTGCTCAGAGCATAGATTTTCAAGTTGTTCGTGCTGCCCTCAAGGCGAACAATCTCTGACTGGCAATCGGAGTTGCCAGGATTGTCACTGCACTTAGTGATGTAATTGTTGAAGAATGAGTAGAAGCCAGCGCCATAGATGAAAAGATTCTGAGAGTCGCGGACGCGAAGGGCCACGGTGCTGCAGTTTCCAGGAAGGCAGCTGTCATAATTGGGGTCAAGGTTATTGTTGAATGGGAAAGGTTGACCTCGGACGTCCGGAGCCGGCATCCAGTAAGGAGTTTCAGTTTGGAGGAAGGTTGCAAACAGGTTCTTGACATTGACAAAGTTGTACTGGTAGATCGCGTGATGCTCACTTCCAGAACCAATAAGCCATATGTTGCTTGCTTCAATTAGAAGGCCACGCCCAGTGTAGATGGTAATCTGGGTGGAGCAGCAATCATCCAGATCGTGGTCGGCAGTCCATAACCAACTGTTCTCGATGTAAGCGCCAGTGCCCGATGGTGTGATGTGCATCGACATGTATGCTGTCATGCAAGCTTTGTTGATGCTACCAAACTTCGGACAATTAGCGAGAGACTGGTTGGATCCCGCGAAACCACCAATGCGGGTGTGGACATCCCACATCCCGCTTCCTCGAGCCGCGTTAAGGTTCCATTGGATGAGAGTAGCGCCAGGTGTGGTGCCCTGGGTGGCAATGATCATGTCCGACCACTCAACGCTGCCAGATTGCCCGGCATTGCCGACTTTAATGACAGGTACGGGGTTGTTAACATCACCGAACGCTCTGCCGGCAGCCATGATGACAGGAAAGGACTCGCCGACGACGCGGGACCCTGGGGGGAGGTTGATGGTCTTGGTGACCTTGTAGGTGCCTTGGTCAAAGTACACGATCTTGTTGGAGGATACAGCACTGTTGAGAGCATTCTGGATGGCGTTGCTGTCATCGGTAGAGCCGTCCCCTCGAGCTCCCGCAGAACGGATGCTGATAAAGTCGGATACTGGGCTGTTCTGATAGTATGGCTTCGATTTGTAGTAGTAATTGTTTCCGTTGCCGAGGAGGCTGCTAGGGCGTTGGGCAGGTGTGAATGATCCCTGAACTCTCTGGGGACCGTTGGGCGTGTAGCGATTACCTTGCGCCCAGCCAGTAATTGTAGTACTGCCGCCGGCCAGGTATGCTCCATTCGGGCCTCTAACGGCCACATCGACGTTCTGGATGACTACATTTTCAATGTTCAAGCTGCCAGCGGCGGCGGGGCTAGAACCAGTAGTCCAGGCAGTGTTGATAAAGGTGGGGACATTGGTAATGGTGCTATCGATAATGTTGACGGAGCCGACTGTCTGTGCGGCAGGGCCACCGTTGTTCAAGGAGAATGCAGTTCCGCAGTCTGTGATGGTCATGGCTTGGTACGTAAATCCCCAGTTCCAGATCTGCGAAATGGCGGTGACAGCACCAGAAATGCGGACGTTGCGGACGGTGAACTGCTGATTACCAACGTTCAAGCCATAGAGACCCCCCGTAATAGTGAGGTCGTTCATAAACCCACCAGAGCCTTATGCGTGTCAGCATGTGCGTAAGTCCAGGCAGAGGGAACTCACCATTCTCGATAAAGATGCCCTGTTGCTGCGAGGCGGAAGAGACTTGCATCCTGATCTGGATGTTCTGAAGACTTGTCGCTTGAGAAACAGCCCAATGAATACCGGTGGCAACAGTGCCAGGAGCAACCGGAGTCAAATCGATGACGAAGTTACGGATCTGTCTGAAGAATACGTTGGTCGAGACCCAACCTTGACTACCATCACTCTGGTACTGATTGGCATCAATCACACCGAGACCAACAAAGTTAGGAGTGGCTTTGAGGATCGGAAGCGAATTGGGGTTTCCGATCATCATAGTGTTGTAATACTGAATGATAGAGTTGGACACGACATAGGTGCCACCCGGAAAGTAGACCACGGCGGGGGTAGTGGTGGAAGAATCGCAGAAACCAGGGCCACACCGGCCTTGATCGCTCATCGCGCGGTTGATCGCAGCAGTGTCGTCCGTTACACCGTCGCCTTGCACACTTTAGTACATGCTTGGATCAGAATGGTTGGAAATACACACCCTTGGCACCATAGTCTTTGACGTTTCGCCAAACCTTGTATCCGTCTGGATTAGGATTGAATGCGGCTCTTCCTTGTTTCGCAATGTCGGCCATCCAGTAACCCACGTCGGCAGCCTCAACCTCGCCAGCTACGGAAGCGAACTCATCCACCATAGTAGCTTTGGGAGCAGAGTTGGCAGTCTTTGTTGCCGTTGCAGTGTAGTTGGTGAAATCGCCAGCAGCCAGGGCAGAAGCTACGAACTGGCTTACTTGGGGAAGATCAACAAGAGCCTGGGCTCCGGTGACCAAGAGGAGGAGGGTTAGAGAACGCATATTGAAACTCTGTCTCGTTAGGAATGGGCAGCGCCGTCAGGTTTGGCGTAGAGTATCAAGAAGGGTTGACGAGGATGCATCCAGAAAGCACCGAACCAGAGTTACTCTTATACACCCTGAGAGGCAAGACGTGCGGCCATGGTGCAGAGTGTGTTTTGCTCCAGCTTCAGAAGCGGTGCTGGAAATGAGCACCATCCCATGCGCCCAGCATCGTTGGCACAGAGCAGCTGGCCACTTCACGGTGAGCGCCGGATACCAGGATGGCCTGGATCTACCAGTGATTGGACAGGTATGAAGCGGGAACCTGGGATCGAACACTCATCCGTGTGCAGGGCTTTCATCGAAGAGGTATGGTTGCTTGGGTTGCCACGGTCATGCGAGCTTCCACTACCTAAGCCTTCCCAGCGAGATGAACAATCTCCTTCTCAGGGAAGTGCACTTTATTCTATATTGGTGCCTACAGGGGAGTGTGTTGTGCCATGTTGGGTTGTTGCACCAACACAATATTTAATCGTTTCTGAAGCTATTAGCGTATCGGTAACAGCCACTTAGCGAAGCTAGACAGAAGACTAGCACAACGATGTGACTCGCTAGTGAATGCCAGTATTGACCTAATGCAGGTAAAGAAATGATGCACCACACCCAACACATTTCCTCTACATACTCACCCACCCAGATCTGCTTAGGAAATATGATAGGTCTGCATACGAACTTGTCGGCACGCCACTTGTGATAGCATGCATGCCTGATCACAAAGTAACAAGACGGCATGCCTGACTAGGTTGCAATGTCCGCAGTAACAAGTGTCAGTATGATCATTGCTGCAAGGGTGCGGATCATCGCACGAGGCTTTTGCGAGCGTTGACCCGTACGTTGAGCCAGCGGGTGCGGGCCGGAACCCCAAACTTCCGCCAGCCAAGACGCTAATCAGGCCATGGCATCGCTGGCCAACATGCATTGGGACTTATGTTTGGGAATTCAGCATGGAGGTGTCCCGTAGAGTAAGGCAGTGGAGGAAGGATTCCTCACAAGCACTGTTCTTGTTTGGTGTCAGATTACGTAACGTTAGCTGCTCCGAACTTGTATAGAGAAACGTTCAGGGATCCGCTGAAGGGAGGGTGGGGTTGTTTAATTGAACGAAAAGAGATTATCCTGCAATTCCAAGCTGCCGCGTAGCTAATGAAGGCTTCTGTCTGTTTCACCATAGCAATTTACATGTGGTGACATGTCGGCCCAAGTCTAATGCTGATAAGGTCTAGTGGCATCTCAGTGCGGAAGGTGGTATGAATCTTGAGCCAACTTGTCGTTTGAGTCCTGTTGACCTCATACATCCCTGACGACACACTGACAGCTTCCTCAGGCTAACTTTAATCGAGTCACCAGCCGGCGTCGCTCTTTTGCCGCGAACGACAGCGATGCCGTCGTAGAGAATGGATCCTGTGTCTTTGAAAGGCAGCGAGCAGACAGCAAACCACTGTAACCTTCGTGCGCTCAATCAGCGCTCCCCGCGGCTATGCGACTTTCACGGGCCAGAATCCTGATGTGCGGACAAGCTTGTGCCACTGCCGGGCAAGGCGTTGTCGAGATCTCTCGTCTCGTCGCAGGTTTAGTCCGATGTGACCCATATACCCATGACCTGAACCACTGAATGCGGCGTCTCCGCAGCGTAAGAGTCTACGCGATACCTTAATTTGACCCATTTTCCAACTGCGCTTTTGCATAGTCTACGCACGTTCAAATACCATTTTCAGGCAGGATTGATATACGCAATAAGCGAGCTAGCGAGTCGCATGCATAAGCCTTGCAATTCGCAGACCATCACCTTAGGAAACGATCCCAGTACACCAAAGTCCAGAGAACTTGTTTATTGCGTTCAGATGTCGGACTTGATCCGCGGAAGATAGATCTTGTTTCAAAAACTGCAAAGGTCACTCCCCTTTGAATATCCCAAGCAACATTTCCAATATCTGAAACCGCCGAACACTACGCAAAGCCGATCGCCACGACTAGTAGCACGAGCATAGAGGTGCCTAGAATTTTCTCAGCCGCCATGGTCACGCTGTCTTGTCAGGCCTTTCGAACTGCCCGACCAGGTTGGTCTCCGCCGACCACCTTAGCACGTTAATATTCGACCCCTGTGGTACTGGGGTCCACTGTAACAACGAAAGGCTTTCTTCCCGAATGTCATTACTACACCCGACAAGTAATGCGAGTATAATCCCAGTCTGTCGCTCAATCTCCCCAGCAGGGTCCTCTACTATGTCTAGGTGCAGCAGATCCAAGATGAGTCCTTGCCAGGGGCGTGGTAGAATGCACACCAGAGATGAACATCTATAAGAACACGAGGCGAGCCCGGATCATGATACTGCTGTGTAGCTATACGGCAAACATTTCGTGCGCATTCTTTCAGCCATGTCTTCCAGAGCAGTCTTCGTATCGCTTCTCTTCCTTTGGCACTGTACTGTTGCATCACCAGCGGGTCCTGGATCCTGGCCGAACGGCACTTCTTCTCCTGTCAAGGATGTTCATACCGCTGCAGCGTATAGTTTGATAGACATATACGATGCAACTAACTGGCTCGACAAGTTCAACGTTGAGGCTGTACGTAGTTGAGCCCATCACTATTTTATATATGCTGACTTTGTGTAGATCCCCGATCCCACTCGTACGTCTTAGGTTTACAAACCCACACATACATACTAACGTTCCCTTTCATAGACGGCTTTGTCGAATATGTCAACGCTCAGCAAGCTCGGGAATTGGGCTTGATGCAAGCACATGGAAATCAGATGTACATGGGAGCGGATACATCATCGTACCTCGACCCCAAAGGGCCTGGACGAAAGAGTGTCAGAATTCAGAGCAAGACGGCATACAACCGTGCGCTTGTAATTGCGGACTTTGCGCATGTGCCTGGCGCTGCCTGCGGTTCTTGGCCAGCATTGTACGTATAACCAGAGCTTCGACGTGCATGGACTGATACAGTCATAGCTGGATGGTCGGCCCTAACTGGCCTCACCAAGGCGAGCTCGACATCTACGAAGGTGTCCACCTGAATACGAACAACCAGGTGACCCTGCACACATCCCCAGGTTGCATCCCCTCTATAGGCGAAGGTGGCGAGACTGGTCGTCGCAACACCAATCCGGACTGTGGCGCAAACGGTGGGTTCGAAGGCTGCGGTGTCTTGTCCGACAGTCCAACGTCCTTTGGCTCAGCCTTCAACGGCGAAGGAGGCGGTGTATATGCTACTTTATGGACGTCTTCTGGCATCAAGGTCTGGTACTTTCCCTCATGGAATGTGCCTGAGAACATTAGGAGTGGTGGTCCAAATCCGGATTCGTGGGGAACGCCTGTTGCAAACTTCGGTAATGGATGTGATTTTAACGAAAGGTTCAGGGACATGAATATCGTGAGTACTCTATGATGATCTTTGGGTTGGGAGTGAGCAAATGCAAGGGTTGGTGATGCTAACATCTGACGGCAGATTTTCGATATAACCTTTTGCGGTGACTGGGCTGGCGGTGTCTGGGGTTCGACGTCTTGCGCGCAGGCGAACCCGAGCTGTAATGCGTATGTGGCTAGCCAACCTCAGGCGTTCTATGACGTAAGAACATCCATATTTCAGCGCAGGTCATTGCTAATTCACTACAGAGCTACTGGTTGGTGAACTCGGTGAAGGTGTACAGCGTCTAAGCACCAGAGATATCCAACGGTGTAACTTCGATATAAAACAAGAGTACTCTGATACCTGAACGTGGTTGCCTGGAGAGGCTTGTTGCTCTTTACATTCTCGAGCTGGTCTCTATTTTCAATATCAGTCTAGCGCTGCTTTTATGTCCATACCGGTCTCTTCTTTCCATCATCGTTTCGAGTTGGCCGTGGGCATATCGGACTGGCACACTTTGCCAATGGCTCCTGAAGACCAATTTTCTATTCCTGTTTATACGACACCTTCTTCATCGTGGAGTTAAGTAGCCTGGCTTCATAAACTATTCGCACTCCATCGCCACTTGCAAAGCTTCTACCTCGCACTTTTTGAGCTTTTCGTCAGCTCACATCACCTTGCCGGGATGGATGGCCTATATCGGAACGAGTTTTCCGAGCTGGTTGGAGGGTTACAGGGCTCTGCCAGTGTAATTTAGATCTGGTACTATTGTCTTCTCAGATATCTACTCGCCTAATCACGCCTCTGCGAGCTTTGCAGCCTCGATACGATATAGACCCAACTTTTGCAACTGCACCGAGGCCTCAGCATCTATGTCAAGCTCTGCGGGGCGCTCAGCGATCTGAATCTCTAGCTAGGCGCACCTGTCAGGTGCTTGGCAAGGTAGGAAAGGCTATCGCGATCGCAAATACTCGATCAGCTCAATTGCAATTCGAGAATCAGTAATCCAAATATCGACATGGACAGATCTATGACACCCAAACTAGGAAGCTAGTTCGCGTCAAACCAAATGAGCGCTTTAGCGGCGTTGAGGTTATGAAGGCTGCAATCGATCTAGCTGCTGCTACAGCCGCTCAAAACGCTGAAAAAGATGTGAAGATTATGCCTGCGAGGACAGCAACAACAGCTCTGACGCTTCAATCTATGTGTACTCAGTGGCAAATACAATATATGTTGGTTGATATATCGAGCTTCAAAATCGGTCGCCACGATTTGGTGGGGCGGGGGGAAACTAAGGGTGCACGAAAACTAGGTTGGCGAGCTTACCACAGTGGCCGTCAAGAAATATGATCTTACACGAACTACCCTGCCCTCTGAGACAGCCTCATGAGCTTGCTCAACCATGTTGGGAGATCATGCACTAGCGGAGTGACGGAGTGTCAGGGTAAATGAGGGTTTCGACATGGTTTCGATCTTTTTATAATTTCCGTGCTTTTGCTTCCTACCGGACCTTGCAAACTAGCGGCGCGATGACTGCGGCGACTCGCGAGCGTGGCTGAACACTTAGCAGACACAATTCCGGCATTCCGCGGCGCTAGGGCCCTTGCCACTCGTACCAGGATTCTTGCTTGGCACACCTGGACAGAGCAATGGACAGAGCTCCGAGGGTTACAAAACACAGCGGCCTTTAGTAATTGGACAGCTGATCGTGTTATCGCTTGTGAACCACGTTGCGCGACAGACATGCGCCGTCAGGGTGTTACTGTATCTTTCGAGTGCGTGAAATGGTCGTATTCAACATACACAGGCGGGCTGGCGTGATTTGTCCCCCCGTTTTTGAGATTTGTCCCCCGCTGAAGTACCGAATTGCTTTGGATCCACACAACTTAACACCAGCAAAATTTTAAATAAGTTTTCAAACGTCATAAGTTATTCTAGGGCCTCGCAAATCCTCCTCAAAAATTTAAAGCCAAAGATCAGCCTGTGTTGTAGTTCAATTGCATGTTAAAGTTGGTGACATTTTCGAAGAAATCGCCAACTTCAACTCTACTTAGCTCGTTCCCATCGCTGTCGGAAGTTACAAAATGCAGGCGAGAGGTACTTTAGTGTATGCAGAACGTATTCTAAGCTTCAAAGATAAAAATTACACGTAGTGTTGCGGTGAAATTGCATTGCGGAGCGCAAAAGTTGCCATTTTCGGTACTTCGGCGGGAGACAAATCTCAAAAACGGGGGGACAAATCACGCCAGCCACACAGGCGCCTGGCAGTCCTTTCTCGCTGCGGCTACACCTCGTTGGCTACCCAAATGCGGGATTGCCGGGACGAAAAGACCAGAGCTATTAGAAGTACGTCAATCCTGGCTACTGCCCCGCAGCTCTGCCGTTCGCGCAATTACGGCCTGTCCGACATTCCGCGCTCCGGCACGACGCACATTGCCATGCGTATCAGTTCATCCTTCACGATTCAGGTACGCGTATTAATTCTCTCCGCTCCGACTTCCAAACCTCTCACACCTGCCGCTTCTGCCCCATTGACTGACCCCATCACGTGGGCAAAACTAGTTAGAGATGAGGCTCTGACGTTAGCGCGTCTCCGCATTTCTTTCGTTCCGTCCCCACATCTTTTGACCCCTTCCGACACCGATGCTTATACAAAAACATTATGCACGTAATATGTCCCGCTACCATGGACCAGCCTTCACAAAAAAGAGTCTCCAAAGCGTGTGACGCATGCAAAAGAAGGAAAGTGCGTTGCAACGGGCAGACGCGCTGCCAGCAATGTGCGCATCTGGGTCTCCGGTGCATCTACTCGCCGTCTAGCAAGCAAAGGTCACAGGGCAAGAGAGGTCACATCATTGCGGAATTCAGGAAGCAAACGTCCAACTCACCAACGATTTCACCACCGATATTACCTGCCCGTCCAGGACAAGTCGGCTTTCAGGCGTCGTATAGTCCCATTTCACCGACGGTTGGACGCACCGGAGCCGAATCTAGTATGTCTCTTTGAAGGTTCCAGCTAGCACGTGGAATGCTGCGGCTAACCCAGGGCAGCATCTCCCGTACCTTCATTCACGTCGCAGTACAGCAAGGCATTCTTTCTCGACCTCATACCAGATTACGTCGATAGAGTTTACCCTGTCCATCCGGTCATAACCGAATATGAGCTCAGACAGTACATCGAGGTCATGGACACTGATCAAGATATTCGCTCATTTGTGTACACTATTGGCGGTTGTACACTCAATCTCACGCGCTGTGGCGACCGCAGAACAGACGAAGTCGTCCAGACCATTACGAGCCTCATGGACTGTTCGATCGAAAACATGAGACCAGCTCACACACATTTCCACTTCTCAGTGATGCGGGCCGTGCAGTCCATGTTCATACACAACTACTTGATGAGTCTGCAAGGCAGCGACGCCGCCTTTTACTACATGAGGGATGCGGTTTCGATCGTCCAACTCCTGAGAATAGACAACCCGGAAAATGCGGCTCAGATATCGCCTCCGGAGCGGTCTCGAAGACAGCGGCTATACTGGCAAGCATACATACACGAGCGTTTTCTAGCCATCTTGCACTATCGTCAAGCCATTCTACCCCCGCTCTACACCTTACCTGAAGACGATCCTACGCTTTCGATACAAGTTCACGAAGGCTTTAACCAAACCATCAAACTCTTTCGGCTGTTGGATAGGGAGTTTCTCAACAGCTGGCTTGATTCGCAAGGAGGCAGCGTCACCAGCACCTGGGTCGAGGCCAAATCGCGCGAGCTCGACGGTGACCCGGAAGCCGATGCCCGGGAACTGTCCATGCTGTCCATGATGCAACGTGCCGATCTATCGATAACACGCGAATGGCTGCGCACGTTGGTCTGGCGTTTAGCCATGAGTCGAACACTACTGTCTTCTCGCTCATCGGAAGAATGCCTGTCGCTTCTTTTCCCTGTACGTTTATCACAGACGCTCCGGCAACAGGTATCCAGCATGTCACGCCAAGACATCGAAGTCCACGGCACCAGCATCACTCAAAAGCTCTTCGAGATTACAGACACCATTGCCGACGTACTGATCCACGTATCTGCAGCAACACTCGATGAAACAGCCCTACGAATCGACGACTTCCTCTTCATCCTCGACTTTGTCCTGCGAATCCCACATCTGGATCAGACGCGTCGCGGCATCTTGCTAGAGAAACTAGAGCGCCTCCAGACCATGTTTCCTGAGGCACTCAGCAATGCCAGCTCGCCCAGTTTGCCACTCGATCTGCGCAGCCCCGGCGACGTGAATGACCCTTGATACCAGGTCACACGATCGAAAACGGCTGCGGGTCTTGACATCATGGCAGACGGGTCGGGGCCAACGCAACATGAGGAGGTACCGAGACCGGAGGCGCGGGGTGGCCGGTTGGCCACTCGGAATAACGTCTCACGCCGTTTGTCGATGCAGGTCGCTGCTTTCGGTAACCCATAGCTTGGAAAAATAAAAACGCAGTAAAGACAGGTTCAACACATTACTTCAGGCTTTTCCGACTGCAAGCGACGATAACATTCGTGATTTTAGCCAATGCGTAAGTAACTCGTTGGAAGAGGCATGGCCTCCTACTTTACTCCAAGGTATCTACGCAAGTAAATAAATCCTCCTCTCCAAAACCGCCAACTCCTTCTCAACGCACCTTTCCACACTACTAAACAGCAACCCCATCTTCTACCCCTTCACAACTTCCGGGAACTCCGACCCCTTCCTCTTATCCGTAAAATTGCAAATGCACACGGCCTTCTTCTCTTGCCACGTCTTGCTGAAGACGGAGAAATCCTGATTCTCAACGTTCAAGTCATTGTATTGCCCGTGCACAAGGAGATCATTGTGCTGTTTGTGGATTTGCAGGATGCGTTTCCCGAAGGCGAGCACGGAGGTTTTGTCGTTCCGTTGTTGCTTGGCGTTGCATACTGCGGCGTCTTCTAGGGGCAACAGGTGCTGTGGAGGAGGGGGCAAATACTGTAGCATAGTCAACAGCTAGTGGCTTCGTTGCCCTCCTGCTCAGCTGAGGTCTTTCTCGCCTTGGCTATTCTGATTCTGCCTCTAGTTACCCAAGCTGGCCAAACGAAACATGTCAAGGAAAAAGAAGCTCAAGGTTATGTCCATGCTCTGTATTGGTTTCATAGTTACGGTTGTTGGCTGCCTTTGTATCTAGGCCTTCATGCAATTTGTTAGAACAAAAAACCCAACTTGTAATGCCCGCACAGCGGTCTCCATATTCATATCCGCTAGAGTTATGCCTCGCAGATAACAATACTTCCGGTGTACGTTCGTGCGCGACCAAACCAAATCTCTTTAGAGACATCGCCTGCATGCCGGTAAATGAAGCTGAGCAACTACCTGTTGACGCCACATTTTCCGAACATCCCTGCAGAAATAGCTGGAGTAGTATAGACTACAGCTGACCAATTCAAATCACTGCGTTGCGCTGCAATAGTGTGAAATAGCTTTGGTTTGGTGTGGTCTTGGCACAAGTGGGCAACTCGCTCGTGAGGTAACATGGTTGGCAAGCGAGCGGCCCACCCCACCAACTTTCTGCGCCTTGTGAATTCCTCCCTATCATGGCTCCCCCAATTCAAGCCCTACTAACCTCTTCTGAGGCTAATATACACCTTGCAATCTCAGCTATCAACAGAAGCCAAATTCAGTCTGTAAGAGATGCTGCGCAGACATTTGAAGTCCCCCGAACAACGCTTCGACGCCGACGCGCTGGAAAGCCTGCCCGACGCGATTGCCCACCTAACTCGAGGAAGCTCACCCAGTTAGAAGAGGAGGTGATTATTAGCTATATAATCGATCTGGATCAACGTGGATTTTCGCCTACGTACGCAGCTATACGTGATATGGCTGATAAGCTGCTCGCTGCGCGCGGCGCAGGCCAGGTTGGACGGAAGTGGCCAGCCAACTTTGTCAAGCGTACAGACAGTCTCACGACGTGTTTCAACCGAGCGTACGATAGGCAGAGAGCTCTGTGTGAGGATCCTGTGCTGATTAAGAGCTGGTTCGATCTAGTAGAGCAGACAAAGGCCAAGTACGGCATCTGCGATGAGGACGTCTACAACTTTGATGAGGCTGGCTTTATGATGGGCAAGATCACGACTCAGCTTGTCGTGACAGCGTCAGAGAGGAGACGCAGGCCAAAGGCTATCCAGCCAGGCAATCGCGAGTGGGTAACGGCGATCGCTGCGATCAACGCTGCTGGCTGGTCAGTACCGCCGTTCCTCATCTTTGCTGGCCAGTATCACCTGTCAGCCTGGTACGAGGAGGATATCCCACGCGACTGGGCTATCGCAGTTAGCGACAACGGCTGGACAACCAACGAGATAGGAGCTGAGTGGCTAAAGCACTTTATTAAGCATACTGAGGGCAAAGTAGTTGGAGCACGTCGGCTGCTTATCCTTGATGGCCACGAGAGCCACCAATCGCTTGAGTTTCAAGAGCTCTGCAAGGAGAACAATATCTACACGCTCTGTATGCCACCCCACTCATCTCACCTACTTCAGCCTCTTGACGTTGGCTGCTTTTCGCCATTAAAGCGCGCGTACAGCCGTGAGGTTGAGGCCCTGATCCGCCACCACATCAACCACGTCACCAAGCTTGAGTTCCTGCCAGCCTTCAAGGCAGCCTTCAATCAATCCTTCACGTCAGCCAATATCTGCTCAGCTTTTCGAGGCGCAGGCCTTGTTCCTCTCCAGCCAGACGTTGTCCTATCAAAGCTAGACGTGCAGCTCCGTACGCCTACTCCAGCTGCTCTACCAGAGGCTCCTTGGGAGGCTCGTACACCGAGCAACGTACGTGAGCTTGAGGCTCAATCAACGTTAATACGTGATCGCGTTCGGCGGCACAAGAGCTCGTCGCCTGCCTCTATTATTAAAGCGATTAATCAGCTTAAGAAAGGGGCTAAGGTTATGATGCTCTCGGCTGAGCTAATGCGCGATCGAATTACCAGCCTTGAGCGAGCCAACGAGGCAGCGTCAGCGCGTAAACAACGTAAGAAAAAGCGTATACAGAAGCAAGGGACCTTAACAAAGGGAGAGGGGGAGGATATACTCGCTCAACGCGAGGTTGAGCAGCAGATTTCTCGTGAAGAGCGTCAAGGAGGAGCGCGATCAGGCCTTAGCCGCCAGGCTCTGGCGCGCTGCACGAGGTGCAGGGAGACTGGCCACAACTCACGTACATGCAAGAAAGATACTTAAGATACTGCTTAATCTACTAACGTGAGCGGCAAGCGAGCTGCGCACCCCCAAATTCACCAAAAATGACAAGAATTGCACCTTTATATCTTAACAACCACTACGCAGAACAGTCTAAGATATTTAGCATAGACGTTTTTGCGCTCCTAGAGTACACTTTGTATATATGAAACGATTAGATCTAGCAATTCTTTAGATATGAGATCATGGCCATACTTTAGCCCCCCAAATTTGAATATCTTAACAATAGCTTGGTTATAAACCTGAAGACTCTAACATATATCTAAGAAAAAGTATTTAAAGCCTATATCATAACACTAAAGATTTCCGCCTTATTGTTGTTGAGATATGAAGGTGCGATTCTTGTCATTTTTGGTGAATTTGGGGGTGCGCAGCTCGCTTGCCTGCGCAGCTCGCTTGCCGCTCACGTTATATAAATTTGTATATATTATCTCTTAACGTGGCTGTAGTGTGCGCTTAAATGGGCGCAGAAAGTTGGTGGGGTGGGCCGCTCGCTTGCGTGGGCCGCTCGCTTGCCAACCATGTTAAGTTATTTGTTTCCAAACATGATATTACTTATACAACGAAGGTATCGAACAGCCAACTCTAGGAACCTTCCCTCTGAAGCGGGTAATGGTTTTTGAGACAATACTCACCGGCCCTTGACTTCGCTGTCCGCTTCGAAGTCGCTCGTCGCGTAGGTGACCGTATGCGTTACTTCGACCGTGCGCATGATACCACCGGATTGCGCAATATCCCGCTCCAGTGAAAATCCCCCTTGAGCATGACTCACCAACTCTGCTTCATCGGATGAGTCTTCCAGATCGACCTTATTGTTCTCTTTGCCTATACTAAGGCGAGAGAGATTGAAAGCCGACAATTTGTGGGTACCAGAAGTGTTATTGCTAAGTCCGGTAGCCCGGGAAGAGCCATAACCGACGCCGGTCTTCAAGATATTGAATTGTGCAACCAAAACTGGAAGGCAGGTGCAGCTGAGCGCGATTCCAGCTTCAGCGTTGCTGTGATCCATCAGTAAACGCCCGCCTGTCGCAACGTGCTCACTTACCCTGATAGGACAATCTGAACGAAGATTATGGTGGCATCAGGCGACTTGCCCTCCGTCAGAATGAGATGCAGGCGCCACGCACTAAAGGCGGTCGCAAGACCCCCAACAGCCAGCATGCCGCTGACGCGCAGCTTCTTGTTGCGTGGGAGCTGTAAAGACCAGGTCAAAGGTAAGGGAAGGACGAGAATGATCGCATCAGTCACCGTGCTAATGATCGAGTCGGCAGTGATGACCGCAGACTGATTGAGACATTTTTCCGTCTGTCCTTTCCAGTAGGCTGAAATAGGCCAACAGATTCGAATCTTTAAGCTAAGAGAGATGATGTAGTAGAGGATCAACAAGCCTCCGAGGGCTTTGATGCCTTGTACTCGCCTTTTATAAGGGGCGAAGATTCGTGCAATTAGGGAGAGAAGACTAAGTTTGATGGAAAGAGTCATCGGGGCGTAGAAGATTGTAGCGGCATACGCTGCCTGTGCAGAGCTCGTCAGTAGCAACGAAGTGACGAGGGTCGACGACACACATACCTGGAAATAGTGGAAAACTCCTGTTGCAGGCACTTCCCACATGTGGTACCCTCCTCCATGAAAACTGACTAGTATCGTTGACATCATTAAACAACGCGCTGAACCCAGACGGCGAACTTACGGAGAATACCACAGACGCAATAACCAAGCATGAGAATCCATGAGATGAATGTAAGATCTACCACTCATCAGTGTGGTATTGCAGCAAAAGGCCTAGTACAACTTACAATCATCAACGGCAAGGTCCAAACCGACTACTCTAATTCTGTGAAGCGCTCTGATGAAGACGAAGAAGGAACAAGACGTAAGAGTTAACGCCTGCGTGACGAAGTTTATCGTCCGAATGACATCTGTAGGATGCTGCAAGTCGGCAACTATACCATCAGGTGGCGGCATTGCAGCTTGAGACATTGTTCGAACGTGTCTGATGACTTGTTAGCGGCTTCACTCCGCAGAGGGAGTAAGATGGATTCCTCACCCAAGGATACTGCGCAAAAAACAGAAAACAAATCAGGCGGCCTCAAGAAGACAGAAAGCTTTCGTTCCAGAGTCATGTTTGATAGAAAATAGTAATTGTTTCTTATCCGAACGGGGGTGGAGGGGGGGCTTGTGACACATCGTATCTTGGCGCTTAGGGATCTTCCGATCCTCCTGAGGAATACAGCGCAGGGGGCTCTAGCTCGGCGCGAGAGAAATGAGGCTAGCAGGCCCCATAGACTAGGTTCTATGCAACAACGGGGCAGTGCTCTGCCGCCAAAGACGCATATTGTGTTACTCTCGCCGTAGGAGCCTATGCAGATTGCAAGCCCCCCTCAGGCTCCTCCGTCGCTTCAAAAGTGGCCGAGTCTCAAGAACCGTTTGCTGTTCACGTATTCAACAGAAACCTTTCCTTCGCACTGTATCATGGCCGTTCCCGTCGGAGCTTATTCCAAGCTCTTCGAGCCGATGACCATCGGCGATGGAAAGATCCAGCCACAGTCCGCAACAAGCAAGTCAATCAATCTTGGGGTTGCCGATTGGTTTGCTTGTTGGCAACGTCGTCGTCGCTTGATTGTAGCTTGATTGTTAGTGTTTTGAGGCAGCTTGATTGCAACTTGATTAGTAGATTGATTAGATTGGACGCTAAGAGACTAAAGTTATATATAACTATAGTGGCTCAATAATCCACTCATGTATATTGTAGTCCTGTACAATCTCCTCGTCTGATACGTCGTCGCTATTGTTACCCTCTACACTGTTGTCGTACTGAGTCTTGAAGCCTGCTCTTGTCCACGATCGTATGAGTTGAAGAGCAGCTAGTAACTCACTGCCAATAGCTCGTCTTTTAGGTTCAAGTAAGTCGCCAAGCTCACTAAAGAGCCTCTCACACTCGCAGCTTGATGCTGGGATTGTTAGTATATCAATCGCAAACTGGCTTAAACATGGGTATTTTGAGCGCATTTGAATCCAGTAGGCGACTGGGTGACCAACACCCAAGTACTGCTCTCTGCTCCACTCTGGCTCTTGTGTCCTCCGGCGCTCGTACTCGTCGTCGTGAGCTGCCTCGTCTCTGGTGTTGTTGCGGCGTGTAAAGGCGCCAATTACGTCATCTATCCCACTTGCAATTGTTGTTCTGTGAGGATGAAGTTGAGGGCGTACACGCTGAGGTTTATAGGTCTGCCAGAGTTGCTGAAATCCAGCGTTAGCAGCAGTGAGCCACTCTGGCTTGTCGGCCCAGCTGTTCTCGCAGTAGTACTTGTAGTAAGGATGGAGGCAGACAGCAGCGTAGTAGGCAGGCGATCTATCGAGCTTATCGTAGTACTTATTGGCCTTACTCCAGGCAGTGCGTAGGTTGATATGAAGGTGGTCCTCTGGTGCGTCCGTGTGGTTGAAATCGACTTGCTCGTATGGCTGCGTGCGCGCTTCGAGCGCGCTAAGTATGTACTCAAAGACAGGAATAACCTCGTATATAGCACCAAACTTGCCTGCTTTACCGCGACCCTCAAGCCGCTCTGTAGCAAGCTTTAGCGGCTCTAAGCAGTCCTGGTACTCTGTTATTACTGCCCAATCAGCAGCTGTAAGACCGGTTGATCTCATCCAACTTGGAGCGTCCGAGAGCTTGTTGCCAGCTTGGTTTGCGCGTCTATCGTCAAGAGAGACGCGGCTAATATGGTGCTCAGCGTAGGAGTTATAAGCAGCTTGAAGTTGAGTTGCGCGTGCAAAGGCGGCGTAGTACGAGTTCCAGCGAGTAACAACAGGCTTGACTGGCTCGAGTACTCGGAGGCGCTCTCCAGCAGGCAACTCAGCGTTTGCGGCTCGCTGAAACTCTCTGAAAAGCTCATACTGTTGTGGCGTTTTAATGTAATTAATGTGTAACGGTTTGGGCCTTGCCCAGATCAACTCTAGTACGAGTTAGGATAGCTCATGTACGGTCATCTATATATGTAGCTTAGCCCACCTCAGATAGTCAATTCAGCGCAGTCCTCCCCTCTATCTTAACACCGTCACATAATGACGTTAATAAGCACGCCTAATGGTCCATCTTTACGACACTCGCCTAAGCACAACTCCTCTTGATCGAGCTGCTCAACAGCGTTGTTGTATGCCTCTCTATCTTTGCCAAATATAATCGCCTGGCCGATAAGATTGAGCATGTGAGGGCCGCAGCGGAGGCGTCGATGAGTAGCGTCAAAGTCGTATACGCGAGCGAGCGCAGCGATTGCAGTGTCGTTATTCGTAGCGTTATCGAGTACGAAGTAGCCTAGCCTGTCGCTAGTGATACTGTACTCCTCGAGCGTTTTGACGATAGTACTCGCAATAGCTTCGCCTGTATGCGAGCCTGCTAGCTGTGGCAGAGCGATAGGCAAGTCTTGGATTACTCCATAAGCGTTAGCAAAGTGCGCAACAATCCCAAAAAACCCGCGCTTGCCGCCCCTTGTCGTCCAGCCGTCGAAGCTTATATGTATTTTACCTGCAGCTTCTGACAGGGCCTGGACAACTTGGGGCTGTATGTCGCGGAAAAGGCGCATCACGTATGTAGCAACACTGCGAGGACTTACCCACAACGCTGCCTCAGCCTCTGGGTTTGCAAAGTTTATCATCTCTCGAAAGGAGGGCCTTGCAAGTAGCTCCATTGGTAGGTTGTTGTCGAGTAGGCAGAGTACTGTAGCCTGTCGAAACTGCTGTATATTGAAGTTGCCCATCGCGTTGGCAGCGTCCTGAGAGACTTCAACATCAGCCTCAAAGGCTTGTCGCAGAGAGAGCTGCCCACCAGACTGTTGCTGTTGTTTTATGCCGCTCTTTGTAAGCCGATGACCATGTCTCTGCTGACCAAGATGAGTAGCTGCAGCTGTTGTAGCTCTTGTAACGTCAAACATGCCGCTGCCTCCAGCGTCGATAGCCTTGTGAGTATGGCAATATTTGCATACAAACCATACTCGACTTGGATTCTTACGCTCAACAACGCGATAGCCATGTTGATATATCCAGCTTTTAACGCGCCGCTGAGTTGTAAGAGGCTTCATAAAGCGTTTCAACCGCTCCCAGGCAATGCCCTCAAAGTTATCGCCATCTCCATCAACATCGTCTCCATCGCCACTTCTAGCTTCAGTTGCCGCTGTTCCAGCCTGGCTGCCCTCAGCAGGTGCGACGATCTCTGCCTCTGGCTGTGACTCTAACAGTTGCGACTCGAACGTTGTAGCCTGGCTTACAGCAGCTAGGGCTTGCCGGGGTGATAATGATCGTTGAGAAACGCGTTGAGGTAAGGACTCTGATGAGCGCGTACGTTTGGTGGCGGGCGTGGCAGTCGTGCTAGTAGAGAGAGCTCGTGAGCGCTTAGCCATTATAGGCAACTTAAGAACACTAAAAAACTTCGTAAGTATAAGCAGTAGAGTCGAGAGAAAAAGCTCTGTGAACGTACTGTCGAGCACAGTAGGGATCGGGGCAGCAGGCAGTAACGTTAGCGTGTTGGCGCACAGACGGGTCTAATACAACTTGGGATGAGCTAACTGCAACACCAAGAAACTATCGTGAGATTAGCTCTCTAGCCACTCTAACTTTAACGATTCTATATAGTTCGCAAGCAAGACAAGCAAGTCAATCAAAAACCACTACTTAGCTTGAATTGCTTGCGAGTTTACGTGAGCTCGGATTGAATTGATTGGATTGATTAACTCAAGCAAGTCAAGCAAGCGAATCAATCTAGATTGCTTGTTGCGGACTGTGGATCCAGCTCGACCACCGGGTCGTCCTTGCGCCTTTGACCAGGAACAGAGGAACCCCCCTCAGCGCTAAGAGCACTGCCGAACACCCAAACCGCATCTGGCTTCCCAACGATTTGATGGTTGAGTACTACGCTCAGCGTACAACGAAAGGAGGACTCTTGATAACCGAGGGAGTACCCCCATCACTCGAGGTACGTGCACATGAAATTCCGAATCCAGCCGCTGTTCACAGAACCCCTGCAGGGGGTGGGTTTCGCTAAGAGCGGCAACGCGCAAAAGAACTTGGCCGCTAGTCGCAGCTATTATGGCGTTTCTCCAAGGTTTCTTCAACATTTTGACTGGGGTCAAAAACAATATGGTTCGAGAGACTATAGACCGCTGTTGCGACGATCTTAATGTTCCCCTCCGTCTTGTTGGACAGTGTCGGAGGTGTACTTCGGTTATCATACGCTAGTTACTGAGAGTTCAAGATCATGGCTGATCTGTTGATGGCAGGGTAATGCTATGCCCGGTGTGCCCGGCCTCTTCATCAAGGAGCAGAAGGCTGGCTGGAAGAAGATTGCAAACGCGGTCCACGAAAAAGGAGGTTATATCTACATGCAGATATGGCACTCTGGCAGGATGAACTTGCCTCAGATGACCGGCACGCCGATCGTGTGTCCTTCTGCAACCTCATGGGATGATCCAGAGGAGTGCTTCGCGTACCCTCCCCCTCATACGACCAAGCCTGTGCGCTACCACGATTTCCCACCCACAGCGCTTTCGGTCGAACAAATCAAGAAAACCATCCGGGACTACGTCCGCACGGCCGAATGGGCTATGGAATGCGGCTTTGACGGTGTCGAAGTCCACGGTGGAAATGGATATCTCCCTGAGCAGTTTCTTGCTTCCAATGTCAACAAACGAACTGATGACTACGGCGGCACTCCCGAGAAGCGCTGTACCTTCGTGCACCAGCTCATGAGCGAGATGAGCAAAGCCATTGGAGATGAGAACCTAGCCATTCGACTCACTCCATTCGGCCTGTTCAATCAAATCCGATCAGAGCAGCGGATGGAGACCTGGTCAACGCTTTGCCGGAAGCTTAAGCAAGCCCATCCTAATCTCTCCTATGTGAGTTTCATCGAGCCTGTAAGTTCTTGCCTCGCTTCCCTTCCCTCATACCTGAGCCGACCTCTAAAATCATACCCCTAGCGATACGAGCAAATTTTCGGCGAAACGGAGAAGCAAAATTTTCTCGATTCCTGGGGCCTTAGCACCGTCGACCTGTCGTCCTTCCGCGAGATATTCGGCGACACGCCCTTTTTCTCCGCTGGCGGCTTCGATGACACAAATTCGTGGGGTGTACTGGAGTCGGGCAAGTATGACGGCTTGCTGTATGAAAGGTACTTCATTAGCAATCCTGACCTGCCGAAACGGCTGAAGGAGGGCTTGCCCCTTGCGCCGTATGATCGCAGCAGGTTCTATGGCCCATTTGAGGATAGTGCGATCAAGTATACGGATTATCTGGAGTGGAAACAGTCGGGTACACCGTAAATGGAGGATCCTAAGGCCTAGGTATCTGGATTCTGGAAAGGCTCTGGTATATGTTTTGCCAATTGATGCAGGAAGACGCTGTTGACCACAATCACAGGTGAAGCAATATAACTACTTATTCGCGGCACGACGATACTCGTGGCAAAGATATCTGTGATTCAACTACCCAAAAACTCCAAGGTTGTCATTCGCACAGCAGACAGAAAAGAACAAAAACTCTTTGTGTTCCAGGCAGACGAACCCGCATCTCTCGGTCTTAGTTTCGTTCCTCTTTCAAAGTGACATGGGAAGGGAGACACCAGAACTAGTACACAACAATGAACTGATTTTTGGCCAACTAGTGATCCTCAAGGCAGCTTTCAGAATATGTGCGTGCGTTAAGTTCCGATAAGGATGAAACCAAGACACCTATGATACCCATTCCTTTCCTACTCATCAAGTTATTGTGCGCGACGTGGTTGCACGAGTGAACTCTATTGAACTTCATTGAGCTGCGAACATTAACCATACCTGTTGAGTTCATGCTTTGCCTGCTTCCTACGATGGAGGAGGCTGACGGCTGCCTGTGCTATTGGTGGGAATTCCACCGTGGATGTATATTAGGCGGAGGCTCTTGGGCTTTTCTCTAGCTCTGCTCCCAACTAGGCCGTCTCTTGACGAGTGGCAGACGCAATATTGCCCTGTAACCGTACCAAAGAAAATCCGGTTGCGAGACAAGACTGTACCGTACTGTATTCCGCAGCGCAACGCTGCGCAGAAGCCAAAACGGACGTTTTGCTGGCAAGAGACCCCATTGCAAGTGACGCATCCCAAGCGGTGCATCTTAGGAGATGCATTCCAAGTGGCCCTCACAGGTGGCCCCTACACAATAGGGTTCATCGACCCAAGTGGTCGACGGTTAACGCAGTTGGGTTGTGCCACCTGATCCCCATTTCCACAAGTAGAGCTAGGCGTCTGAGACTAGATACCCAACGGCTTGCGCGAGGCGTAGGACTAGACCACACTTGAGAAGCAAATCAGATAGTCTGGGACACCCATGTACTGTACAGTACTGTGGCTGATGGAACCGAGTGGGTTCTTGTTGTCGAAATTGAGGTGTACTTAGGTGAATGCCTTGATAGAACTATTCTAGCACCGAACTCCCTTCTTTCCTCGTTCAGGGCCGTGTCATATACTGGAGAGCGCCATACCAGCGTGGATCTCATATCGCCACACGACATTCCAAAAAGCTTCGTGAAGCGCACGGCGCGCTACACATGCACAGAAGAGATGCTCTCATCCCCTGCGACAAAGACGATATACAGTCCCATTGCAGATAAATTCCCAAGATATGTAAATCCAGAGGATTCCATCACTTTTGTAGCGTTTCCCAAACTATAAACTCACCAGTGCCGTACATTCTTGAAGCCAATCAGGATAGTGCTGGGGCTTTCTCGATGAGATTATGGCATATGTACTCATTTGTGTTACTTTGCTTGAGAATAGGTTAGAGCGAAACTACTCGAGACGGCATAATGCAAGATAAAGTACTTAGGCGTTCGACATTGTGCCTGTCGCTTCGACGCATCCCAGTCAAGCAAACACTGACCGCTCTTAGTTACATATTATCAATTGTCTACCGTGGAAGCACAGAACGATGGTGCTGACAGTAACTTTACTGGAGAATTGACTGAGCTACTAAAAGCTCCCGAGTGGTCCGTCTCGGCGAAATAACCTTGATTTGAGGCCAGGGCGCGGGCCCCTGGCACAAAGCACCTAGACAGAACACATATGGCAGATCACCCATGACTGGCCACCCATTTTTGGCTGCCTATGACAACCAATTGCGCCATTTGTGATGGTGCGCAGCACGACAACGATGTACGACCAGGAGCCATGGCAAGACAACTGCAACCACTCGTGTTTCTTTTTTGTCCTGGACCACTACATATCCAGCCGGGGCCCGTTCTGGAGCCTAACAACGCTACCATGGGCCTTTATAGCGGCCGAGCATAAACGACATACTGCGCTCTAATACAACGATAGCCGTGACGCATTCGGCATGCCATTGTATGGGAGACGTACTGGGACAAGCATCATCGCGAAGCGGACGTAGCTTAAGGTAGGCAAAGTACTCATGCAATTTGGAGACAAATAGTGTTCTGTATATCATGCGTGGATAACATCACCCCTCTGCAGGACAAAGTCCTAGGACGCGCAGTGTTGGAACACCCACTGACACTAGGTAGCGACCCTGTAGAAGACGCGGTCCTGAAACTAGTATGGCTCTCGGACACAGTGTGTCCATCAACCAAGTAAGTTACTTGGTTGACACCAGGGCTCCAAGCAACTGTGGACCCTCTGGACCGACCTGTTCAACCGGTTGCTTTAACGTAAGCAGATCGTCTTGAGGTGATTGGCTAGTGTCGTGCGTCGGTCAGAGTTGCTATCAGTCAATCAGTCAGTTGTCAGTTCATCTATGCGGCTCAAACTGTCAGTCTGGGAGTAGTGAACTGACCTGATTGACTGCCAAGACCTTTTTAGAGTCCCGAACTGAAACTGAACTGACTGTCAAGACCGCTATCTTATTGTTGCACTGACTGATTGATTGCTATCTGATTGCTATAGTTTATAGTCGTATTTACTAAGATGATCTTGTACTGCGGCGATCATAGCTATTGTATGCCCTCCTGCTGGTGTTTGAGACCTAATTGCCGCCAGCTCTTTAAGCACTGCAGCGCGTTAAGCAACTCAGCTTCCGCAACACTATGTATCAATCTGATATCAGTCAATCCAGTCAGTTTAAGAGTTCTAAACTGAACTGACTGATAAGATGAGAGCTCCAAACTGACACTGAACTGACTGCCAAGCAATCAGTCAGTCAGTCAGTTTCATCAGTTTGGATTGATTGTTAGCAACTCTGGCGTCGGTGCTTAAGGTTCCAACTAATTTAGTCCGGCCCACTGTAGTGCTCTAGCGCCCTGGTGTCAAGCAAGTAACTTACTTGGTTGATGGACACACTGGTCATGGAAAGATTGAAACCATGTCGAAACCCCCATTTACCCTGACACTCCGTCACTCCGCTAGTGCATGATCTCCCAACATGGTTGAGCGAGCTTATGAGGCAGTCTCAGAGGGCTGGGCAGTTCATTGTAAGATCCAATCTCTTGACGGCCACTACGGTATCGAGGCTCACCGCCCAACGAGCCACCACCTACCAAAATGACTCCACTACTTCAACACGCGATAACTCTACCACTATGAGCCCAATTGAGTTGCGGTTGCAACAGTCGAATCACTAAAACCTGGAGAAAAATTTAGCTGTACCGTGTCCGTGCGCGTGATGACCATGTTCGAGTGATGCCCCGATTTGAACACCAAAACTCCATGAAAAATGAGGCTGTACAGCCACCCACAAAAGCTATTATCACGAGAATTCTTAGAGTTATGCTTTTTATAGTACTGCGATTAATTTAGTCTACTTGTATTTGGCTGGTACCTTGGTGGTGCGGCTGAGCCGAGTCGTTTGAGACGAGACGGCCGGTGCAGCCTCCTGAGCTTGCACACGCGATATATCATCACTAACACGCTTCTGACGCTTCTGCTTCTGAGTAGAGCCCTGTGAGGCCTTGCGCTTACCCTTTTGGAATAATCTTATAGCTTTTTCTAAGTCGCGGATAGCTTTCTGGCGCTCCTTTTCGGCTAGCTTTTCAGCCCGCTCCTTCTCCCGAGCCTCCTTGAGTCTCTCACGCTCTACACGCCTCTCCTCTTGCTGTTGAAGCTTGTTCAGATGAGCCTGCTCTCTCTGCTTCTTACGATCACTTTTTTGGAGTTGTAACTCATCTTGTTGCTGCCGTCGTTCCATCTCATCAAGCCTGGCTTGGCGTATCTTCTTGGGCGACCAGAAAACAGCTCCACTATGGTACTCCTTAGGCTTTCTGAGCCGGAGCTTATAGCCCTTCTTTTGGTGTTTCTTTTTGACCTTAAGTGACTCCCTTAGGCCTCGAACTTCAGCTCTAAGTATACTATTTTGGGGTGCGATATGGTGTATACTCCGCTGAAGCTTCTTCAACTGCTTACTGCTGGTATCCTTGGCAATACAAGCGCTGAGGTGCTTGATTTTGACCTACTGTTCTGTACTAAGTACAGATGATGAGCTCTTATCTAAACTTGACGCCTCCTTACGAAACTTCTTGAGTACAACCTCAGGATTAGGTGGGTGAATACCAGTGAACTCAAACGACTTTCTGATAGGCTGAGGCTTAAAGGTAGTAGTCTAGGCATTCTAGAAGAGGTGAAAGAGGTATCCCTTGTACATTGGTAGGATCCTATGGCTGTTTAGCAGGTATATATTAAGTTGAACTTGATAGGCTGATGAGAGAAGTTTAAACATCCTAACGTCGAGCGGCTGAAGCGTATGGGTTGAATGAGGAGGAAAGATACCTATAAGGATCTTGTGGGTCTCGCAATACTTAAGAAAGTCTATGGATACATGGGATGAATGGCCATCAAGGAGTAGTAATCGGTACCCAGTTAGAGCGTACCGTCTAGTCTCTCTCTCAAACACCTCCTTGAGCCAAGCTGGCCCTATATCGCTGTTGCTCCAGCCAGTAGAAGATGAGGTGATAAAGACTGAGTGTTTTTCTGGCTCGATCGACTCTACCCAGCTCGATTTTAGGTCTCTAGAATCCGACTGAAAGATAAGACCTGGGCTCAAAGCTATACCATCTAATGAGATGCAAGCTAGGACTGTTACTCACTCTCTTGAACCATCCTGTATAGCTGTAGTTACTCCATCTTGGCAGTAAACCCTCCTATCAAAGATCCTCTTCGAGCACCCATGTTTGCCAAGCATAAAGCCCTTTTCGTCCATATTGAAGACGTGAGAGAGCTGTACATCGTACTGTCTCATCTTATCGTGTAACAGCTCGAAGTAGAAGGCGTACTTGGCTTCTGAATCGGCTTTGTGGCGATCCCGATCCATTGGTCTCTGCCAGCGTGATATGAGATCGATAGAGTTTCTGTTGAGAAAGCGAGTAACCCAGCTTTCTGAAACCTCTCTACCAAGCAGCGATGAGGCAAAATTTCGAATCATGATATGGGATGGTGTAGTACGCCTCTCGGTGAGCGTTTTAATATACTGTACGAGCTCTATCTCGTGTTGTTTATGGAGTGAGAGGTAGGCGATTTTGTTGGGTTATGTTAGTCCTTAGTGTCTTCGAGCGAGCGTACGACGGTCAACACTATACTTTTTAGCAAACCTAGTATACGAAAAAGATGCCCCTGGAGCTCGCGAATCGATTTCTATAATCGCTTCTTGAATCGGATCCATATTGGTGGAGTTATGAGGTATTTTGTGGAGGTGGGATATCTGGTGGTGCGGGGCATCACTCGAACATGGTCATCACGCGCACGGACAAGGTACCGTAAGGGGAGCTCGTTCGAGCCGTGCCGCAACCTTGCCAACGCCCCGCCACAATCCCATTGGTTATCAGACGCCCGGGTCGCACCCACCTTCGCTAGCCTGGAATACTTCACACGTTCTCGAAGACGTCCCACCGACCCATCCTTCTCAACCAATTTTCTCTGAACAGGATCAGTCGCACGACTTCTTCCTGCGCAAACAATACACTTCTCCCCCTTCGAGTCACCTTAAAGCTCAGAGTCAGGACTTGTATCTACTATTAGCCATCATGCTTCGCGCGCTTACCAAGCACAAGCACCATAAAGACTAGATTTCGCTCCGTCGCCATTACTAACTACGTCTAGCAGTCACACCTTTGAACTCCCAACCGTCGGCAGACTTTGAGCAGCCGCACCACACATTCCACGAATCACCAGATATGAGGTACGAAACCGTACCGGTTGTTGTAAGCGAGCGATTTCTCACGCAGACAGTATCTTGAGCTTCATGATGACTCCTTCGCAGTATGGTATGAACTATTACGGCTCGTCTCAAACATCCTACTCGCCTGGCTACGCACCTCAGCAATCCTATGCAGAACCAAGGTCTTCCGCTTCTGGTCCATACGGCTCATCCTACTCTTCAAGTCCGGCCCTGAATGGAAACCAACAAAGGAGATCTGACCAGCACACTGTTCTACCGCCCTACCAGCCTCAGCACCCGTCACTCCCGCGGAGCCGGTATCAACACCAACAGTCTTCAGATCCAATGCGAGCAAACACAACATCCATGGCTTCTACCGCGCACTCATACACCTACCCAGCACCGGATAACAATGTCCCCAATCAATCTTTGGGAAGCAATACCTACCCACCGTGAGTTCGTTGCGAGCAACGACTGGGCATTCCACTGATATGAGATAGATCGCAACTTCATCCCCCAACCTCTTATGATGTTGGCGATTATCACCCATTACCAACCATGTATCCACCGACAAGCACAACACCTGCTGCATACCCATCCTACGAATCGGGACAGAGCGCTGCACCATCTAGCGCTTCAGTACCTGCACTTTCTTCATCACCGAGCACGCAGGGAAACGCGCTAATGCCACGAGTGTTGAACTCGCGACCAAAGCCCCAATGTTGGGAACACGGGTGCAATGGAAGACAATTTTCTACATTCAGTAACCTCCTGCGGCACCAACGGGAGAAGTCGGGAACTGCGTCCAAAAGCACCTGTCCCCGGTGCGGGGCTGAATTCACTCGCACTACTGCAAGAAATGGACACATGGCGCACGACAAATGCAAGCCACGGAGCGCATCAGAAGCAAGTGGATAAGCAAGACTTGTATTTCATTGTTCGATTTGCTCAGGCATTGCCAGCTCGGGGAAAGCCGTAGCAGAGCGCGGACGCGCTTGACGCAACATCACCATTGTGAGATGCCCGAACCTCAACGCGGACGGCGTTGCGCTTCCGCTCGGCGACGAGAATTATTGACGTATCTAAGCGGAGATATAATGATGCACCGCCACGCCAGTGAGCTCCGGGTTTCCTACGAACAAGCCCACTGGCGGAGCAAAGGTCCTCAAGACGGCATAACTATTCGCTACAGGAGTTCCAACCCCATTCTCGCATATACACACTATACTTCCGCATCCTCGAGGGGTTAAGGAGGGTTTTTGGATATAGGAGGTGCATCACCAGGTGTTATGTCAAGCGTTCAACGGTCACCAATGCATATGAATTATCTATTTGAAATCCAGTATCTATTACTACACTACTATTACTATGATATCTATATAGAAGTGCAACTATGACTAGAGTTGTCAGCAATCAATCAGATCGGCATGATTGGTTTCTATCTAGGTATAACACTTTCCTAATCGAGGCAATACTAACCTAGGTAGGAACCAATCATGCCGATCTGGTTGATTGTTGACAACTCTAACTATGACCATAAGCACGGTCGAGGAGAAGAAGGTTTTCGAAACATGAGACATCCACATTCTTTCCCATCTGAAGACTGTATCATCTCTTCTTTGGTCACGCTTATAAATCATAGTACTCAAGTTGGTCGCTCTGCTACCATTGCACGGCGGAGAGGCTGGTCCTTGGGGAGGTGAGTGTTGGCCGCATGCCTGCTGGGGGATCGCGGGAGGTTTTGGGAGGAACGAGGAAAGCAGGAACACGGAACGCCTGCTCCTTGAGGCTGCCCCTGTTCCTTGTGATAAAACCCGGCTATCTGGTTCGCTAAGAACCCATAAGTACGTGGTCTATCTCAGGGTTCGCAAAGCAACTGGCGCAAAATCATGGCCGACGCTAGACCTGCACGGCAAGATTTGGGCAATGCCGAGGAAAATCTTTCAGAGAGGAAATCGCAGCCTACAGCAGGTCCCCTAGTCTAAAGAAGGAAAATCTCCCGAGTAGCATATACGATTCAGTGGGCGATAACCAAACACAAGGCGGTCCTGGCGAGCTCGACAACGCAATTTCCAACATGGCTCGCACTTGAATTTGTCGTGAACACCCCACCCCGAACGCTCGTAACAGGTTTGGTTCTCGGTTCGCGCTTCGACGTAATTTCCACGGCAGGCGCACCAATAATCACGCACCCATTTTCATATTGCAATAGTCAAGAGCACGCGGGCGAGGCTGCCGACTCCACTTGCACGGCCCTCGTTAGATTCGATGTCGCACGGTTGGGTGCGGGTATTGTGGACAGAAAAACTAGGAGAGAGTGTATATGTTGTATTGTTTTTAGCATCCTAGCTCAGCTTATATGGAGGTCATCGCACGGCGTTATTAGTAATAAGGTACACGTTCCCGACAGCGCTTGGCCTGCGACAATAACTATTGTATGTGGCTCTATAGCCTCCTATTTGTGGTGGGCGTGAAGGCCCGGAGCCGGTGTCCGGTGTCTCCGGGCGTACGGTGTCCGTGCACGGTACTATAACTAGTTACACGGACAGTAAAACGTTTACCTTGCAGCGCAGCGGAGTGAGGCTAGAGTGGCTAGTAGGACGGCACTATCTGTACCATGCTTCATGCGGATGAGCAGGATAACAATATAGGCTAGGCCTAGAATGGAATAGCGTTTGTCTTCCCCGCGAAGACAACAATGCACCCGTACGTTGCACGCGAGGTCGCGATACAGGTCACTGACCGTCTCACTCCTTGCTCAAGTATGAACTTCATGGTCCTTAGGTCGATCAGAGATGGCGATCTCTCGGCACAACGCCGGCTTGGGCACGTCATAGAAGGACTTGAAGTTTGACAACCAAGGCCACGTCTTACATCATTCTATACGGTGTTGCTGTTTCCTGGTCTCCAAGGAAGCTCTGCGAAGCGTGCGTGCGCGAATCCGTGAAACAGAACGAAGAGAAGCAACTACAACTCCAGAAAACTCGCGATATAGGGCTTAAAGCGGCGGCAACGCTATACCAGAAGCAGCAAGCTGAGGCTGCAAAGGCGGCTCGACAACACGCAAAGGAGGAGTGGGCGAAACTTCGGTTAATGCGTAGACGTGCGCTTTGATTCATCAGAGCATGATCACTGCACCGCCTCCTTGTTATAATCAGCGTGAAGCATCGGAAGCGAGCTACAGTCGCTGCTTTTTGAGCCTGAGCTAGACAACAAATAGGCTAGTGCCCCCGAATAGCCGCGTGCAATGAAAATCGTTCTATCGTGTGGCTGGAGACAAACAACGGCTTATACTGTAAGCGGTGGGCTGTAACGCTAGCGCTTCTTCAAGTGTTCCATAGACACGGTACGCGGGGAATGGCTCCGCGCCCCGCTGCGGTCGCAGCAGCAGCATCGGAGGCACTAGTGCATCTGCAGCCCCCTTCTCCCAGCCTCTTTCTCTGTATCTGTCCAAGTAAGTAAGAGTCTTTGTGTTTTCGGTCCACAGAGCATCCAGTCAAACGACCGTGCTGACGCCTCTTGATCTTACACCTCCATCCCCCATAGGCTTCTGACGTGGTGCTTGCTTTTCCCTTCTCAACGTCTATTTCTCCTCGTTGCATCTGAGTCTGATACGCAGCATCACACATACTCGCAAGCATGGGTACCGTTGATGTGGCTGGAGACGGAGTGCTGCTTCTCTATGGCGCCATTGTTTTGCTTGCGTGGAGCTGGACTATCTTCTCCATGCGTGTCGCTGTGCGAATACGGAGAAAGGCATTCGGGATGGATGATTACTTAATGTTGATTGGTATCGTACGTATGCAACTGATCAACCGATGCAGTCCACGAGCGAGCTAACACATACTCCCAGATCCTCTTTTCGGTTACAGCCGCTCTGTGCATCACTTGCTGTTACTATGGCTCCGGGCAGCTCGCTCGTGATCTATCTATCTTGACAATGGCGAAAGGAATCAAAGTATGTTCCTTTAACCACCCAACAACTTGTAATGAAGTCCACGACACTCATTGCCTTCAGCTGTTTTACGTTGCGGAATACTTCTATGCCGTCAGCGCTATGTTTATCAAGATCAGCGTTGCAGTTACGCTTCTGCGTATCGCCGCTGCTCATCCGCAGTTTATATGGGCTTTATGGGCACTCATAGGTGCTACCGCCATTGCCGCTCTCGTCTTCTGTATTGGCATTGCGAATGTGTGTAAGTGTGGTGGATTCAGATTACCAAGACCGCTGCTGACAAGCAAACAGGCCATCCAATCAATGCCTTGTGGGGTAAATCCGATGGCACCTGTAACCTCCAGCTGAACACCGACGTCAGCTTGTTTTTCTCAGCCATTGAGATCATAACCGACTTCAGCCTCTCCATCATGCCCGCCATTTTGCTGCGGAATGTACAGATGGTAAGTTGTGTCTCAAGTCTAGTGCAAGACAGGGGCAGACTTTAGAAAAATGTGCTGATTCTGTCTCCCAGAAGAGCAAAGTGAAGGTTTCGGTTGCTGTAATGCTTGCACTCGCTTCTCTGTACGTCTGTTGTATGGTCGATCGCGTTGTGTTGCCCTCGCTGACTGGGCTTCTAGTGCGTCCTGTGCAACCATCGTTCGGCTGAAGTATCTCACGCTCTACAGCGACCCTGGCGATTTTATCTATGGCACTGGTAAAATCGGCTTCTGGTCCTTGACGGAAGAGGGCATCGGTATTATCGCTGGCTCCTTGCCTGCGCTTCGCCCTCTTCTCTCCCTTCGCATTAAATTTACCACAAGCTCCAGCATCCCTGCAGCAACGGGCAGCGCCCATCCTCCTATCCCCAACGGAAGGCAGACCTTGCCGCGCTCTGGCGTCATGATAATGAGCTCTCTTCCAACGTTGCGGGACAACGATGAGGACGATCATAGCGATGGCGATAGCCAGAGGAACATCATAAAGGAGACTACGTACACGGTTACTTCAAGGGAAGTTGCTGTAACTGGAGGGGATAGAAAGCAGGGCCAAGTGATGAGGTGGGATTATATAGACTCTAGCCGGGTCTGAAGAGCTATGTCTGAGCCTACAGCATCCCTAGAACAACTAGATGTGTCGTGGAAATATTAGTATGCAACACGCCTTCTTACTCAACAGGCGACCGTACAGGTTTACAGGGTGAACGTAGTGAAGAATCTAAGCGTAGATTACCTTTTCCTTTGCGTTCCTTGCCTTTCTTTCCTTCAAGTCGTTAGACTATCAGTGTGACAATCAACTTTCGTCATAGTTACAGCTGAGAGCCAATAGATATCGATACGCAACCAAGAACAAAACAGGGGGTTTAGGAAATGGCGCCTAGTGGTGGGTTGCTTATCTACTTCTTTTCGTTGCGCCCGCATTGTATACGCAGCTATTCCTAGCATGGGCTGGCACCCGACGCGTGGCCCCGCATCAGAACTATAGACAAGAAGTCAACTGTCCCCAGAGCCTGCCGTATTCCCTTAAACCACTATCTACCTTTGCTTGCTCGCTCATCTAGATTGCGACTGCCAATTGTGCGCCACCCTTCTAGGCGCGTAGAGACGCTTTGCCTCGTCTGTCGCACCCGGTGTACGTACAGTCTCCCCTTAGCGCTCGGTGTCATCTACACATCTCTAATCCCCACGTGCCCAAGGATCTGCGTCAGTTTCACATACTCGATAGCTTTGGTGGCTAGCTGCAGCGTGCTTAAGATGGTCTGGAAATTGTCGTTTCCGAAGAGGTTACCGAAGATGCGGTTCCACGGGTTCCCGTGCAACCTGCAGTGGACCAGGATGCAGACTTGCCTATTGTGATATCACTCTAGCACTTTAGCACAATCAGGCTGCCCCGCACTAGCTAGAGCCTGGCTGGTGGCTCAGCTGGTCCAATCAGTAGCCCCGGCTAGACTGCTTAGTAAACCAGCTTCAGCTGCTCCAGCTGGGAGCAGATTATCCTAGCCAATCAGCGAAGGGTACTATTGCGCTAATCTCGGCTGATATCACTTTTGCTATCCTGATATCACGATAGGCAAGTCTGCCAGGATGTGGGCGATGGTCTACCGTTTCTCTCCGCAGCTACAACCGAGGCTAGTGATGGTCCGGACCCCTCGGTTGTAGAGGGAGTCGTTCAGCCCGATCTTCCAAGTCTAGTCCGCAGCTGCACCAGCAGCGCGCTCTCCCGGTTAGTGAGGTCTTCGTGGAGCTGGAGCACTTTCTTAGTGGGCATCTACGCGTGCCTATAGGTTGTTCGGTTCTTAGTTTCTTTGCGCCATTTCGCCATCTACGACCGTTCGGTCTGTGTCGTGCACCGTCTTCTCAGTGTTGATTTTGTAGTGTATAGCTGAGGAGGAGTGTTTGCTGGTAAGCTTCTGCAGCCATCCTCTCTCCGTCTGGTGGCTTCCTTGACCGCTTTGTCGACGGCCTCGATCCCTGGGATGCCCACGGGGGTTGGAATCCATCTAACTGCCACTGATCGTCTTGATTTGACTGTGTCATGAGGCGCTAACTTCTCGTATGGTCAAGTGAGCTGCGTCGTCGTCTTCCTGGCAGCGCTGTTGCATCGCGACTCGGGGTCTGTACGCCTCCTCGGAAGCAACGCATCTTCCATCCATACTCTCGATCGTAACAGTCTGCTCGCGATGCATGCTCAGGGATCTGACTGCTCTTCGTCAGCGATGCTATACAGACGCTAGTCCCCGCTCTTTCGCGCACCTTGCCAAAGCTCCAATGCTTCACACTTGATGATTGTCCCAGAAGCGCTTGGTAGCCTTTCTGATGATGTCTTGGTCATCAAATCGTGATTTGTAGTAGTTGATCAAGGCAAACTCGTCCGGAGGAAAGATGTAAGAGTCTGGCTCGGCCTGTAATCGTCTCCAAACTTCTTCCAATCGTTTCTCCAAAAAGGCAGCAAGACGTGCATCGACTCCATTCACACTATTCTGGGCGATGTAGACCGCTTGCGCAAGAGGAAGGTGGCTGTGACCCGCTGTAAAGTCACTGCCAGTCTCCATGAGGCAACTGCAGTAGACGAACAGTGTGTTGCTTACTTGAAGGTGGCACTCGATTTCGAAGGGGTGGGACGAGGGGGTTTTGTAAGCCTAGGACTACATCACATGACTGCTCTGCAGTCATGACTAATGCGTGCGACTATTTTAGAGCTTAGACACACACTTGTATACACACACAATAATACACTCATACATGAGACTATACACTACTACCACCCTATGCTTACAGGTTTCGATTGAAGAAAGATCCGAAAATACAAAGCAAGCAAAGGAATTTGCTCACGAAAAGGCGCAAGGTAAGACCTGGAAGCTCAAGAGTGCCCGCACGTGTCTGCTAAGCCACGAGTAGTTATTCGACTCACAACATGCGTTAAGCGCTAAGTCAAAGACGAGCTCGCCCGGTCGGCGCAGTCTTGGTTCCACACTTGGCAAGACGAGAATGGTGCGTTAGTTTTATACTATGGTAGCAGGCATAAGTTTTGTGAGTGGAGAACGGCGTCAAGGGTCAGGACTGAAGACGCAAAAACTCTCACTCCGTCTTTAAACCAATCAGAACTATCTTGGTTGCTGACCATTACGATGTTTATCCTATGTGGAGCTATAAAAGTTTTAATACGTGGGCTTAGTCACTAGCTATCCCCAGAACCACTCACAAAACTTATGCCTACTACCATAGTAATGATTTTTGCGCTGCAGGAACATAACTGAGAGCTCTCCCGGGCTAATCAAGGGGTCTGCCTCAGTCCATCCAAGCGCCACAATCGGTACAAAAAACCGTTGCAACTCGTTACGGACCAGGTGCACAATGCCCTATACTGCATATGGACGACCATGACGCTAGTTCTGCTTCGGGGTCATGCAGAAACAGGAGGTGGGAGATTACTCCACGCCTCGATGTAAGCTCAGTAACGACAACAGCATTAGTGGATCTCCATTCCTTCGTTTTAGCTTGCTTCCTTGCGCACGTACTTAGTACTGCGTCGTGCACGTACCTACCTCAATCTCCGCCGCAGCTTTGGAGTCTCAAGCTTGTTGATCTGGGTTCCACGAACAATGCTATCAGTACACGTAAGCTCATCGGCATAGCTAATTGTGTTTTAGGCGTCACTGATACGTCATCATGATGACGTCACCCACACGCAAGGTCCATTAGGTTGAGTCATGGCGCATCATTCTCGTCAGGATGCCGCTTAGGTAACATATCGCCAACTTCTTTAACAAGTATATCCTATCAACTGGTCCGGCTCGTGGTGTGCGTGATGGTCTTAAATCTGCATGCGAGCGAATCAGACATTCACGATGTCGAAAAACGAGGACGTTCTGGGTGTCGCATTCCTTGGTGACGCCCTTTTTGATCGCTTTTCCGAAACTAGACTTTCCTCCTCTAGATGCACTTCCTTCGACTGGACTGCACTGAGGGCTGGGCCCTTGCGAGATGCGAAGACACCTTGTAGGGAAGCCTGACAAGATACAGAGCCGAGCCCACTCCTCTGTGCCAACTTTTTACAAGCGGATTTTCTGGTCCGGACGTTGATAGAATGGCTGATCGGTCCTGTTGTAGAAGGGTAGCAGGCCACATATCCTCGGCAAAGTGTATGGGAGAATATCCCTCAAGTAATGTGCGGTTTGAGCATATCGACCAGCCTTCTTCTGCTTTCATAGCCACCACGCATGCGTCAGGCGCACCCAACCGATCAACGTGCAGGCAACCACGCGTTAGGCATTGCTATCCGGCGACCCGGCGATGACTGGCTTGCAGGCTGCTGGAGCAGTTATGTATGCTTTGCGACCGAGTAACGGAACAGTGTCATTAGCAACAATGGTGCGGGAAACTTCTGGGCGGGAAGCGTCAATGACATCAGGGCGGCATCTCAAACTGAATGGATTGATCGGAGATAATGATCGGCCCACTCCATGGCTGCGGTGCTGTGAGAGTTGCTTGAAGAAAGTGCTGTGAGCAACTGTTTGACATTTCGTTGACAGAGCAAGACGGCCCGCCCTACGTATACATGAATACATGCAGCAGCCACTACGGTGCCCTTACTAACGACGACTTTACTTTGCCCCGCCTTTTCCCCGTCACATCGCATCCGGACACACCTACACCAACGCGCACCCTCCACCCTAGTACCTCGTGTCGTGGCCCAACTCGTTGCCGCGTCTACGTTTGATGGAAATACTGACGCATCAACTGAGAATGACGAAGGTGACAAGGTTGCTTCTCACAAAGCGTATCGATCTGACATCTATTTGCTAGCTTAAGGGATCCCCCAACCCTTCCCTCCAGCGATCGGCGACCACGCTGGCTCCTCGCCCGGAACCCAGTCAGAGACGTTGGGACTGTTTGCCTCTCGATCAGGGTTATACGCACCGTTCGGGTAGAGGGGCCAACCTTTGGCCGGGTAGGCTATCTGATTCGCGGTGTACTGCTGGGTGGCTTGCTTCTGTGCCCAGTCTAGGTTGTTGGGAAGACGGGGGTTGGTGAACCAGTTATTTGCTACATTTTGATACGCTGGTTGCGCGAGACCCTGCACACAGAACGATTAACTCTCTGCAGAAACAAGCAAACAGGAGTGTTGCAAGCTTACGTCTGCCCAGCACTTTGCAAAGAACCAGTATATCTTTCCCGGATACTCGTTCCCCATGAGATCTGGAACGCTGTTGATGGGCACATTGCCGAAGCCTTCCATCACTTGCGCTTTCGCCCGGTCGATCTTGATATCCCCAGGGGTGGCGCAGTGCGTGGGGTCGCTGGGATCGGTGCTGCAGATGTCGGTGATTTTAAGCATCATGTCGGACGACCCGTCTTCTTTCCAGAAGGAGATGCAAACGTCTTGCATGCAGTAACCTGGTTTCAATGTCAGGTCAGGACTTGGCTCGCGGGGAGGGCTGCATACGGCTGAGGTCGGCATACTTGAGAAAGTAGGGATGAATGGCCACCTTGGAGTTGTAGAATGCGTTATCGGGGATGCCGCACGCACTCTGGTTGGCAAAGTCGTTCGTGCCCGGGAGCCATTTGTCTGTGATGCCTTCCGGGGTGTTGTATTCGCCCTGGGCAAAGAACTTCATGGACCCGTGGTACAGACGGCCAAAAGGCAGATCGATCGATCGAGCGCCGTAGATGTCCGGCGGTATCTCATTCGTCTGCTCCGGCAGGCCGATGAACAGAGGCTGCCCGTTGCTGCAGGAATTGTCGATGATACCGCTTGCAGGAATGTTCTGGTAGCCAGGATCTCCGCGAACGAGGGTTGAGATGCTAGTGAACGACATCAGGAACAACCGGAAGGGTGTGGTAATGTGCATGCTTGAATGGTATCCAATGAGTCAAGGCCACTGCGATTGCTGTGGCTCCGAAGAAAGACGTACAGGATGGCACAGGCCAGTTCGAAAAGAACACAGGATAGGAAGAGACGAGCAAAGTGTGTTTACGGTCGGCTCTAGAAAACAATAGAGGAGTAACAAGAGGTCTCAAGGCTATATACCTGCCCCGAAAGGCTTTAGACACTAGCGCTTATGAGACCTGAAACAGCAAAAGACTGAGGGGATACTAAGAATCAAAACTCGGACATTAGGCTCAAATATTAGGACGGATCTACAAGGTACTATAAAGAAGGCAAGATGCTGGTCTCTAGAAGCCCTCAGAGCCGCCTAGGCCAATTGACCTGACAGCTACATCCATAGAGAAGATGGAGAAGAACTGATGAGCTATACAACACCGACAGGGTAACACACGATGCCTTTGTGCAGGTGAGAAAGCCTGTAACGTGTGTTCTTCGACAGGCGTAGAAACATTAGATGGATAGGTCTGTATCTTACAAGTGCATTCATAGCAAAGTAAGGTTCAAGGTGCTTGTCGGAGTACTGCAAACCAGACACAGCCAGAACGAAACAGCACGCCCTCTTGATAACCACTCCACTGGCTGGCTGCGCGGCAAGGCGGACAGACATCGCCGGATACATCATCAAGTCACTAGAGCAGCAGAATCATTGTGATCAGACTACCAGCACCACTGCGCTACCCGAGCTGGGTCGACGAATGGGTTAGACTCACAGGTCGCCATATCACCGTGGAGCTGGGATGATGCAAACACGACGAAGCCTGTCCGACCACGTGGGGTCATACGGACATGCGGGCGTGGCTCCGGGAGGTAGTCGGGACAGGACAGGGGACGGTGTACCGGTTTCAGAAACCATGCTTGACCTTCGGGGACATAACGCAAATCTCCCCGACGGCAACACAGACGGCTTTTCGCTTTTCCATCGTTCGAAGAGCTATAATCACAGCCTAGTGAGTCTGTGCTAGGCAGAGATAAAACGCGCAGGGCAAGACAGCAGCGTGCAATGACGGCGATACTAATAGACCTCCGGCCGTCTCTCATAGCAATGTTTTTTGTTTCCAGCAAGATAAGTTGAGCGGCCATGCTTGGCTTCACAGCCTCTACATCTGTTTCGAGGTCTGCTTGCGCCAACTAGACGCCTGCTCAGAAATCTTGCGTACCCCTTCTCTGTCTCAACATACCGGGCCCGCATTTGGGTTTTAGCCCTTTCTAGTGCCGACGATAAACTGTCCGCCGCCCATTCATGTCTGCAATACACTATGGTTAGTGTCGTTGCCCTATGTAGGCCGGGATCATATTAAGGAGGCAAAAGCCCCGACTGCACGTTCTACACCAATCACACAACTTGTTTTGCGGTCTGTCCTAGGCTGACTTCATATATGCTGCGATATACAGGCCGCACGGATTAGCTACGATATTAATGCATGACACCACAGTGAAAAACGATCCTAAGTATGATGATAGGAGACGGAGATTTCCCATAGATGAGCCGAGTCAGCCGTTGGCGTTACACCACCTTCTTGATTGAGACACGGATCACCCTGCTCCGACAAACAGACACGGGGAGACAGAAGCTCGGCGCAGAACCGTCCAACCTCATATGTCATGATCGACAGGGGCTGGGATGTGTCCAGCAGTATGGATAGCGAGGCACTAAATGCCATTGATAAACACGAGGCGCTGGCAAGGCGACCGTAGCTGTTCACCAAACAACTGCTATCTTTGCCACAGACACCAACCACTCAATCTTCGCGACTCGTTCACTTTCCCAACCATGGACTTCGTTAAGGGTGTTCTACTCAGTCTTTGTCTACCTTTTGCGCTCGCTCTTCCGGCCGAGTCTGTCGACAATGACAATACATTGCACTCTTCCGCGCTCGGTTGCCCTGCTGGCTTGAAGAACGTCGTCTTCAACTCTGGATACTCGCCTACGCAGTTCTCTCAGATCCAGGGCGCTTCAAACTATGTCACCTTTGGCCTTGGGAGTAACCCCGGACAGATTCCAATGATGGCCTTTGCATCCGATGTCGCCAACGCTGTCAGCTTGGTCAACTCGCCCGATGCCCCTGAGTTCATGTTGACTTTCAACGAGCCCGATTACTCGTACATGGGCTTCACTCCGACCATGACGCCGCAGCAGGCCGCTGATGCCATCCGGCCACTGCTTGCTTCACCCGGCACCAAGACCAAGTTCATTGCCCCGGTTCCCGCCTACTGGAGATCAAACTGGTTGTCAGACTTCTACGCTGCCTGCGGCTGTCAGAGCTTCTTTCACGCCTACAACATCCACGTCTACCTGCCTACTCTCGATGCGGCCAAGAGCGACATCAGCAACTTCCGCAACAGGTTCGCCGACAAGCCCCTTTGGGTCACAGAGATCGCGCCTGGCAATGCCAATCCACCGTGTTCGCTTGAATGGCCCGCTGTGGAGTCTTACATGAACGGCTTGTACAGCTGGGGTGCCTCGACAGGCTGGATCGAGAAGATCTTTTGGAATACCGGCAACCAGATCCCCGATGACACAAACGTCTGCAACAGCTACCTGCTCGACAGCAACGGCCAGCCCTCGCCACTGCTGGCCGCATTCTCGGCCGTCAACTGCTCCTGATTGACACTAAGGAGATGTCGTGTGGAAAATCTTACCAGCTTGTACAGATTCTCAGCTTGAGCAATGGTGTGGGAATGCTGGAAATGGAGCTAGAAAGCCCACAAGGATGCCCTAACGCCTCGATCGTCTATCTTACACTAGCCCCTACGTGTTCCTGCCTCAGTTCAGACTCATCTCTGATGGGTCATCGGGCGTATTCGTCTTAGTTGTGGCTACAGAAATGAATCTCGTCAGACTTCGCAATCGTCTCCAGTTTCCGTTTCTGAAGTGACACTCTTCACATGCGCTTCTAAGCAACAGATGATGTCATTCCAAGTTAGAGATTCATCCGGTTGATCGAGTACGTCTCCATACCTAGAACCGTCCTAGGGTCATCTTGATCACTGAATATCACATGGGCAGCCAAAGGCTCCCTCGGCAGTGAGCGGCATCACAGAGGCCGGTGTTCGAGTCCCCTCACCATTTTTCCAGAACAGGTGTGATCCCTCGGTAAGTCCTAAGAAGCAGCCCCAGAACATCCACCCGGGTAACGCATTATGTATAACGCACACCCTGCTCGGGAGTTTATTTACATTTTGGCACTCCGCAGGATTCCCCACCAAGGACATGGCTCCCATTCAACATGAGTCTGAGCTCACGCGAGCTAGCGCCTCAGCAGGTATACTATCTAGACCGAAGTCACTGTTCCCATGCGCTTTCGGTCTCTCGAGCGAACTAAGATCTGCACTCAAGTCTGTGAAGTCGTCCCGAGCCCATTTCTCGCCAACCTAGTCACCATATCGCGCAGCAAGCAGTCGCTTGGTGTCGCTCCAATGAACCAATGCAGGTGTCACTCCTCGCACGTCTGGTTCTTTGCATGTTAGGTCTTGTCTCTCATGACCCACATCTGGAAATTACACCAGGCAACGACGGCCGTGGATTGTGCAACAACCATTCAGTTCCTAGTTGTTAAAGAGCCAACAACGTTCGTTCGTCTGTTCCTCTTTTAAACGCGACACAAGCCGCGCATAACTTAGACTAACACTCCGCACGGACTGCGTCCAGGAGTTGGACGGGTAGACTGCGCTTCAATCTCCGATACACGGGAACTATCCAGACATAAAATGAGCAATATAGAGCTAGGTTCAGTTACAGTAGGACATTGCTTTATCGCTACTCTTCTTCGCATTCATTGTCCGACCTTCACTCGCTACAGAATTTGTCGCTCATGAACACAATGTCCACCAATCCACTGTCCTCTAGAGTATTGCTGCTCGCTCTCTCATTGGGAAAGCCGGAACAGGCCGAAGAACGTTCAGGGATACGTCGAAAGTTTCACGACCCGTTCTACAAGTCCCTCTAAATCAGGCTGCTCAACGTGGACTCAGGTGGGCACCTGGCCATCGCGGATACAACCACTTTTATCTGTGAGAGCCTTGGGACAGGTGACCTCCCTGAACGATACGCTCGGGTTGTCCGCGTTCTTAAACCCTGGGCGTGTCAGCTGGCCCTGGACTTCGTATTCAGACGACGTTTCTACAACTTACAATCAAACCTCCAATAGCATCCTGCCCGGAGGTGCGCCGGGAAGCTGTCACATTCCGAGCGCGACGAGATCCCGCCATATTGCTGGCCCCAGCCCTGAGGCGGTGCTCCCCACTGGTTGGTACATGCGTTGAAGAGGCCGACACCGCCACCGGGTATAGCGAGATCGAAATGATTGTCGCCAAGGTCACCCCCAGTGTTGGTTGTCTGGACGATCATCTTCTTGCCGTTGACAGGACCGGAAGTAAAGGTCAACCTGTGAGAGAAGCTGTTAACAGTACGCGTAGCAGGCAAGGCAGGCTGAGACTCACTCGTAACAAGCGCAGCACCAGGAAGCCTCGGTGCCACCAGCAAGCTTCGCTGCAGCGAAGCCGTACGCCAGATTGTCATCCACAGCCCATGGGCTCTGGTTGGTGCACATGTATGCTTGACCGCCACTCTCACATCCGCTCTTCGCGGCCATGTCAGTGAGCGGGTTGTCCTCCTTATCGCAGCTCTGGATGGGCATGTTCACGGCCGCTTTGCCAGCCCAACCGCAAGAACCTTTGCAACAGTCCCAGTACCGGGTGGTTTTTCCAGTCGGCGTTTGTGCATCGACAGTAGCCAGGCCAGCGGTCAAGGCGAGGAGGGCGAGCTGCGTGAAACACATCATACTGAGAGACCACACAGCCAATCGTGAGTAGTTGCAGAACGTGAGGAAGATACGTTTTGCGCTTTACAATTGAGAGCATTGCGCCTTGTGACAATGATATATATACCTGTCTTTCGAGGCCGCTTTGTCCTGCTGCTCCACTAGTCTCTCATGACGTCGGCGCTTGATCTGCATAAACGACGATCGGTCACCTCGAAAGATGCCATGTCGTCGCACCTTCCTTTGACAGACACAAAGGCTCAAGGATGCTAAGTAAGTGCATCAGCGGACCCACGCGGCGTCAGACCACGCTATCTTACGCATCTGATCGGCAGGCTTTCTAGCCTCCATTTGGTGGCGGAAACAAAACCTATCCCGCCAAGCATACCCCAGGCCATGTGGATGAAGTGATACGGGATAGCTGCAGTATACGGATTGTGAACCGTACTAATCAAACATGGACGGACTAAACTGTGTCTAGGTGCTCTGCTCCTCCGCCCATACAGATGTTGCAGGTCTGAAAGACGATGAGAACTGAGCGCCACAACTCGAGGTCTCTGCCAGCCTGTTTTCACATGTGCACAAATCGGCATGCATGTGCATTGTATCATGCTCCGGTCGGCCCTACTACCAGGGGCAGGGCCGAGGATAAGTACCTGTTTGCGCTGGACGTCCAAATATCGCTGGGAACCCGGCTTCTCGAGCAAGATCCGTGCATCTGCGGCGGCTTGGTCCTGACGTTCAGTGGAGGGCTGTTGGCCTGTCTAGGTGGTCTCGCACTAGATCTGATATACAGGTACTCGAAATGTGGCGGAGCTTGCAACAGAACCATGGTCCTAGAGACAGTGGATGGGAGATCGCTAGCCTTTTCGAAGCTGGCGTCCTGTGATGGCAACACGTGCCCTGATCCACCAGTGTCTTTCGGCCGCACAGGACACTTCGTTACATGGGCTTTGAGTCATTCTCACACGCAACAATCCTCGGAACACAACCAAGTACGTCCGACTGAGCAGAAACAAAGCCTAAGACACCAGGCATGCTAGCTTTTCAGGCTATCCTAGCCTGTAATATCAGGTCCTGTCTAGCCAGCTGATACATCGTGTCTTGGCTACAAGTCATCAGTCTCATCTTGGAATCGACGAACGCATCCATGCGGTCTGCATGGTAACTGCTTCTGCATACGAAGCACGTAGTTCCGCACCTAATTCGGCTCCATGCGTGTGCCTGTAGCATCTCACCGGTAGCACACTACCGGCCCGACTGGCGAGGGCGAATGTCTCCGCCTCCAGTAACGATATCGGCGGTGAATCGTCCGTCCTAAGCGTGCAATACATCTGTCAGGGCTCAAGGACGATTACGGGAAGGATTCGTGTAATTGAGTAGGGAATGTATATCTTCAGGTACAAGCATCAAGTCCCGCTTCACAGCCCCTCTTCACAGTTCCTCCGCCACGCCGAGAACCCAGTACGTTCTAGTGACGCAACTGGTTTCTCCGTCGAGATAAGCCCGTCCATCCTAGGGTACTCCGTGGCTCGATAGATCCACTTCAGATCGGCGTGACGTCAACCCAGAATCTGGTGTCATCCGACTTGTAGTCGTTCTTCGAGTCAATCCGCCCCTGAATCCATTCGATAGCGGATCTGTATCTGTTGATGTCGTCCGTGTTGGGATTACCCAAGCCGGTTGCCCCATTGCGGTGTCCTGCCATCCACCTTTCGTAACCATAGTAGTCCTGACAGTCCCAGCGCGAGGCTACATCCGCGTAGATATCGGAGCTGCTCAGGTCTCGTTAAGTAATGGAAATCATGGAGACAGGGTTATAAAGCTTACTTGAGCTTGGCCCCGTTGTTCCATTGGCCCTCGCTCTGTCCTGAGAAGCCGGCGCGAGAGCCACACACCCGGAGCATGCCCCAGTTCTGCTTGAACAAGCCAAAGTTGGCGGCGTCGTTGCTCTTGTTGTCTCCTGTTTGTGCAGTCAGACGCAGGATATCGGAACAGTAAAGACAGGCGCGTTCATCTACCGTATGTATAGTCTGTCTGCATTCTTTCGGTCTCCAGCATAGCAATGGCCAAGTCGAGGCTATTTCCTCCAGCATTCAGAATGGCTTGCTTACGAGCACCGAGGCCGGAGACTGTGTAAGATCCTCGCTTGTCCTCACGTGCGATCAGTTGACGCTCAGAAGACGAGGCTGCTTGAGCTGCAACAGCAACATTGGCGAACGCGAGCGCAATTGTTTGGAATGAAATATGCATTGCGGCTCGAGTTCATGGACTTGGTAGTTGGAGTAAAGCTACGATGGCTCAGCTCAGTACGGAATCGGGCGTGGCTTCACTCAACTTGTATCTTTGATGCTGTAGGGGCCTGACGACGTTGCAAGGCTCTACTTATGTATTGAGAAAAATGAAGCACGTACTAGTGAACTGCTTACGTGCCGCTCTACGTCAATGGGGTGTATGGCAAGGACGCAGACGTGCACGCAGGTAGGGTACTCTCGAACAAGTTGATAGGGCAACTCCATGGACTAGACTAAGGACGTGAGGTATAACGGGCAACGGGACAGAGGAACCTGATCGCATCGTTGCGGTTGCTTGAGCAGTTGCCCAACAAGGGTCTAGGCACCTTAGCACCTTGACTTGAAACACGTTCGTCTGTCGGAATTATGACCTGAAGAGGCTATAGATAATAGCCCCAGCCTGACTGAGCCGTGAGAGGCGTTTAGCAAGGAACTTACAGCTCTCCGCTATCGCGGAGAGCGACACTCCGTGCCAAAAACAGCAAAAGCTTACAATTTCCGTCTGCCTGACAACGCTATGCAGCCGAACCTCGCAACTTAGCCCAGTCAATGCGGCAGTCATACAAGCATGCGCAGCTGAGCCTCCATAGTGGCTGTTCCACGTGTACATCAGTGGTGCCTTATCTGTACGCATCCAAACGAGAGTTCACTGCAGCCTGTGATCTGCACCAACTTTATATGCCAGCTAGAATGAGACAATGCAGGGGCCCGCTGAAGATTGTGGCTGCCCGCGCTTTGATTCTGAGATTTAAGAAGAAAACGGCTCTCATGAGTCGTGTCTCTGCTCCTCACTAGCAATTCACCGCCTCTACCCGAAGGTACATGCGTCGTACTAGACTCTGCTTGCGGCTCGCCCCCTGCTCCACGTTTGCCTTCGAATCGGCTGTGGCTTCTTGGCCGAGCGTCTGGTCTCGCAGCCTGGCAAAGTTCTTTCCCACCTCCCAGTTCCAGGTACTGTCCAAGGCGAAGAGCAGGTCGATTTCTTCCAGCGTGCGCTGATTCGTCTCGGGATGCAGCGCACAGACCATAGGCATTGATATCGCGTTGCAAGCTGCGAAGATGTAGAGCGTTTCCTCGCCGATGCTCTCGAACATGACCGGGCAGAGAAGGGTGAGCCGGTCATTCCCGATCGACCAGCCCATAACACCCCACGCGTTACCCTTGGCCCTAACCTCTAACGGAAATATCTCCGCTGGATACAGCCATGGCACCGTCAACCACTTGGCCCCGAACACAAAGGTAAAGAGGCACACCGTGGACACGGCTGCGTTCCCGTAGCTTGAGGCCTTTGCTGGCATCTCCATCCAGTGTAGCTTGCTCTCCGAGGTACGAGAACGCACCTGTAAGTGTCAGGGCGATACCCTGACCAACAGAGCTCCAGTAGCAAGTCCAACATCGACCAATTCTATCCAGCGTAAACACACAGATCAGGGTAGAGAACATGTTGAAGACACTATTGAGACCTGCGATCCTCTGGCGCATGACAGGGCTCAGTCCCGCCAAGCCGAAGACGGTAGGGGCATAAACGGTGACTCCAGCGATGCCGACCCACTCTTGCATGATCTGGAGCCAGACCACGAGCTGGACGCGTCTACCGGTGTGCATCTTGCTGGAGCCGACACCGAAGAGCATGTGAAGATGGCTCTGCTTGCGGAGGTTCGTTACGTTCGAGTTCGCATGATGCTACGATATCCTGAAACTCGGCCTCTGCGGCGTCCTTTTCCGCGCACACGTCATCATGAAGACACCCCAAGACGTAGCGCGCTCCGTCTTCTCGACCCATCTTTAAAAACCAGCGGTGGAGAGGACACCGGTCATACGCCCAAACAGCTTGGGGATTTGGAATGCGACGGGGGAGCGCCAGATGAAGGAGGTGGCGCTATCGCCGTAGGACGAGCGGGCGCACTTTAGCCAGTGAGCAAACAGTACAAGGAAGATGTTGAGCGTGAATTCAATGGCAACGTAATGTCCACGAGACTTGTGCTCTGCAGTCTCGGCGGCTTAGATGGGGACGATGGAGTTGAAGTTGCCAGTACTCTGTCCATTGATAAGACGTGCGCAGATCATCTATTCCGCGTTCATGACAGAGACTGCAGTACGGCACCAAAACTACCAACTACCGCTCCGACAAACAAGGTTTTGATGCGTCTGTGGCGATTGTCAATGGAGCACACAGCTAGGCAGCCGGTCAGTGTTCCGAGACAGTAGACTGAGACAATCCCCCCATCAAGCGAAGTAGTGATGCATTGATCGTACAACGTGTTAATACCGCCCATGATACACTGGTCGCAGCCGCAAAAATAGGTTTGTCTGTCAGGTTGAGTCTCCGCGATGTACTCGTACAGGATGACCAGGTCTTTGGGTGCATGTTAGTGATCGTCGTCATTTGGAGATAAGGTGCAGAAAACACCCTTGCTGGTCTCAGCCGCCAATCAGGCTACTCATCGGACCAGTTGTGGCCAGAATATATCGAGAAAGAAGTATCCTGACTCGATAAGTCGCAAACAAGAGCATGTCCAATAAACTACGATGGGGTACACAACAGGCGATCGTTTTTGCGCCAAAATGTTACGTGTCTCGACCACTGTCAAGTAGAGAACTACGCGAAGATCTACACCCTCCTGGTAAACTGATTACACAGCACTTCCCGACACCATCTCATTGCGAAACCTGGAAAGTATTTAATTAAAGGTTAAGTCGAATCTTTTACAAACTCGAACCAGCTATTACACGATATCTCTGGCACATCTCTAACACCACAACGTGCAGGCTACAGCCTATCGGACCCCTCTGGGCGGTATCGCATGCTATGTGCCCTAATAATGTATCGTCTTGATGTGATAATACGCCTCGGCGCGCATAGCTGTACCCTAGTCGTCTTGCGACACTCCCTCCGTCTTGAGAACCTCGTGCTTCTCACCAGCATGTGTAAGCTGCCTATACCTCTGCTCTTCATCCATCTTGTTACCACGAACTACGCGCCTATTCTCTGCGTTCAGTCCCATGCAAATCCTCGGCTCCTCGTAAAACATCATGTCGATCTGCTCAAGCGTGCGTCCTGACGTCTCGACACCGAAGAAGTATGTAAGCGGTATGAACGATGCACAAACTGCTGCCCAAATCCAGAAGTAGTGACCGCCGATATTATCGAGGCCGATGGGAGTGACCATAACGACTACAAAGTTCGACATCCAGTGCGAGAAGACACCCACTGCAGTAGCTTTGTTGCGGACTCGTAGCGGTTGAATTTCAGCGGAGTACGACCATGATACAGGTAGGATGCCGAGGGTGAAGCAGTCAAAGTACAGAAAGATAAACGCGACCGCAGCGGCGGCGCTGGCGTAGCTGTTGTTCGCTAGGGAGCCAGCAACGATAGCCATGCAGACTGCGCATCCAGCAGACGATCCCATGACCGACCATCGACGTCCGATCTTGTCGATGTAGAAGTACGGCGGCCAAGCGAAGACGGCATACTGAGTGAAGGCAACGGAAGCGAGGATGAGAGCCATACTTGGTGAATAATCGAGGTACTCCTGGAGGATGTAGGCGAGGTAGTAGCTGAGTGCGTTGATGCCAGACCACTGGTTCATCAAGTACGGTCCCATGCCGAGAACGACACGATGCAGATTGCGAGTCTTGGTGGCATTGCTGAATACCTCTCCCCACGACGGATCTTCGTCGTTGCTTTCGGCTGCGATGGCGTCGAGGATCTCTTGCATCTGGCCCAGGACCTCTTCATCGTCGAGGGGCTTGTCCAAAAGTCTGCTGATGACATGCTGGGCCTGGGAGACTGGTCAGCTACAGTAGTGATATGTTTGCTTGTGTAACCTACCTCTCCAGTCCTTCCGCGCTGTGCCAGCCAGCGGGGCGTTTCGCACAAGAAAGGGCATAGTGCCAGTACGAGCAACGAAAACAGGATCTGACAGGCGACAGGAAAGCGCCATTGGATGGAGCTGTCAGCATATAGCGTTGCAAAGCAAAGCCATGATGCGATTGCAACACCGATGATGATCAAAGCGGATTGCACGACCAACAATGCACCACGGTTGTGGGCAGGTAGTGTTTCTGACTGCAAGATGGGAACTGCAACGGTCGAAAGACCGACGCCTACCCCACCGATGATTCGTGCAACGAACATCTGTCAGTATTCGAATGACGCGGTCTGGACTGCAGCGCCGATGATGACGATGATGTTGGCTAGGATGATGGACCGCTTTCGCCCAATCTTCTCGCCAAAGACGAAGGCGACTACAGCACCGAGGGCACAGCCAACGTCGTATATGGCGGTAACTAGTCCAGTCATGGTGGGATTCGGGTTGCCAAGCGTGTCCTTGAAGCGTTGGCCCCCAAGGATACCGCCGAAGAGCCCTTGATCATCTTATTGAGGATGTTAGATCTCATGTCACAAATGCGACCGGCGGAAGAGAGGGGCTTACATCCAAAGAGCAGAAAGTCGAGACCTGACGTCAGCAAGATGATGGCGAGTAGGCTCTTGCCTCTGAGTTCGAGCACGCGCATGATTGGATATTCTGTTGCTCAGTGTTTTTTGATCGTGTCCTCAAAAGCGGCGAACATCAGGACTTTGTACTTGCGCAACCATGTCAACGTGCTCCAGTGGCGCCTGATCGAGCATAGCATATGTGAGCTACAGAGAAGCCATTGTTTAGCGCGTGGGGAACTTGGCCCGGGGAACAGTGGATCTGCGGAGGTGACTTTTGCGGACAACAGCTGTGCAGGCTGTATTGTTGAGTAAGCTGGAGACGGCCGATCGAGGAATTCGCCGAGACGCAAGCGCGCAACCAAGCCTGGCCAAACTTGTACCTTGCACGTGCGCAAGCCAATCCGTAGGGCCGCCTGCACAGAGCCACACGATTTCTGTTCTCCGAATAGCCCCGTCCAATTATTCATCAAGCCATAGCGTCAGAGAGGGCCATCGTAAGCGTACATTCCAACTAGGTAGACAAAACACAACCGCCACTCTTCACGCCCTTTTCGCTACAAAGACCTGTCGATGTAGCCAATTCTTGTTTGCCCACCTTCCGAATTCGGTAAAGAAAACAATAACACAATCCCGCTGCCGTTTGCATCCAGCTTGCTAAATCCTGGGAACGAATAGCAGCTTGGGAAATCATCACTCTGGCATAGGTGGACACAGCGAGCACCATATCGTGTGTAGTCAAGTCCCTCAATGACGAATATTGCATGCTTGGTCTCGGAGAAAATCAATCCCTGACAAGCCGAAGCTGGCTCCTACTTTTGTCCTTGTTGCACGCGGCTATTCGGAGATAGATTTTAGTCTGTCCATTCCAGGCTTCCATGTCGGCGAACGCGGGCAACATTCTCCGGACCGTGCGTCTTGGCTACGGGGACAAGCCGGTTATGTCCCCGACGCTCACGTGACCATCTTGAAACTCGTACACTATCCTCGTACGTATTATGCAATCTTGGTAGGAAAGGAAACAAGGCACCTTGCCAACCCTCCTGTGTCGAGTGGATATCCGTCTTGCCGCGATTATTCCCCTTGTAAGGTTCTGAGGTAGAGACACTTGGCTTAAACTACGCTGCTGCTAGGCCATACGGACGGCTTTGCTATTAGCCGCAAGCCTACACCAGATGCAAGTGCCGCACAGCTGGCCGAAGCGTTCGACATGCAAAGTGGGCCATGGTACTTCGGTTGTTGAAAAGAGCGGGGTCCCGAAATACCAGACGATGCCAGCGGGTGTAAGAGTATGGATGGATGAAAACTTGTCTACGAGTGATTGTCATCCCACATCCACCAACACTGCTAGTGCTGTCAGTTACCTTCCGTGACCAGAACTTCTCAACTTTCCTCTCACTTCTACTGGGCCTCCTTACCCTACGTCAGGGTCTATCACCGCAATTGCACAACTACGAACTCAACTAGCAGACTTTCGCATGGCGCCAGTCAGCATGGACTTCCAAACTCCAACGCGGGAGATGAAGGTGCATAAGTACCACTGTCCAGCCGTTCCATCGAGTCTAGCTTACCACTTCCAGAACCCGTCTTTCGTCTTGAAAGCGATTGACGAACTGACATTCGAGGACCGCCCTGTCCCTGAGATCGAAGATCCGCACAGCGTTCTTCTTCAAGTCAACTACACGGGCATCTGTGGCTCAGATGTACACTACTGGCGTCACGGACGAATCGGACCATTTGTAGTGAAGACGCCTATGGTACTGGGCCATGAATCTTCCGGGACAGTCATCGAGGTGGGATCGAAAGTAACGTCCCTGCAGAAAGGCGACCGGGTCGCGATGGAGCCTGGCATCCCATGCCGGTTCTGTGCAAGGTGTAAGGAAGGCAGGTACAACCTGTGCGCAGCGATGGCGTTTGCAGCGACACCTCCCTACGATGGCACCTTAGCCAAGTACTACGTCCTGCCCGAGGACTTCTGTTACAAGCTGCCGGCGAACGTGAGCCTGGAAGAGGGTGCATTGCTCGAGCCGCTCTCTGTCGCAGTTCACCTTGTGCGGCAATCGCAGATTAAATACGGCGACAGCATCGCTGTGTTCGGGGCGGGTCCCATCGGACTGCTCTGCTGCGCCGTTGCAAAAGCGTATGGCGCGAGGAAGATCATCGCAGTGGACATACAGAGGCATCGACTCGAGTTCGCTGAACGGTTTGCGGCCACGGCCACGTTCGAACCGAGCAAGGCGTCCGCAGAAGAGAATGCACGGAGGCTCATTCACGAAAACGACTTGGGCAGTGGGGCCGACGTGGCCATTGACGCCAGTGGGGTGGAGCCCTCTATCCAAACCGCTATACATGTGCTGCGCCAGGGGAGCACATATGTACAGGGAGGAATGGGTCGGGACTCAGTCTCCTTCCCAATGGTAACTGCTTGCACGAAGGAGTTGACTATTCGTGGTTCGTTCCGGTATGGGCCTGAGGACTATGAGACTGCTCTGGTCATGGTTACTAGGGGTACCGTTAGAGTGATGGATCTGATCAGCAGGAAGGTTGCTTTTGAAGAAGCAGAGGCTGCTTTCCGGGAAACAAAAGGCGGGAGTGCAATCAAAGTTCTGATTGCTGGGCCAGAGTGAGCAAGAAAATTCGGATTTTTGGGATGTTCGAACTTAATGGTAAGAGAAAGAACAGAGCGCGCAGGGCACTCGGCTGTAGATACCCATGTATGGCTGTCAATGCAACGGACTTGAACCGGACCTTTTCGCTACATGCGTGAAAGTCTTTCCTTGCCTCTTCATCCTTCGATTACTTATGACATATGCCGTCTGAGCTCTTCCGTCGAAAATCACGATCACCCCGCAGCTTATGCTTGTGTATTAGCCCAGTCTGCGATCGCAACACTTCGTTTTCTTAGTTTTCATTTCCTCCTTTGGAAAGGTTGGAGTTTCAGGAACCGCCAACGCTGACTTCCAACGCCACACCATCCGCCCATGTAGATTACAGTTGCTGCGCCCTGGTGAAATCAGATCACTGAGCACTGCCTGTGCGTACAGGCACTGTTGAACGTCGATGCCTATCCGCTAGTGATGTAGATTGACCACGCCTCCTAGCAACTGCTCTGACTACCTGCGGTACCTCCATTCTTCTCCAATCAATGCACATCTCTACTGCCGCTTGCGCAATTTCTGTTCTCTGCGACACTCGAGAGCATTCATTGACAACACACATCGTCCACCATGTGCCTAAAATGTCTCTGCCGATCACACTGCTCAAGGAAGACTTTGTACTTGACGTCTAGCAGTTCCCTGACTCCCTGCCCCTCGATTGGCCAAACAGCCCTTCCGGGCTTGCTCATCCTTTGCATGATGCTCCACAAATCGTCGGTCTTGCCGCATGCGCCTGCTGTCGCTGCTTTGGCACCTAACATGGCGGCGCCGTGGCAGACCGCTGCGTTAGTGTAGTGAGGGATCACGACAGCCATACTGCATGCCGTCGCTACCAGAGACACAAGCAGCTCGTTCTTGCACTGCGAGCCAGACATGAAGATAGACCTGATCGCATGGCCGGACTCGTTCATCCTGATGACGATTTGGCGCGTCTGGAGCGCAATAAACTCCATCGTGCCACAGTAATGGATGGCGAGACTGTCGATAGACACATCCGCGGTCAAACCAACGATGCAGCCGGACATCCGGGAGTCTGCGACTGGAGAGCGGTTCCCGTACAAGTCCCCATAGAAGAAAAAGTGCCTGGCCAGATAGGGGATAGAAGGTGCGGCGGTGCTGGCTTGCATGTTGCAAAGGTGGCGATTGAGGAATTCAAAGATGTCCAGCTCCGCTGACTCCGCCTCCAGAGCCGCTTGTTGGTAAGCCGGATGAGTTTCCAGAACATGTTGAAGGAGTTTCCCAGTCGCAGATTGGCCACCTTCTGCCATCCAAGTGTCTCGCGTGATGGCGTCTCTATATGGCCCCCAGACGCCCTCAACAAAAACCGGGTTGGACGACATGACAAGATGGCAGGTTGAAGTTCCAGAAACAGCAGCGAGGCGTGTAAAGCTCTGTCGAACGTCGCTCGGCCCTGTAGAGCGGTCGGGGTTGTGTTTGAGGAGGCCGTCGACCTTGGCACCCACAGTGCCAATCCAACCGGCGTATGCATCGATGACGCCACTGCCGACCGGAATGCCAACTGGAAGACCAAGTTCTTCTGCCGCGCGCTCGCAGAGATGACCTGCGAGTTCGCCTGCCGACAGGTAGTCGCCATTCTACCGATGTTCGTCAGAAGATGGGAACTAGTCTTAAGGTATCAGCCGAGGCAAACTCACCTTACCATGCACCCCTCCAACTCGCTTGAACCCGTCTTCAGCAAGACTTGCGAGCCCAATCTCCCTCAAAAAGTCTTCCTGCCATCCCGTGGTGCTTCCATCGACGCCAATCGGAATATAACCCTGCTTGCACACAGCGCTGCAGTTGCTGCGTTTCTCGTTGCCGGTCGCAAGATGCCCTAGAGCATCGGTGAGGTCATAGAAACTGCAACGATCAAAAAGCTGCTCTGGCATGTTGTTCTTCAGCCACAGTATCTTTGGCATCTCCATCTCGATGGACATGGTGCCGCCAACGTATCGTAACAGATTGTGGGCGGTGGAGTTGATTTTCTTCGTTTCTTCCTCGGCTCTGTGGTCCAGCCACAGCATCACATTGTGCGCACTGGGCCCCCGAACAAAGTTTGGCGGCGTCACGGATATGGGCTCGTCTGTCTCCGAGTCGAAGACTGCAAGGGAGCAGGTAGCATCAAACCCAATTCCTCGAATTAGACCCACGTCAACAGCACCATCCGCAACGGCACGCTGCACTGCGAGACATACGCAACGCCATATATCTGATGTGGATTGTTCCTGTGCGCGCGTGAGCCTGTGTGCCGTGCTGTGCAGGCGGAAACTTGATGCATACGTAGTAGCCAGCTTTTGGTTGCCAAAGACCGATTTCCTCTGCCGCCAAGCCTACGATATCGCCAGAGTGACTGACGACACAAGCCCGCGCGCTCCCCGTGCCCACGTCAATTCCAATGTAGTAGTTTTCTAAGCCGCTATCCTCCCTTCCAGGCTGCGGCGAGCTCGCGTTGGACAACATGCGATCACTTGCGTGCGTCTTTGGCTGAACTGAGGTTGGAACCACCGAAGGAAGGTGTGTGGTAAAGACAGATGTATACAGCGAAAGACTGTGCAAGATGGGGGTTGCGTTTTCCTCTTCAACCTAAGCAAGAGCAGCAAAGTGTGTTAGCAAAAGGCCGCGCGCCGTAGTTACTTCTCGCCTTCTTTTAGCCGGGAATATCCCACTCTCAGCTGCATCACTTAGCTAAAGGCCCCGAGAAGCCTTTGTTGTCTTGCTCTCACCTGACCAGTGTCGTATACTATACGGTATGGATACGCTTGGCATGGTGCCACAGGTGGGCCTGATATCCTTATGTGATTGGATGGGGTTACTCGGAGGGCGAAAGACATGTCGCCTGCTGTAGACGGATCTGGGCATTCGCTAGCGCGCTCGTGGGGTAAGTTCCCGCTTTGGCCCCTAGGCTCCTCGCGCCCAACAGCGTTCTGGAACCCGACTTGCCCCGGCGCCTTGTTCTGGATTCCTTAGGCCGCTCTGACGCACTCACTACTCGAGTCAGCGTCGCAGTATTGCTCACTGTTTCCTGCCATACAGAACTTCGAGAGCATCCGGCAGCCGGCAGCCGGCAGCCGACGATACGGCCAAGTCAGGCAGCACGTGATGTCACTGACACAAGCCTTCTCACCCTTGTCGGAAGAACCTCCCGCTCCATGGTATGGCCTAGGTAATCCGGTACATATATGCCACTATCTAGTCCAATCGCGCTCTGTTTCGGAAACTGGGGCGCCACAAGCACGTGGAGGCGTACCAGAACCGGTCTGGACATCTTGTCTCGGGATTAATCAAGGTGCGCCAACTGCCAAGCAGTACGCGAAGAAGACTGTGGCCTTGCGCATACGATCGCCCTACACTATTGCAATACATGCTCTGCATGCGTCGATGCGTGCAGGCGTTGAACGACATCCTCTAAGATCATACGTGAAGCCTTGAGATCCGGCGCCTCCTCTTCCCAGAAGCACAGGGTTGCAAGTGAGAATTGCACGCTTTCTTCGTGTTGCTCCTTGGAGATTTCATGGAGGCCAGACCTCCGTGCGGCCAGGAGAAGCAGCGCCGACGAGAAACTCTGCCTCGCCATCAGCCATGTGCCGTGATGGCGATGCCGGACGTTCCACTGCCGGATCAGTTTGCAACAGGTAGCAGCATGCAACTGCACCAGCGGGCGAAGAAAATCGCGATCGGAACCCTCGATGTTTTTGTGGATCATGAGGTACAGGAAGGGGCGATATATGCGCTCCTTGATCTCGAAGGCTCGAGCCTGGAGATGATATGCAAGCTCATCGTCAGCAGCGACTCCGATGTCAAAAGCTATTACGTCTGGCAGCGTACGGTACCTGAACAAGAGGGGTCAGCATGATGTTCTCAATATGCATTGGTGTCTTGGATCGCAAGTACCACTCTGTCAGCTGCCTGTCCAACTCTTCGGCAGTTTGCAGTATGCTCTGAAGGGATGCATCGAGCCATGCAGACTCATTGGTCGCGTAGAACGATCTGATCACGCGTTGCAGTATTCCGCGAGCTGCGATATCCGCCAGATAGTAGTACCATCCTTTCTCAAGCTCGACTTGCGCCCTTGCGGAGTTTGCAGCACTCATCTGCAGCTCGGTATGTATGCGATACAACTGCTGCGTGGTTGTCGCTAGCGGCGGTGGCGGGAAGTGGCTTGTGTAATTGAGTTTGGTGAGACCAGAAGATGGGAACCGAAACTCTATTGAGGTTTCGCTAGACAGCTGGTGAGCAGTGATCGTGCATGTGCAGCGAAAGTCCAACTCACTGTTCAGATTTCAGGCACGACCAGTACAGTCGACTCGCTCGAGCTTTGCCTAGTTGACACTCAGTGATGGAGTATTCCGGATTCATCCGAGTTAGAGCCTGGAAAGTCACGCAAGCCCGGTTGAAAGAGGTGGCGGCTTGCAGAGGCCGCAAGGAGTACATCTCATACACCCCAGCCATGAAATAGCACTCCGTTGCCAGTAAGCTATTTCCGAGGAGACCGATTCGCTTGCGCGATGCAGTATAGTACAGCTCTGCCGTGTAGTATCCTGGAGTGTTGGACAAGCTGTTGTCTGCACGGTCCTGACACGTACTTGTATCGCACGTCTGTTGACGGGAGAAAGGAGAGGAGATGGCTGCGAGTGCACATACGATAAGCTAAAGAAAACGTCTGAAGTTAGTACAGTACTGAGCTTGAGGGAATGCTACGAACCACAAGACAGCTCGATGCTTTCCAGTCAAATCCATCTTCCGCCACCGTTCTGGCCATCCTTCTCAAGTACTCTGGATCAAAGATTGGGTTCTTCACATGGACGTTCAGGAGAAACGCTTCGACGAGATGCGCAACATCTTCTTCGCGTACCCCAGGGCCCATCTTCGATCTCGATCTCGGGTCCTCAGATTGGTCCAGAATGAAGTCGTCGTTAACTCTGGGTGAGTGAGGCGATCCGTGTAGATCATCGCGCACGAATGTAGGATCGAAGATGCGTGCCTCGACCCAGTGGCGATTGTAGTTGCCTTCGAAAATTGGCCACCCAAGAATGTCCTCGCTGGAGCCGAAGTACTCCTGACCGTGGTTCGACATGTCTTTGTCCTGTACAACATCACATGTTGCAGAGTTTGTCTTGGTATCGTCGCTTTGTGGATGTGCGTTCTGCATGCGCCAGTCAGGTGCCAGCAGCAATGATATCAAACTCCCACCTACAGCGTCAATGGTAGGCTGACCAACCCTACCGTAAGCTATGGAACCAGCCAGTGATCCTGATTCGACCACGCTGATTAGATAGTCCAGACGATCGAGAATCTGGCTCGTCGGGCTCAATGGAACATCAGTCGCTAGCAGCCATGTGGCAGGAAGGGAAACTTACGTACGATTCTGTATGGGCCTGATCTTGATAAACGCACTGCGCGCTAAGCTCGCAACACTTCGAGCATGTCGGGCGCTGGTTATCGCACTTTGTTTTTCGCGCGCGACACAGCTGACACGCAGTAACAGATCGCTTGCGCGGGAAGTTCGCTTGGTGCGACGATAGGCTTGATAGGAGCGGGAGCTTCCTTTTTCTGGAATGAGCAGAAGCTTGCTCGTTTGCGTGCACGCGATAATCTCCTTCACTGTCCACGGAATCCACAGAATCCAGCCGTTCGGAGACCGGAATACGGTCCATATCTGGTGCAGGGTGGCACGGCTGGCACAGTTACATCTAAGGAACGAGTCCGATGCCACACTTGAGGGCGCGCTGAATGATGATAGATCAGGAACAGAGGAGAAGCAGTGGTGTTATGCCGATTGTGTACAATGTCAGATGTCTGTCAGTTTGAGGCGATCCAGCTCACAAGTAACTATGGCTGACCTCTTACGTAATGCATGATACGCTAGACCCCAACCGAGGTAGTATAGATTAATTCCGCACATTAGTGTGAGGAAGACGCGTATAGGGAGAACGAATCAACGTAGCATAGTTATCACAAGTATGTCTTTTATCGGCAACTATGTCGCTACTGTCACAGAGCTTTCTGCTCTTCGCTACAGACGAAAAAAGATTGTGTAAACACGCACACATACTCATGCAGCTTGCTAGACCTCGTCAGTCAACCAGCTACTCCTTACTCTTCAACTCTTCGCATTATATGGCCTAGTTTCTGAACGGGTTCGTACGTTCAGCCACAATAGTTGGACGCTGGACCAAGATTGTTGTGGCTTGACTGAAGTATGTGAGCATAATGGCCAGATAAAGTCTAAAGATCGTAGGCTCCCAACCATCACCATCACCCTTTATGCTACCCAGATTCGACATGTCTGCACCCTCCCTAGCTCTCTAAAGATCCATTCCCTGGCGATGTAAACAATTCAGCCACCTGCGAATGCATTGCCATTGCTGGGTTTTCGGGTTTCAGTCGCGAGCTTCAAGATCACGATTGATTTTTTATGACTAGCATAGCGGTAGGTCCAGCCTCGTTTATGTTGCAACTCATGCCAATTGAGGGATGCTTCTTGCGAGCTGAGCAAGCTGGGTAAGCCGCCTCGTAGCATTTCGTCAGGTCTGTCTCTAAAGCAGATGGTGACAGCGCGTCCGCTGGTGTCGTTACGCAACAGCGTTGCTGGGCTTCACGCAGGTAAAGAGGCCACCACGCGACGCTGCCTGAATCGCAGAGAGTGCATGCGGACATCAAGAAACTTCAGTGATAAGGAGTATATACGGTAATCTGTCCCGAGGAGGTTAGCGCTCGCTGACGACTTCGCTACAAGGTAGGGGGTACGCGGAAGAAACGATGTTCACTTGGTGGCCTTGCCCCTCCACCCAAGCTCGACAGAAAGGTGGTTCTAGGCAGCGATTTCACATCCTAGCTAGATGCTTTCCGTTATATTCCTAACGTTGTCTTCGTTTCGACGTGCAAATTAGTCGCACTGCAGTAGAATGCCGTTAAGCAACAGAGCACAACCATGACAGCTATCCGAACTCACGTCGCAAGTTCAGCAAAGACGTGTTTACCCGACCTAGTGCGGCCGTTTCCGTTCCCTTAGATGCCTTGGAACTGTAGGGATGTATTTGTAAGCCCTTGCAATATGCGCACGTAGCGCCTGTTAAGGTTTTGATAATCTAAGAGGCAGAAAGCTGTGACTGAACGTTTGCGAATTGCAACAGAGCAGGTAACGGGAGGACTGTCCGCAGACCGTCCACACATTAGAGCCGTTAGCAGAATGACCGTGGCACCCAGGCCCTTCTCCCGGGTTTGAGGGAGACCTAGCTGTTTCTTTGCTTCCTGGCCCATATCGTTATCATGGTGCGGACCAAGCCTGTCTCGCTCCTACAGATATGCACACTCTCTATGGTATTAGAGCTTCACTGCAGAACATCAAACCCTCTACTTAACGATTTGCGATTGTGCACACGTTCGAGATCTTCTGTCCGACTGGTGACGTCTCTGCTCCGACTCCCTAAATTTCCGTACTTTGAACACTGACGTTTCCGTCACAGTGTCGATGCCCGCTGACGATGGTTCTTTCCAGTGCCGCTGGCCTGATACAGGACAGCACAGTCGATTACCCGTGTTTAGTGCTGATTCCCTGATGGGCTATAGAACTTTTGATACGTAGGCTTAGTCACTGGCCATCCCTAGACCCACTCACAAAACTAATGCCTGTATCCACAGTAGTACTACGCCATGGGCGATCGGTCGGCCTCTGGAAATCCCCGACACCGAACGACACAAGCAATCTCCGAACTGAGGACCGTAGTCGCTCTCTTCACAGGCTTATCTAGCCCATTCGATTCAAGCATGTCCGACTGCAATTTCACATCGTTCCTCGTTCCTCGTTCCCCCTTGCACGCCCGCTCCTCACGCTACTGCGGCGGCCACCACTCCTAGAAGTGGTGACTGCTTCGTTTGGGCGTCCATATTATGCTTGACGCCCTGGATCGCACGTATGTATGTGGTGCCTGGTTTGTGACTCCAGCTACGGAAGCCCAACGTTGCGATCTAGCATGCTTCGGACAGTGTGTGCACGGGCTTCTTGTTTCGCTCTAGCGTCATGGCTGTACTGCCTCCCCTTCCCCTGTCGACTTGACTGACGGCTACGATCGCTGCTGTGCAAGCCTGAGCTAGACAAAAGCCAGGCTAGTGGCCCCGAACAGCCGCGTGCAATGAGAATCGTTCTATCTCATCGCCGGAGATGTCCACCGTGCTATACCGCATGTGGTCGCCTATGACGCTAGCGTGTCGTCCGAGCCCCGCGAAACTGGTACGTGGGTGATTGCTCCACGCCTCTCCGCAAGCGCAAAGCCAACATCAGCACTAGCTAGGCCACCCAGCCGTCTCTTCTAGCTGTCTTCTCTGCCGATGTGGATGGCGTTCCGTTGGCGGGTGGCTGATTCTCTGCCTTTGCGACAATCAGCGGCGGTGCGCGTTCTGCGTCGTTTTGAACGCTCGAAGTTGGTACGACGCCTGCCATTCACTTCCACCACGTCTGGCCCCGAGCGCATCTAGCAATCTCTCTCTGTCGTGGGCGATATGTTGACTTCCCTGCGCGCGTGAAGCTTGGCGAGGCTCATACCGAACAAAGAGGGCCAAACCAAGGGAATACACTTCTTGGCCTATACAGCTGAGTCCGATCCGCCGGATGTGCTATCCACGATGTCAGTTTTGCACGCTGGGCGTCGGTGTTCGCATTACGGTGAGCAAGAGGCAGCGCAAGATGCCGCATCGCCCAAGGATCAGGGCCGACGACAGCCCAAGTGCAGACCGTCCGATCCAGGACCCGAGCCTGCGGGGCACGCCAAGAGAAGATCAACCCAAGCTTGTGTCAACTGTCTTCCTGGGGAGACTAGGATCAGGGCGCAACATCGGCTAATGGTGCCTGCGGGGGTAATGGCGTGTGTTGGGGGCGCACATGGAGACAATCAGGACAATTTTCTCTATGCTGCCAACCTCGCAAGGTGCCATTTGCGGAACAGGAGAATCGAATTATCATCCTACCTTATTAATCTTCATCCGTACTGTGTCGCAGTCTCCGTTTCCAGCTCTTGCAGTTGAGTATCTACGTTTCCCGATTCCTTCTCTTGCCGCTCGTCCTTGATACCGAAGTTTCATCAGTCATTTCCGTTCATCAATCCCGGTGATGCTAGTTGAGAGATTGGAAGACGGGCACGAATTTGCCGCCACATTCCTGATAACGACGTACGCGTCTGAAACTTGCCGGCAGTCGCCGAGAACCTATACTATAGGTGACGGAATAGCGCACTAATAGCCTGTGCATCTGCCGCGCTCTTCTGCTTCTTGTGAAGAGACTGATTATCACGCATACGGTATTGCCACAGAACAATCAGCATATCACACGCAGAGCAAACAAAGTTCTCTCGCCTGATTCGCATTGGATTGTTATCTGAAGCGCAATCACACACGATAGGCCGTCGGTCATCGACTAATCAGCACGGGGTTCACGCTACTCGCCGTCTGGGACCTTGCGAATCATGGGCACCAATGCGGGACATAGCGCATTCAAACATACCAATACCTCGGATGCACGCGACTCATTTCCTCATATCTAACTATACTAGTCCATGTCAGGGCCATTTCCAGTATTTGAAGGTGTCAATGTCAAAAAAGCTTACACCTGTCATTGTCCTTTTTCTTGACCATTTGACCTAGTCTATTGGAAGGAAGCCCGTCTTGAACCTCCACCGGATACGGTATGCGTAGCTGCCTGACGCAATGCAGGTAGTAGTGTCCGTTGTAAGTACTTTCAAAAAGCAAACACTTCAAGCCCTCGCTAACAACCCACGCAGGTCATCCAGGCGCTCTTGCTCGGTCTTGCATTAGCTGTTACGATCCTACGATGCTGGATTCGCCTTCATGTAGAGCATCGACGCTTGACGATTGCCGATTACCTTATATGGGGAGGATGGATCTGCACGCTGGGATGGTCTGTTTGCTCCATCAAAGCACTCTACATCCTGATCGATCACCCCCCAGACGAGGAGGCCATGACGGACTCCGTTGATTACTTGAAGGTGGGCAAACTGCACCACCTAGGACTGGGAGTCCCTTCAGGAGTACCAGCTAACTGGCGCCTCATCGCAGACAGTCTTCCTATCTTGCTACTTCTTCGATACCGGACTGTACTTTCCAAAGGCCTCTCTTGTGGCTTTCTACTGGTGGTTGATTCCATGGGGATTCAGAGGTCTCCGGATATCAGTGTACGTCACTGCTGCTTTCATAGGCTGCGCTTGGATGGCAAGTCTGTTGGCGGATACTTTCATCGCACCTTCGATCTCGGACAACTGGTATGGCGCAACTACAACTTCGAACACTCAACAATGCCATTGACTAACACGTGCTGGACTCTAGGTCGCTCGAAAATCAACTCAACTCAATATGGAACTCTTACACAAATCTGACAGTCAACTGGACGCTGAACATCGGTACCGATCTGATACGTAAGTGCTTTTTCCATTCGCTTCGTAACATTTGGACTAAAAGAGCATGCTATCTAGTCTTTTGCCTCCCTTTCTTCCTAATCAACTGCCTGAAGCTCCATAGACGGCAGAAGATTGGCTTGGCTGGAGTGTTCTCTCTAGGTGTCATTACTATGGCTATCAGCCTTGCTCGGTTCGTCGTATACAGCATGGATTACAACGTTTCCGAAGCCATCGGTAGTAAGTCTACCAGCTTCCACTTTCCCACGTCTTCACATACCACCTGAGTCTTCACATACTAACACAACTACAGATGCATGGTGCACAGCCGAGATGTGCACAGCAGTCATCGTTGTCTCGCTCCCATCACTCAAATCCTTCATCGCCCGGACAACGCCTGCGCACACAGCCAATCGTAGCAACACTGGATACATACAAACCGGCTCCGGCAAACCGGTCAGTAGCAGCAGAGGCGGCACCTACACGTCACACATCCAAGATGGCACTGTAGATCATGAAGAGATGGAGTTGACCTTTCTTGACCGAAGGGCTAGTCCAACCCCTACGGGAACCACTGATGAGACAAGAACTCAAGATGGAAAAGATAATGTAATGGTGACGACGAATGTTACGGTTACGAGGGATGTGTTGTAGGGGAAAGTTGGGGCGACGATGTTGGTGCCAGAAGCTACGTACCTTATATCATGGTAATAGAATGACAGGGATCTAGAAGACTGGCATCCCGCAACCGGGCTCCTCACGATTCATCAGCGCAACAGGTTCCTCTCAAACCTGCTGCTGTACGTGCTGACCTCGGGCGTTGGTCATTCACAGCTGTACCCAACACCTAAGGCGGTTTGGTTACTACCGACCTATCTCAATGTCTACATTCTAGGCAAACGACTCACTCCTTGATCTTACACACTGACAGTTGGTTTCTGTGGCGAGCGTCATCTGCAACGACCGCGTAAAGTATAGTGCAACTTCCCACCTCTACGGTTCTCGCCCAAACCGCGCCTATGACACCTTAAGCAGCACGAAACGCCATGTTAGGATCACAATCAAGGCTCGTGGATCACATGCCCGATGCGACCTTGTTAGTGATGATGCCCGTTTCTCAATCGAATGTCATCGGCGAAGGTGTGCACGGCGTACAATCTCAGAAGCTTCGTACGAGCGTACCTAAGCCGACATGTTCTCACGTATCCGTAAAACGTAATGATCAGTCGCCTACCAGAGTCAACCAACCGCCTCTCGACCTACTCTGGTACAGACTTGTCAACAATCAAGCCAATCAAGCCGGTCTAACCTAATATGGTAATTCACTAGATTGGGTAGGCTAAGATCTTACTAAATTTGGCTAGTTCGGCTTGATTGGCTTGATTGTTGACAGGTCTGCGTGACAAAGGTAAATCTCTACCCACCTAGGCTTCGCCCTAAGGCAGGTGCAATACGTTTTATCTGGCCCTATTACCCCAAAACAAAGGACAGGTAGACCTCCAGTACTTATTTGAGAGCAGTGTGTCCATCAACCAAGTAAACCAAAAATCGACCCTCTTACTTGACTTGGCTGACGAGAATCCTTTACCTTGCTTGGTTGGTTGACGAGAAGCCCTTGCTTTGCTTGGTTGGTTGACATTACTCGATAGAATTTCCCGATTTGATATCTATACTAACCTACAGGAGCATACCAGTTCGAAGGAGGTGCTTTTGACACTCAATTGCCGCCACAGTCCCTGAATTGAGCCGATTCCGTTCATCCGTGATGACCTTTTTCGTCTGTGAGAATACCCGCTCACACTCAGCACTCATTGCAGGACAACTAAACAGATCAAACGCCATCTTAGAGAGCACAGGATAGTCAGGTGCGTGGCGAATCCACCACTCTAGAGGGTCATCAACATCTCCATCAGCCTTATTAGTCCTAGCTATAAACTGATCGAGGTCAGAGGTGACTCTTGCGCGCTTCTTTCCTCGCGTAGACGCCGTACTAGCGGCGACCCGCTGGCGACGCTTACGAGCTTGCTGGAGAAGATCGAGCGTTGTATCGCTATCAGTACCAACCTCATTATCCTCCTCTTGTGTTGCTTCTGCTATCTCTGCTTCCGCAGCTGCTTCCTCGTATTGTACATACTCATCATGCACCACCCGCTTCGCCTCAGTAATCCATTTCTTCTCATGCTGCCATTCGATGTCGAAATAGCTAAATTTGTTCGCAGGATGGAGGGCGACAGCGCATCGGTACGCTGGCGTAGCGTCCGTAAGGCCGTAGTATTCTTCAAGCTTGAGGCGGGCAGTATCAATGGCACAGGAATAGTATTCCGAAACCTCCTCGGGGTGATTGTCTGCGAACTTTCCGGCTTCCTGAAGCTTCTTAAAGAGGACGTCAAGCGACTCGAGTGTCTCATAGAGTGAGCCATGTGATCCTTCAAGGCCAGCTTTATTGGCCCGGCCTTCCATGCGTTTGGTCAGATCTTTAAACGGCTTCAAGATATTGAAGAAGTGCTCCAGATTAGCCCAATCGCGCTGAGTAATGGCGTCCTGTGAGATATCGTATCCTTCACCACTATGATTATAGTGGAGAAAGAACAAATCAATTGCGTTACGGAGCTTAAGAGCTCTCTCAATCATGGCATACACAGAGTTCCAGCGGACGCCACCGTCAGCCAGTACCCTAGTGTAAAGGTTCTCGATGCTGCCTCTATCGTACGCCTGCAAAATATACTCTCTCAGAAACTCCCGCCGCTGATCACTCCGGTTGATCCACACACAGAAATTATGGAGCTTACCGATAAAACTCTGCTTCCTCCATATCTCAAACCGCTCATCATCAGATGCGCCACAGAGCTCTTTCTCCAACTTGCTAACCCCCGTCCCAAAGAGAAGAGCTTTGACGATGAGGTTTAGAATATGGCCAACGCACCGAAGGCGACTCTGCTGTGTGATTGTGGGGTACTGCTTTGCTAGTTCTCCAATACACGTGTCGTTATTGCCAGCATTGTCCATCATAAAGAAGCCAATGACAGCGGATATATCGTACAAGTCGATAACCGTTGACAGCAATTTCGCAATGTTCTCTCCAGAATGTGGGCCTTTTAGAGGCGGGAGGTCAAGAAGGGCTGTTTGCAACTTATGCTTCTCGTCTAGGAAGTGAGCAACAACTGCCACATAGTTCGTTCCTTCCTCAGACGTCCAGGCATCAGTTGAGATATGGATCTTGCTTTTCGCAAGATGAAGCCTTTCCTTCAGCCAAGCACGTCTCCCAGTATCACCGTCCCACATCTCTTTAATCCAGGTGCTAAGAGTTGATGGGCTCTTAGGTAGAATTTTATCGATATCCTCTAAGCAGCCAGTAAACATGTTACGAGTGCGTTGATGTGTCGCTTGTCGAAAGGTGAAGTCAAGATCAATAACCCAGTCAATAAACTCTTTCTTGAACTGAGAGTCGTTGAACATCAAGCGCCGGCCTCCAAGGTATGGTATAGAGCTCGTTGCTCCCTTGGCCATGTCGAACGGGTTTAATGCCATTATTTTGTAACCGAATTCTTCAAGTTTGTGTTGATTCTTTAGGTGATACATGATACTAGTAGTACTCTCACTACTGTACAGAGCAGAATCGTGCTGGCCACTAAGATGGCAGTATTTGCAGAGCCAAAACTTGTTCTCTCCATCGGTTGTGAGCTGCGCACCGTGTTTGTAGATTGGCGAGGGCTAGGTTTTAGAGTTGAGGGCCCGCTTATAAGGCTGACGATATCGAATCGATGGCAACACCTTCCTTTTATAGCGAATTTTGTCCCAGTCAATAGGGAATGGGCATTGAGTAGATGTCGGCAGCTCTCTTTCGAAGGTGGCAGCAGTATTTGTGGAAACAGAACTTGGGGTCTCTATGTTTTCTAGGTTATAGCTAAGGGATTCAGAGGGAGTCCTAGGTAGAGGGGAACACGTGGATCCTCTACGAGGCAGAAAAAATAGGTGGGTAGGCATGTTTAACCTAGAATCTGGCGGTTTCGTACATAGAGGCTGCAGGCGTGAGAGTTTTCGACAGCAAATCTCAAGAGCGGCAATTTCCAACCAATCAGAACATCCGGGCTAATAGTTCTTCCTATCCCGATGCCCAAAAAAACTCCGGTCGCTCACCTCTTCTACAAAAATGCCTAATGCGGTAAGGTCGTCAACCAACTCCGAGTTGACTCGAGTAATGCGAAAACCCTTACTTGTGGTTGCTCGGATAGACGTTTACTCGTGGTTGCTTGTTACGTAATCAACCAAAGTCAACCAACCAAGCCAAGTTACTTGGTTATTGGACACACTGTTTGAGAGCAAGTACAGGAGCTTATCCTCTTTATAAGGACGTCCAAAGAAACAAGACAAATGACGTACTTCGAGCTTGCCCGCCATTTTGTGGACTGGCATATTGGAGAATACGTTATTCGCCACTCTCTCCGCTCAGCGGGGTACAGGAGGAGAGTCGCTCTCCAGAAACCACCCCTTTCACCAGCAAATCGGGCTAAACGAGTAGCTTTCGCAGAGGCCCACATCCTTTGGACGGTCGAGCAATGGAATACAATACTGTGGAGTGATGAAAGCTGGGTGTGTGGAGGTCGGCACAGGAAGAAGCGGGTTACTCGGTTGCCTGGTGAGAGTCTGGATGATACCTGTGTGGTGGATAGGGTACCCAAAAAGAGAGGTTGGATGTTTTGGGGCTGCTTTTCTGGGAGTAGGAAGGGTCCTGCTCTCTTTTGGGAGAAGGAGTGGGGGTCAATTAACACAGAAAGATATTGTGAGAGGATTTTCCCTCTTGTTCATGGATGGACGAGGATGTACCCAGGGTTAGAATTCATGCATGATAACGCCTCAGCTCACTCCTCAAGGGCTACTTCCTGTGAGCCTTTGTCAAGAGAGGTACAAGTCCTATCTCGGCCACCTTTCTCTCCTGATCTCAACCCCATTGAGGGGGTGTGGAATAAGATGAAGGATTATATTGAGATCCACTACCCAGACCTTGAATTTGGACGTCAGAGAACCTATCTTCAGCTTCGCAGTATTGTGAAAGAAGCCTGGGAGTCTATCACACTTGAATACCTTGCCTCTATAGTAATTAGTATGAGAGAGAGGTGTGAGGCTGTGTTGGCTGCCCAGGGCGGCTATACCAAGTATTGAATAGCTTAAATATACCATCATAACTTGTACAAGCTGCAACCAACCCTTGCTAGTGGCCCACATACAAAACTTATGCCTGATACCGCAGTATACAACTTAAAGTCTATGTATGCATGTAAGCGGGGATGGCCTGGAAACACATGCCCAAGGCTATGGTAAGCAGGTACTGCACGCAGTAGATAGAGTTTGGCGGCGAAAACCAACGCTAACTAGATAGGGATACTAATGCGAACCAGGAGCTAGAGTCAGTTAGTTCCAACAGGTCGGCATACCCTTGTCTTGTGACCGAGAATGCAAAAGTGGGAGAAAGGACGGGTGAACGGCTAGTGTGTTTCATGGTTGCTTGACAGAAGCGTTGCAAAGTGTCCTTGCCGCCTCATGCTTGTATCCACTTTTCATATCCAACACTTTATGTGTGGGTTAGTGTCCAATACAGTCAGTAGAGAACGTGGTTTTGCACTTCGTTGGCACGTGGTTTGCACTCATCATCGTGC